AAAACCTGCGTTGCTATAGACCAGCGCCTAAACGAATGTACTGATTTCAATGAAACTTCGCTAAAGTCATTTTCTCGACACCCTATTTATCTATATAACATACTTCAACGAAAAGAAGCTGGAAAAAAAGTTACCAGGGATGGTAAAATTAAATTCCGAATAACTCAAAAAGTGTAAACGTTTTTGTTGATATTGTATATGGTTTTTTAAGGATACAGAATTTCCTAGAAAAAAAATCATTAAAATGGGACAGTTAGGAGGAAATATATGGTCTCTAGTTTTCTTTTTATATATTCTGCTGCAAAGGTTATATCCTTTGTTTTGGTTTTTAAATTTTGAATGTGTTACTTAGGTAATGCTAATTTTTTTAGCATATTTGTAATGATTAAAAAAAAAAGTTTAGTCCAATGAATCATCTTTGGATTAATTGGAAACACCTTTTATTTATTTTGTTTTGTACTATAGGAAGGTAATGTTACTTTAGATGTATAATTGTTTGGATATAATAAACTATTGTGAAATTATTTGCAGCGTTTTTAAGGTATATACGTCAGCAAAATTGTTTGCTAATGAAACTAAAAAAATGTATTACTAAAATTTCACACTCTGTACAAAAATATACCTTTTCCAATAAGTGCGTATTAATTAAGTTGAGAGTTAAATGCAGTTTCTCAACATGTGTTTTCATGTTAATATATTCCTGTGTTCATATTTATTGGATGTATTTTTATTTTTAATACAGTTGTAAATATCATGAATAAAAAATATTCAACGGTGCATTAAGTTTTTGATGGTTCGACTTAAACGAACGCTGTTGGCAATGTAAGCATTTAATCTGCAATCTGATTAGTCAACAGTCCATACAGCAATTTCTTATCGCTGCCCAACTGCATGCTTGTCGATCCTAGCGACTTGCCATAATTATTTCTCTGACAACTGCGATTAATTATTTCATAGCGATTTTCCAAATGGATCTTCGATATATGGTTATATATTCCCACATATATTATTACAGTAAGGCTCGAAATCGGTTTTGAACCAAATACCCTGTCATGCTCAAATACCATGAATGGAGTATCGTTGGATTCAGAATTTCACGGGGGGTTAGCGAATCGTATTCTCCACTTTTGTTTTTCTTTCTAAAATATTCTAAGTCGATACAAAAATTTTGCTAGGCTTCAATATTGGAACGGTGGTAAGTCTGTAGATCGATCCGGGACAAACTGGACTTTGAAGATTTTGATGCTTACAGAAACGTACTATTTTTGAGATAACGCAAGGCATGGGGGTTCGCATCCACACAACCTTAAGTTAATTGTAGTACTATCATTGAATACAGTCTCATTTCGTCGACTTGAGGTCTCTATGATCGAGAGAGGAGGAGTTTATATTATTTATAGATGGTGTTTTTGATCGGCAAGCCGTATCATCGTTAATTTTTCACCAAATCTCAAGATTGAGCCACCAATTTCGAAGGCTTCCTTCTCCTTCAGTGGGGCAAAATAGTCCAATCACTCCGAATATTCAGGCAAACAAGTTATGAAAGAAAACAAACTTTATTTGCGAATAACTAAAACATTACACACGTTTCGCTTAGTTATGCCCATTGTTATATAAAAGATTACGAAAATCCCTACAAAAAGAAAAAAAAATCATGGAAATCGGACAATTTTTAGCAAAGATACAGCTTATTGAAATTTGTAAATTTTGTTTCCTTTGTCGATTACATTTATCGATAAAGTAACAATCGATTTCTTTATCTTTTGATACGTTCCATTATTTTATTTTCTTATTAATTTGTAATTTGATCACTTAACAATATGCTGTGCGAATTTTTCGCACCGGTCTACTAGTATAAATTAAAAAGGCTTCAAGGAAAATACTTAAACCAAGTTTCATTAAAATTACTACAGCCGTTTTGGCGCTGTCTATTTAGTAGTCTATTTCGCACTCACGTTTTTCGATCGTCATTTCAAAGCAAAGGCCGTATGGTAATGAAATGTATATAAAAACACTCCTGAATTTGATTGCAACGTTTTATCAAAAATTTTAAAGCAATCTGTGAAGAATCGATCCGGGTTATCGGAAATAATGATAATTCAAACAATTTCCTTGCCCTTCATCATTAATTGTGTACAAATATATTTCAATTTATTATAAATTTGATTATAGTAGGGTAAAGAACCTATTATTGACATGTCACCAATTATTGAAACTTGTAACTTAAAATTGATAAAATAAGGTTCATGTAGTATTTCAAATTTGGCGCCCTCTACCTTCCTAATTTACCGCTCAATATTTCTGTTACGATTTCCGGCAAGACTAAAGACAATAATACAAGGAGAAAATATATGAAACCTGAAATTGTATTTCCATTTTTCGAGTAGGGTGTCAGGTATCGATACACCAGCAGCTATTGGTGCTTTAGCCCTAATGTGCCTTTGAAAGGGCGCCAAGTTTGAAATCCTACATGAACCTAAATGCTTATTTTATTAAATTTAAGTTACAAGGGTCAATAATAGGTACTATTACCCTATAGTCTGTGGTACAGACCCCTTTTTAACAAATTATTAACATCCGCCTGAAACTTCGTAAATAGCTTCATCTCATAACCTATAACTATTTTATTTACGAAAATTCTTGGAATTGTGGTGTTTTCAATCTGAAGGGGGAACAAACTTTTTCTGCTTAATTAGGTACTAAAATCTCGTAAATACCTATTTGCTTGCCACTTCGATCGTAAGATAATTTGATCACAAAATTGATTAAAAAAAATATTGTGCCGTTTGTCATATATAACCTTGTTATTTGGACAATTTGGGGGTGTAGGTCACGCCAAACGGCTCAATATTTTTTAAGGTGAACTTTTTTCTCGATTTTGTTCTAAAACTATCTTACGATTCAGGTGGAAAGCAAATGGGTATTTACTAGTTTTCAGTACCTAATTACATGTACAATGTTTGCCTCCATCCACATTTAAAACGTCCCTATTACGAGAATTTTCGTAAATAAAATATTTGTTGTGTTACGATGTGAGAAGTTATTTACGAAGTTTCAGGCGGATGTTAATAATTTAATAAAAAGGGATCTCATCCACGAACTGCTACTACTTATTAAAAAACTAATACAACACTAAAAATAAATTAAAAAACAATATATATAATACGTAAGATATCTTTTTTTTTTTTTCATTTTATGTACATATAGATGTATAGGTATATTATAGCGAGGCTAAATTGTTAAATACTTTTGGTGGTCTAAAAGGAAAAATAAGACATTATAATAGACTTATAATAATAAGATTCTATTAGGTTTTCGTTTTGCGAATATTCCTCGTTTGTAATTCGACTTTTTTAAGTAAGAGAACGCATGGCTTAGGGAAAAGAAGCGAACGGGTCTCCAGAAATGGACAGAGGCCTCCGACCTAAGCGCCTCCATTTCCTTCTTGGTCGTATCAGATTTATTTTCTACGACGTGATAAAAAAAAGCAAGTCCTCGGAATGCCTAGCTGATAGTCACAACATATCTTGGTCGCATTCAACACGCCATTAGAATATTACTTAACGGAAAATAAAGAATTAATTCTCAAGTTCTCATATTTAGTTTTTCCAGGCGACCGTTGTATTGGCTATGTATTGGTTTTAGTTTTGCTCTGCACTCGTTGAACTAAAGACATATCAGCTGTTTTGGATCATAATATGAGGCATTCAGACATTAACTGGATTATAGCCAATCAAGGTTAAAGTATATTAGCGGTTATTGAATCCGGTTGTGCTTTAGAGGATATTTTCTATTTATTGTTCCAGTATGAAAAATATCTTAAACAATTTGATAAATAAAAAACTGAAATTAAGATAGTTTTATCCATTTCAGCTCTAAAAAAAGTTTTTTAACAATCAGAGGACCTGATTCAGTTTGGCTATAAAATATACACATTTTTTAACTTTGGACTTCATACACTTTAGCCCTCTATATGAGTCCTTATAATTTTGTTTCAGTTTTTCACTATGCTTCTGTTTAATATTTGATGTCATCAAACAATTCTTTTTCTGGTTGATTTACCCCTATTACAAAACCTTAGTTTCATAAAATTATTGTCATCTATTTAATGTTTGCTATTTTGAGAATGCTAAGTTTAAAATATTTTTAATTGAACATTGCAATTATGAATTATAATAAAATATATATGTATTTTACTTATTTAGGTGTAGTAAAAAATAAGAAGCTATAAGACTTCATTAAAACGTTGTACAATAGTTTTTAAAGTTGTCTCATTTGCACAAGTAATCTGAACTTACTAAATAATAAGTAATTGGTAATATTAGATCGAAAATTTAATTGTTGGGTCTATCAACTTAAATCTTAAATCCTTTGCTCAGGGATAATATATACACCAGATGAAGAACATAAATATAATTAAAATTTTTTTTTTTTAATAACAGTAATTACAAATAAAGGAGACATATAAATAATAATGGAGATTTTTTTTGTATTACTCCCTGATACATGCTGATATTTAGTAGCTGAAATAATTTTTAATCCATTATTCAGATTTTCGCCACTTCCTCAATATAGGCATTAGCAGATAATTTGAACGTTACAAACATGAAAAATAAAATTTAACTTTAGGCCTACATTAACACTAAAACTAAAAACCCATTTTTGTAATTCGTTATAATTTAAAAAGAGAACATATTGTTTATATGATTTTCTATATTGTATATAAGATGTGAGGTATCAACATTTTATTAATTTATTTAGCGAAACTTATTTAATAAGAGATTCTTCTTCCACACTTCATATTTTTCCTCTATTCCATCATTTTATATATATGTGTGTGTTATATATTATGAGGGCTTGTGCCTGATAACCACTCCTGCATCCACTTCTGTTAATTGGAAATCCTTGCTTTTATTTGTACGCATTTTTAATTAAAATGTGTATTGTTTGCGTTAATTATTTAAAACTAAAATGTAATTTCTGTTTCTTCAGGTGAGGGTATGCTATGCTACTGTGTTCGGCATTGCCCCGGTGGCGAAGAGAACGGTACCTGCATCGCACGCCCTGGTTCGCAGTGCTTCGCTGCGGTAGAAGAGAGCTACAACCCTGAAACCAACAGCTATGAGCCTGAGACCTATTATGGGTGTCTCCCTCCTGACGAGAGTGGCTTCATGCAGGTGTGTTTTCACATTTATTTATTTTTTATCAAGTGCTAATGGAAAGTAATAAAAAATTAATTTTTGGAGACTGGGTCCCAGAGTGTCTGGTTCTGAATATTGTGGGTTCGATTCCCGTCTGGGTCAGTTAATGTTTATTTTTCAATGCCCATGCAAAATGAATCTTCCACTCTGATAAGTATGCAGTGCCAATCCCATAGTAGCCATCAGAGATTAGAGAAAAGGATCACAAAGCTGATTTACCTGTCTAATTTCAGTAGCAGTATTACCTGTAGTAATTTCAGTAGTATTCAGTAATTTCAGTAAAATATAAATATGTTAACTTACAAATAATCATGAGCTGAATTTTTGAGTAAATATTAATGCAAAAAAGGATCTTAATATTTAGCCATTATTTTATAAGCCTATATCAAGAAAAAATATAACGAAATATCCAGAATATTTCTATAGAATCTCGTCCCAATGAAGTAATAAATGAAATTAAAATTAGGACAATTATTAACTGAATATATACATTTCCTTGAGATAAATGAATTTGTATGTAAATATTATTATTGTTTTTTTTTAAATTATCAAGATAATAAATAATCAGGATTTGTAGTTTAGATAGGTTTTATTAAGCTTATCAACGTTTCGACCCAAGCATGTGGTTTGCCGTCAGGGTTAAAAAATAAAAAACATATATCAGTAATAAAAGATGAAGGCTGAAGTACGTAAATAAGCCAATATAAAAGGATGTTTAATACACATAACATACTAGTATTATAAACTTATATACAAAAAAAAAATGAATAAATGAATACATAAATAATTAGTATGCATAAAACAACAGGGTCAAGAATATATAAAGTAATTATTTTTTTTAACAAAACACGCCCTAGTGATGACCCACATGTTTGTGTTGAAACCTTCGCACCAATAAAAACTTTATAATGACTGGGTCCTGTATATGTATTTATACAACAGATAGAATCAAAAGTTTAAATGTAACGAATATAAATATAATAGGTAAGCTTAATAAAGCATATCTAGACTGCAAATCCTGACTGTTTATCATCCTCATAATTTTAAAATATCTGTCAACAAATATAAACAAAATAAAAAACCAGTATATAGAGGGCCTTGGTGTAGTACTTTGTAAGGAAGTACCATCAGTTGTGTAGGGAGGTGATTGAGCCAAGATCACTCTCAACTCCCAGGGTTGAATCCACCGCTGACGAAACAGAATAAATAATTACCTGCCATCAGCTGGATTTGACCCCTGGACCTTGAGCTTAGGAAGTCAGTGCCTTACCTACTTAGCTACCCCACTCCCATAGTCAACCAATATATTAGTCTTTAAATTATTATTTGTTTTTTAAAGACTCGCTTATTTTTATTTGTTTTCGCTTGCTACTGCTTCTCCTCTCAGATTTGTAAAAGAGAGCCAAGATATATTGTTACTTTATTTTGACTCATTTTTTAATAACAGAAGAATTCTTGGTAAATGTTTGCGATCAATGTTTTTTTCCACGAATTTTGATTACTGAGACTGCACTGTACTACTACTTTGTAAATCATGAGCAACAAATTTGAAAATCAACAATGATGTATACCTTATTTGATTTTAAACAATTTTATTTGTTTAATTTATTCTTTTATTTTTTATGTTTCAGTGCAAGGGTCACCTGGTTCCTCATTACATCGGTAAGTCGATAGAGTGCTGCAATTCATCCGACCTATGCAACAAGTTCTTGACGCCGATGTATCGCCCTCGACCAACGTTACCTCCTCCGCCTCCAATCTCCCTTCAGGAAGCAGCACCTTATATTGCTCTCTTGGTTTCTCTTACTTTTTGCCTAGTCGTCTTCCTTGTGATGGTTGCCTGTCTTTGTGTGAGGTAGGTTTATATTTACTATTTAAAAAATTTAAAAGTATTCATTAGTTAAATAAATTCTATATTGCTAAGACTTACAAGGTTTTAGAACTAAGCTAACAATATTAGTTTTGATCTATAATATATTATAATGTTATTGGGTTGTCTGGAAAATAATAAAGCATTTAATGTTGTCTTTATATTAAACCTCTATATAACCAACTGTTCAAATTTGAGGGATTATTTGGTGTGGAGGTGGTTTACTGTAGATTATAATTTCAGAAGTTAGTGGGGGTGCAGTCAATATATAAAATACCATATTATATAATAGTATTTTTTATTGAATTATCCTACGTTTCAACCTACATTCAGGGTGTTCCATCTAGTATAGTTGGTAGTCTCCGAATAGAACGCCCTCAAGAAGATCTACAACGTAGGCTGAAGCGTTGGATAGTTCAATAAAAACTACTATTATATAATAGATATTTTATATATTGACCATAACCTGACTAACTTGAAAATTGAGGGATTATTATTTTCTATAGGTATCAACATCTTGTTAATTCTATTTCAAATTCAAAAGTTTTTATCTTCTGTAGCATTCCACAAATTATAAATAATTCATTGTTGTCTTCATTAAGATTTCCAAGTGTAAGTTGTGCATACTTTCGTTTTTCAATTTTAAAATCAGTCGAAACAGGGTCCAAATTGACAAAAATAATAATGAAGTCTTCGGTGATGCTAGTGTGAATGAGTTCAACGATGGTTTCAAAATTTCGAAAGCATGACTGAAGTGAAAAAAACTTTGTCCAAACGGAAACAAATCTTTTCCACCATACTCTCCCAACTTTTTCTCTATGCTATTAATTTTATTGACATCTGAGCCTATTTTAATTAAATAAAAATTTTATTGTTCAAAATTCATTAGAAAATACATTTTTAGAAGTTTTAAATAACAATGATTCAATATTCTATTCAGAGGGAATGGGAAAGTAACTAACCCGTTAGCAGAAATATTTAAGAGATAAATTAGTTTCATATCATTTAATATATTTATTTTATTTTTAATTTTAACCGAAGTTAATCAAATTTTTTTAAAAATGTATATTTGTTTTTATTTCCAGGTGTAGGAAAAAAGAAGAAAGCGGTAAATTGTATTTAGTGGAAGGTTCTCGAGATGCTTACTTGACATCATCTCATACACTTCAAGACCTAATCGATCAGAGCTCTGGATCGGGTTCTGGCCTACCTTTACTCGTAAATACAGTTTTTATTTATATATTATTAGAATGTGCTTTTAGGTATATTGTTAATATTATCATAGATTTGAAAATAAAATATCGCTGATGCAAATCCTAGTTGTCCAGAGGTCTGTCCAGAAAGGATTTTAAAAAAAAATTTAGTAAATGTAATCTAATTAGGGAGCATTAAGAAAAAAATTATTTTAAGAGTTGGGTTTACAACTTCATGATATCACATAACACGAAACTGTTTTGTCTATGTACTGCCAAAACAGTTTTATGTTTTGGCAAATCAAGCAATAATCTACTTGCTATGCAAAACATTTACTTCAATTATCAATTTCATCTTATAACACTACACTTTATAAATCTACTAGATATTTCGTCTAACCTATCTTGGATTTACTTATACATTATGTATTATTAAAAATTAAATTGTCCTAAAAGAATAGGTGTATGAGAAATAAAAGCAAAATTTTGATGATTCGGACAGGATCTGATCTCATCCAATCGAGATCAGAACTTTGTTACATGTGTAACATATTTCTATACTGGGTTTTGGTTATACCATGGTAGGAGAATTCGCAACCTCTATGGATTCCTTGTGGGTTCCTAATAAAAACCATTTTATTAAATGTTCAATTATTTGTTAACTGTTTTTATTTATTTCTCTTCCATTGAGACTGCAAGTCCAACCTTACTGGCCTTCCACTATAGGACGCCTCCCGAAGCCTGAGTTATATATTGTGATGAGGAAATCTGTAAAGTTTAAAAATGATCATTGATTTCCAATTTTTACGTTGTTGTTGAGTATTTTAATTTTCCACATTTAAGAGGACAGTAATTAATAAATATAAATATTGTAGTATAAAATTGCTATTAAGAAAAGAAGCTTTAAGTAAAAACATTGTAAATCTTTCCAACTTCCCCTACTATGCGAGAACTCCAGGAGATCTTGAGGTCGCTTCTAGCATGCCTCTAGTATAAATTACTTTTTTTTATAAAATCATATCTACTAATGCGCTATGTTGGAAAGTTATTATTAATCAGTAATAAGTATATATACCAATCATCTATCCTTAATTAAGTGAACTTAATATCTCTGGTATATTTAATTGAGAGTATATTTAAATGAGAGATATATTGTCAGTTTATTGCCAAAGGGGAGTGGAGTAGCTCAGTGGTGGGGTGCTGATTTACAATGATCAAGGTTCCAGGTTCAAGTCCAGCTGATAATAGATAAATTATTTATTCTGTTTCGTTGGCCATGGATTGATTCAGGGATCGGGAGACCCTACTGGGGCGCACCCAGCCTCTGTGTCATTTTAGTTCACTTGCTTTGTTTATTTTTAGTTGATTAATAAATTCATAAAAATGTTCTTGAAAATTTAACTCCCAGATATAATGAATTGTTAACATAGAAATTTCTGAAAAGTTATCAAACCAGAATAACTATCAAAAACATATGTTTTCTCCAATCTTTTTTTTTTTTGTCTTCAAGTTTCTTAATTACAAAGTTCATAAATGGCTAAAAAAAATTGTTTACTTGTTCATATAATACTTATATTTTTTAAAATTTTTATAGAGCCAGATTTTATTATGGGATAGGTCATATGAGATTACCTGGTCTTGAGCCTTAGCCAGTTCATTGACAATGAGAATCTCTTTGGCCAATTTTATCATTGACTGCATCTATTGTTAGTAAAGTGTTTATATTCAGCTTATCACTATATTCATTTCTATTTATGTCTCTTCCCAAGTATGTGCTATCAGTAGATTTATGTCCGGGTGCTCTGTGTCATTGCCTCATCTGATTTATATCTCTTTGATAATAGTTCTATAAGCGTAGTACAATATGAATAACATGATGGGTCATTCACAATGCTTATTAATTTTAAACGCTGTTAACCGTTTAAAGGTTTTTTTAATATTTTTTCCCCCTCATTCATTGTTTAATTATATTATATTATTATTTGTGATTAAAAGAAAAATTATTTCAGGTTCAACGGACAATTGCTAAACAAATCCAGATGGTGCATTCAGTCGGAAAGGGTCGTTACGGTGAGGTTTGGCTTGCTAGGTGGAGAGGAGAGAAGGTTGCCGTCAAAGTCTTTTTTACAACTGAGGAGGCTTCATGGTTCAGAGAAACGGAGATTTATCAGTCGGTCCTCATGCGCCATGATAATATACTTGGTAAGTGTTCAAGGCTATTCAAAATAGTTAGTAACTCTTCAATTTACAAAGTAGTTTATACTTGGAAGTTAAGTTGAATTTTATTTTAATATTCTTTAATGATATTATTAGCTAATTACTAAAATTTTGCTCAGTTTTATGAAAGTGGTCTTAAAGAGCAAGGTAGCTTAGTGAGTAACGTACTATGCTCCCGTGCTCCTAGTCTGGGGTCAGAAAACCTTTCTGAGGCATACCCAGACTCTATAAAGTGGATACACTTAATTAATTAAGAGAGAATACTCTAGGTTGAGAGTGATCTCAGCCTTATCACCTCCGTGCACAATAATTGGCCTTGAAACACTTATGTAAACAGTTTTTCTTTGAATTCTTCCAATTTAAGTCTTCGATATAGTTATGAATCCTTATATTGTCGCTATTGAACTCATACTCCCATTTACAATGAGTTGCATGTTTCTCCATCCTAATTTCCTTTACTATCATACATTATTCTTTTAACCCTATATTGCTAAAAGGTATTAGGTGCTAAAACATTTACCTCAGAATAATTTCCATTATAACAGTGTGTTTTTGTTTTTTTTCGTTTTGTTTCATATCTGTATCTTTAAAGAATATGAATGTTTTGTTATGGATTCGGATATGATGATTCTTATATTAAATTGTTATGATAGATAAAAAAAAAATTGTAGTACTCAAAATTTGCCATGGAAAGGAATATTTGGATATTATTACTATAGAAACAAACAAATGATTAGAGGTAACTTAGTTGTATGGCTTAAAATTACCTGGTGCAAGAGTTTTAGTTATTATCTGTAAATTATACTGTCAACCTGTGAATATATCTCTAAGGTATAGAATGACCTTTAGATTTTTATTCTAGCTTAGAATTCGACCTGCTAGGAAAGCTAGTATGACAATTTTAAAAATAGAGGGAAAAAAATTCCACTAATGAGTTTAAATTTCTGGATTAATTTGGCAATCTAATTTCTTTAATTTTTTTTAAATTTTCTTTATACGAAAATTTTTGCTGATCTTTTGGTGAATATTTGTTTACCTCTTATTCAGAACTTTTATTTCAATTTCAATTAACATAAATTTACAAACAAAAAGTTACTTTAAAACATTTACACTCAAAAATATTAACTGTTAAGTAATATAATTAAAGCATAGTACAATTACATAAAAGTTTTTAAATAATTTAAAAAACAAAACTTGTTTGCAAGTTTAATTGAAATGATTGAAATTCATGAAAAAAAGGTTCTACTGATATGGAAAGCGCTTCCTATATTTTCATCTTGAAAAAATAAATAAAAATCAGAAAAAATGGTATGGCCACATTAACTTAGTGAAACTTGGAATTACTTTTCTAAGGAAAAAAATAAAAAAATTGTGTTTAAGTTTAAAAAAGGAATTGCTATCCACAGCCAAGATATTACTTGATGATCTTATTTATGAAAAAGTAAAGAAGAATTTATGAAAATATAAATTTTTTATGGTAAAGCATATATTTTTTGTTACATTTTCATGCAACATTTTATTTTATTTGTATGTAACATGTTACATTGGCTTGTAATGATTTACTTCTATTAAATTTTGTTTTCTATTTAGGTTTTATTGCTGCTGACATTAAAGGGACTGGTTCTTGGACGCAGATGTTACTCATTACTGATTACCACGAACGAGGATCATTGTATGATGTTTTGCGGTCGACAGTCATCGAACCAGAAGGTTTGCAAAAACTTGCCCGTTCCGCTGCTGCTGGAGTCGCTCATTTGCATACTGAAATTTTTGGAACTCGGGGAAAACCTGGTATTGCTCATAGAGATATTAAATCGAGAAATATTCTTGTTAAAAGGAACGGCGAATGTGCTATTGCTGATTTTGGTCTCGCTGTGAGATTTATCAGGTACTACTCTAACCTTATTGTATATTCAATGGTGCTTTAAGTAGATTTTATTTAAATTATTAATTATTTTTTGTTTTATTTTAGCGAAACTAATGAAATAGATATAACACCCAACACCAGAGTAGGAACCAGAAGATATATGGCTCCTGAGGTTTTGGATGAATCTTTGGACACAAAATCATTTGACGCTTTTAAAATGGCAGATATATATGCTTTGAGCCTTGTTCTCTGGGAAATGTGCAGGTATGACAAATATTCATACTTATATGTTTTTTAATGTATTAATTAATATATTTTATTTTATTCAATGACAATAAAATTTAATTAAAATCAAAATTAGCTGAATCAATACTTGCTTCGTTAAAATATTTTATGGAAATCTTCATCACTTGTTCAGGTTGCCAAATCTCACATTTTTATTATCTTTTGATAAATTACAACAACATTAAATTTTATAATTATTTTTGTTTACTCAAATACTAAGTAACCATTCACTTTATAATAGGTTAACATAAATTTACAGTGCTAAGATACTTGCTGACAATGACAAAAAAACGATGTAACTTTTATAATGATGAAGCCTTGATAACAACAAAGATCATTTCTTCGAATACATTAGATTTTTGTTAAATCTCTATTTTTTTATTACTTTTGAAATAAAAAATTATTATTTCATTAACTTTAAGGTTATAAAAATTGATAATAATAATAATTAGCGAACCCAAAGTTTTGATGCCGATACGATACCACCAATCGATGTCTAAATTCTTCCATCCACTGACCGCCAGATCTCCAGCAATCTAATCTCTCTACCTTCGCTTTGGTTTATCCCTTGGGCGCTTACCAGATGTATTAGGACACTGTTGCTTGCCAGATATATTATTTGTGTATGAAAGTTACAATAATCAAATTTCAGTCAACAAAGAAAAATATCTACAATATAAATCTATATACTTAGTTTGTATTTGTTAAAAAAATCTCTCCGAATAGTTTTTTTAATTAGATAATAAATTTATTGTTAATGTCTGGATAAATAAAAATTAACAATGATATATCTGTTTAAATTTTATCAACAATTGAATTACATTACATATAATACCGGTATTATAAAAAAAAAAAAAACTTGACCTATATGAACAAATTAATCATTTTTCGAAATTCTCTTCGACCGAACTAAATTGATTTATTTAATTTTTTAATTAACTTCCTCAATATTTGTGTGTTATATCTTATTTTAAACAATTCCGAATTGAATGAATAAGATTAATAAAATCTAGAAACCAAAACTGTGAATGAAAAAGTGAACCTAGTCACAATCTCAAGTGGTTATTTCTTGGCTGTTTTAGACAATTTCATTTGACAATTCCTCTTAACAGAACTTCTTATCAATATCCCATTGTTTCCCTTCACAAAGTTGAGACTTAAATTTATCACTCTTATTTTAAATCCAGAAGTTGTTCACAGTTTTATATTCTTAATTTATTGTTATGGAATCCATGTTTGAAGAAGTTTTAACTATATTTTTGTATATTCTGTAAAGTATTCAACTTTGTTTGTTTTAATTGTATTTCTAATGTATCTTCATAATTTCAGGAGATGTGTAACCAGTGGTAGCTGTGAAAAATGGGGCCTAGAGGCAGATGAGTATGCTCTTCCTTATCATGATGTTGTTCCCAGCGATCCATCGTTCGATGATATGCATCTTGCTGTTTGTGTCAAGGGTATCAGGCCGCATTTACCATCCCGTTGGCAGAACTGTCAGGTACGAATATAAATAATCGTTAATGAGTTGTCGATTTTATATTTATATATATATATATATATATATATATATATATACATATAAAACCTAAAAGTTTTATTTGCGATCAGTGGCAGTTGTTCGGGTCTTATCTTTTAGATTTTTCTCAGTATTTTACTAATCTTCTATGATAAAAGATATTTCTTTTTTAGAGTAATTTATTAGTAAGCTTATGTTTCCTTAATTTCACAAAGCAGATATTTTGTCATAGTATTCACTCGCCCGTTGACCTAAGAATTCTGTAGGTTATGTTAGCCAAAAGTTCATTTATACATATTTTGACAATGTTAAAGTAGAAAGGTGCAAGCATTAAAACAAAAAATTGAGATTTTCAGTTAATCTCATGTTAGGTTTGAAGTGAAATAAATATTAATAAATTCATAGGTGATTAATAATAGTCAGAATGCAGTAATTTTAAGATTTTCATTGTTGTTACCGATGTTTCAACCCAAGCATGTGTGTCATTATCAGGGTATGTTTTCAGTACTAAAGGTGTTCAAGTTCTCAACACCTTCAGTACTGGAAACATGCACTGATGATGACGCACGTGCTTAAGTTGAAACGTCGGCAACAACAATAAAAATCTTAAAATGACTGTGTCCTGAATATTTATCACCTATGATGTTAAACAGACGACTTACATCCTTCAGTAATTGATAAATTCAAATATCATGTGTTATTCGACACTTGTATTAATCTTGCTCATGATAATGAAGAATTACTGTACCCTTGAATAGGGCATAATTGGCTACGGACCCTTTTAGCTAAAACCATTCCGAGATTCCTTACAGGTTCTACTGTGAATGGAATCCTTAAGCAAAAGGAATGTTGAAAGCGAGTCATTTATTTAAATTTCTGTCTTTATAAATAACCTGTTTAATAAAGTAAATGTTAAGAAGTAAAAAATAAAATGTTACTAGGCTCATATAAGTTGATCTTTTCCGTCTTTTCACTCACTATAAACTTTTTTAAAATCATCTGTACGTTTCCCACTATCTTCAAAAATTTTATGTTGTGCTTTTTATTTTGAAATGATAAAACAAAAACAATCTATGGGTCAATTTTTATTTATTTTTCTTTTTACATTTTAGATTTTCTTTTGTTGTCAGGGTGGTGATTTTTCTTTTTCTTTTTTTTCACCACTGACAATGACTAATGATTTCTTGTTTTTCCTTAATCGTGAGAAAGAAACTTTTTACTCCTTAGAGACAACATCAAAAACAAATCAAAATTCGTAGAAACAATCCCCTCTCACTCACTCACTCTCTTATATTATCTTATAAGCATAATGAGTTAGCCTAGATTTTTTATTTAGAAATTTGAGTACTAGGATGTTCACTTTACTTAAAAAATAAAAATCTCTTTATTATATTAAATAGTTTTTAGTGACTTGGTCATAATTTATTGTACATATACAAAGCAGAACAGATCATAACAAAGACACCACACTTATTTCTCCCTTTTTATAATTACAAATTGGCAAAAGGTACCGTACCGCATTGTGTACAATATAGATTTTTAAAGAAATTAAAAATTTATCCTTACTGCGCCTTCATTCTGTTTATTTTATGCTGATAAAAAATAATACAATCTGTTCTACAGAATACATGTAAATGACAGTTATACAATTACAGCAGTTGTAAAATCGGGGCATCAGGCTCTAACCATCGATACTATCAAAATATTGGACTTGAAATATCGATAGTCAATGTTTTGATCGATATTATAAACATTTTGAAATATGAATATCAATATAAAGATTGATTCTCTAGCACATAGATGCATCAAAAAAGTTTTTATTTTCCTCTTTAAATTAATTAATACAAATATCAATTCTTCTACCCTCCTTGGTAAAATAATTTTCTAGTTGCTGTCCATCTTTGTCATCCTCAGCTTTTTCCCAGAACTCTCCGTTAAACCAATTATACCTTCCATCCACCCATAGATCGGATTCACCGAAATAATCATTTAGTTGCATGTTATATAGATTTCTTTGGCGATTCGTAACCTTAGTTTGAGAAGGGTCCGAAGTGCTATTCAATTCCACTTAAGGATGGCCATTAATGTTCGATATTATAGAAAAATTGGATATTATCAACAAATCGATATTTTCCTCTAGTATGCACTATTCTATATGAAACAGGCAGGATGAGTATAATTTTTTTTTTTGTAACAATCAGATTCCTAGCGGTGTCCTGAAAAGATAGTTTTAACTTTTATTTTTAAATTAAAATATTGGTAGTCAATAATTTCTAATTCGATACTACCGATGGTAAAATATCAAATATTGGAAGGAAAATATCAATATTTCAATAATATCGACTATCAATGGCCATTCCTAAAACAGGGGGGGGGTGCCCCCCCTAGTAAATATCGATTACATTGTTTATGTATGAATTAGGGATTCTCTTGGGACCAGAGAATTATACTCCATTTTTCCATTAATATTTTCATTTCATTTATTTGTATAAACTGAATTTTATATTTCTTTACAGGTGACATCTGTTCTATCAAAAATTATGCAAGAATGTTGGCATGCAAATCCAGCAGTTCGCCTTACAGCCTTGCGAGTAAAGAAAACTCTTTATAAATTAGATCCAGATCCATCGATAAAAATCATATAGTGTCCAGTAATGTTTAATATTATATACTCATTGATTTGGCCATTGTAAAGTGTTCACAAATCCATTAATTTATTGTAAATATATATTTTTTTTAAATGAGAAAGAATGATATGGTTGTCTGTTCTTTAAAATAATAGTCGTTTATTTATTAAAAATTTTATGTTCAGACTGTTGAATATTCATGTTCTATTATAGATAATGTACAAATAACAAACAGCTTGTATATAAATTTATTTTTATAAATTAATCACAGAACATGTGAAAGTTACAAAAGAAACAAAAAAAAAACTTTTAATGATGTGGCCTTGTTCTCAATTTTGTCCATAGTTCCTTTCTTTTTTTTTTTTTTTGTAATAATTAGAGTTTTATCATTTTAATTCTATCTAATAAAGTGCCATTCAGTTTGTCCGTTTTGGGCCCACTACTTGAAGTAAAGTAACTTTCTCCATTTGTACTTATATGTTTTGATTTTTGAAACCTGGCCCTTGAAACAAATAACTCTATTTATTAATTCTGAAGTTGACTAATTTATTATTTTTATTGTGGCCTGCTATTATTGTATGTACCTTTGTTGATTTTCATTTCATTTTGTGTATATATATTAGTAATTTTTTTTTTTAATAATATGTACAGATATTGTATACATAGTGTATTATAATTATTTGATACTTAATTTTAATTAGTATATTTATGTAAATACTCAATGTTTCATAGTAAGACTGAAATTAAAATATTATGTATATTTTAAGTAAAAGTTGTACATTATGATGTTTCTTACATTTTAGAAATGCTCATATTGGAAGTAAAAGCTTGCCATAAAATCAATTAAGTAAACGAATAAATGATTTGTTCATGATTAAATTTCATGATTGAGTTTCCTTTATAGTATTTTTAGAAATAATGAGGATGTTTCTCTTATCGTCGATAAATAACTTAAGAAACATTATCTAATGTAGTTTTTAGATGTAAATATTGTGAAATACTAAAAAAATATTTGAATTGAACTCAGTTATAACCTGTGCCAATTAGAGTTAAGATATATATTGTTTTATCTTTCAGTTTCGAACTAAAAGCCAATTTAGAAATACATTATGGCCCATTATTGAAATGAGCCTTTCCTGAATATCTTTTTTTTTGTTAATGTACAGTAATATGTCAATTGATAATATAATTAATTGCCTTGAATCATAAGGACTGAATTGTTTAATGAAATAGTTCCGCACTAATTGTTAAAATGTACAATAAAATAATTCACTCTACATTGTTCTTCATTATTTTGTTAAGTTATCCTTCCTTTATTGAAATTGAACTCAAATTCTTAACTTGGAAATACGTTCAGGTCTCTTTGTATTTAACAAAAAGTCTCACTAAAAAAAAAAGATTTAATTATCGTCAATAGAAGGTTTATGTTAGATTGATAACAATGAGTTATCATTAAATGGAAATAGAAATACTTATTTCACAAAGGCAGCTTTGGGAAGTGAGATTCTCTGTAGAGGTGCTCATACTCCCAAGGTCAATGTATTATTTATATATATATATCCCATACATTTCAGCACCCCTGAGGTCTCGCTTGTTTCAAACTACAGTTGAACCCCTGTTATCTGGGATAACGATGGATATTACGCTTCACGGATAATAGAATTACTAAATTTTATCGACTTAATGTGATAAATAAGAAGGTTAATTTAAAAAAAAAGAATATGCAGAAAATCACTTTTATTAACAAGCAAACATTTTATATACATTAAATTATAATATATAACAATACATAAGAATGCATTTATTCATATTTATTGAGTTTTCATTTGGAGAAAGAATCAGTACTTTTAGTCTGTTTTTTATTAAGCATTTAAACTTTAATGTTTAACTTATTAAACTTTTTCTCTCAACTTGTTTTTGCTTAGATAGATAGAAAATAACTATTCTGTTATTTATAATATTCTGTAACTAAGTCTCTTGACAATAACAAAAGAATACAAAATTAAATGATAAAAAACAATAGAAAAAAGGGTAAAGATAACATTGGGTAAACATATCGTATAAATGCCTGTAAACAAAACAAATAAAACTATATACAAAATACTTAAAACTATGTACAGTGGTAAAGCAGTATAAATATACACTTAAGAAAAATACATGAAATTCTTTAAAATAAGCTCTGTGTTTCTGCTGAGAAAAATTTTGAATAATATGTAAGTAAATATTGGGTTGGCTAATAAGTCCTTTCGGTTTTTCTATTTATTTTTATGCCACTATTATATACTTCTTGTCTAACGAATTAATCCCTAAGGTGGATTGTTTGTCCTGTTTGTAATATGTCAACAACTACATCTGTTAACTCTTGTTGAAATTAGCTTAATATTGTATTTGTTATTGTACTGTGAATATGGAAGAAAATATCATTCATTATCAGCATATTTTTTTTGTATTATTTTAAAAAAAGTAAGCATGCTGTAGAGGCTCATAGAACAATATGCAGTGTTTATGGGGATGATGCCTTAACCAAACGTACCTGTCAAATTTCATTCAGGAAATCTTAAAAAATCAATGAGGCTCAACGGTCTGGTCGTCCACATGAAATTTTAATGAGCAATATTATTGGCCATTGTTGATCAAAATTTCAACCAATTAGTGTGATAGATTGCTATGGCCCTAAATGTGTTGCACAAAAGCGTAGAAAACCATTTGCACAAGCTCAGTTATGTTTCCATGCTTAATGTATGGGTCCATCACATGATTTTTTTTTAGAAAATCACAATAAATGTTATAACTTTAATACAATTTTAGCTATCTACAAGAAATTTAGTAGGAATTTTGGACCAGGTAAACAAACTGCATATGGAGATAAAAAGTTGATTTTTTATTCTTTCTGTAGCCATTAAATAAAAAAAAAACATTCATACGGCTTTGAAGAGCAATAATTCAGCTATAAAACGGATATAGTAACATCGTTGGTGAACGAACATCCTGAAGAGTTATGAATGATCGGAAGGGTGTTGTGTTTCACCAAGACAATGGTAGGCCCCACACCTCATTGGTCACTGGCAATAAATTGTTGAGCTTTGGATGGGATCTTTTACCCCACCTGTCCTATTCACCAGATCTAGCTCCAAGTGACTACCACTTATTCTGATCCCTGCAGAACTTCATGAATGAAAAGAAATTTTAAAAGGAAGAGGACATCAAAAACAACTTGGATCAGTTTTTTAACAATAAACTCCAGACATTTTACGAACATGGCATTATGCGGTTAGTGGAAAGATGGGAGAAAGTCATATTAAATTTTATGTCTATAATACATTGAGTTTTATTTCACCCTGAAAAACCAGAAGGACTTATTTGCCAACTCTATATATCATGATCATTTCTTAACGGAACTATAGGTAAGAATTCAATTATATATATATATATATATATATATATATATATAAAATAATAGCTAGTAATAAACAAACAATAGATGCATTAAGTTGAATTGAGAGTAAGAAAATCTTTTATCCCTATCCTAAGCAAAGAACAGCACTAAAATTTGAGAGTTTTGAATGTGGATTTAGAGAAAAATTTGAATGGTATTTTGATAGAGAGGGAATTTCAGAAATTGACAGAGCAGAGGCAGATCTGTGAGAAGGGATGTAAAGGTCAGAAGGGTCGAGATGCTCTGAAAAGGGAATGGACTGAGGGACTTGAATTCGAAAAGGTAGTAGGTGTAAGAAGGACGAAGATTGTTATAAATAGTACATACTACTTATTTAAAAAAACATGAATATTGAATGATATAAAGATTTAGAGCAGTAGAGCAACGAAAAATAGGAAAGTTAAGTTTTTTTGTAAAATCTCGGAATACAATTATAATTGCTCTAACATTTGAAGAGTTGAAGATAAAATGGTAAAATAATATATATTCTTTATAAAAATTTAATGCTCAAAAACTTTCCTCATAATTGTTTTTGTAAAATTAATAGAAAAAGCGTTGGTTAGTAAAACAACAATAAAAACGTGAAGCAAAATTTTTTTTTCGAAATTGGGAATTCTTGAACAGGCATTACTTGTTTTTCTTCTATAAGCATTCATTGACTGAACTCACAGATGGATCTACGGGGGAGAGGAGGGACTTTCAGGCTGAAGCCCCTCCAAAATGGTAAAATATAACAATATTTTACAGAAAAAAAATAATAAAAACTATCTCTTAATGTATTCTTGTTCGTGTAATAGGACTTCAAGAATCACTTAAACACTATTTCATGTAGGTAGTTAATTTATTTTTTATTTTAAATTAATTATCGTTATACATATATAGAAGAAAAAAAAACTTTCGGGCTGAAGAACCCCCCCAAAAAAAAAATTAAATCCTGGATCCACTAGTAACTGGATTAGTTAGTATGTATATGCCTAGGACGTTACAGCAACTTTTTATCAACATCGTCTAACCTGATGTGCCACTTTATACAGGTTTTCCCGTAAGTAGAGAGAAATTTTTATAGCAGTGATAGCAGACATCAACAGCTACAAAAAAGAACATATAAACAATGGGCGAATTTTTAGCAGAAAAGTAGGTAATTGTGTCACACCTTTGCTATATTTATAGTACTATTAAATCATGTATAAAATTGGCGTGGTCATTAAGCTTTGTTTTAAGCTTAATCATGTTATCATTGATTTCGATTTTGCCCATCTGTGCGAAAAACGATTTTCTAATTATTGTAGTTAATAATGTGTACGTTTATATTATTGAATGGAAAATAAATGTTTCCATGGAAATAATGAATTTTGTGTTAAAACTGAAGAGACACTTTTAAAATTTATTTTAAGCTTGTTATACAAGTATAAGTAACAAATACACCGAACTGCTATTATTTAAAAAACTATTTGATTGTACTTTTGTGAGAGAAGAAATGGAATATAAAAATAGTTCAAAGAGTGTTTACGGATTGGTATAACACATGTTTAAAATCTTAAGTAACTTTACTGTCGTTTGATAATTTTAAGCCCGACGATAAATTTAAATAATTAGACATGAATCGTAGGTTTATTCTGAAAAATCATTAAGGAACATTTCAGAAAATTAAATCAGTAAATAGCTTGATGAAAGTTTTCTCTGTGAAATCATATGCAATGTAGTGTATTTCTTTGTTTACTTTTGGCATAACGGTGGTAGACAAAGATGACCATCTAACGCCATTTTGGTAAATTTCACAAGGAGATATTAGTTTAAAAACATATATAAAGTGATACAGATATCGTTTCTATAATTTTGTTTACATAATACAATTCAAACCTTTATTTGAATATGGAGTTCCGATAACGGAGTTACATGGATTAAATAGATTGATGAGTAATTGCTACTTTCATTGTATACAGTCGATGTATTAGGGTTTGTGTTATTATATCATCTTAACCTATTTCTGCAGTAATAAATATGACCACAGTTCACAAATGTTTGCAGTACCCCAATTTTGATATAAAATAACTTCGACTTAAAGTGGAGTGGTAAATGAAAGTTTTGTTATGCGCGCACCGACTTTATTTTTTCTTTTGATTTCATTGCCAGTGAAGATCCAAGAACTTTTAAAAGATTACAAAGAAGAAATATGTTAATTTTAACAACAGGTGTTATAAGTATAATCAAATGAATAATTCAATCAACTAAGTAAAACGGAAAATTCATTGATTCTAAAAAAATAAATATGCATCGTTCTAAACTGCGTCTTAGACTTCTTTTAAAGCAACTGCGTGATAAGAGAGAATTCAGCAGGACATGTAGTGTTCAGGTTAAAGAAGATAACACAAAATCAATTTATGATCCTGAAAGTGATGGGGAAAAAGTTATGGAAAGACTTTTGCACCAAGCAACGAGATAGTAATTACATATTTTCTCTAAAATAATATTAGTCTGACTTCTCAGTTTCTAAAACATAATAGCCCGTGGTACAAAAGACCCTTTTTTATCAAATTATTAACATCCGGCTGAAACTTCGTAAATAGTTTCGTCTCATCGTAACCTACAACTATTTAATTTGCGAAAACTTTTGGAATTGGGGCGTTTTCAATCGGTGCAAACTTTGTCTATTTAATCAGGTACTAAAAAATCGTAAATACCGATTTCCTTTCTACTTGGATCGATAAAAAAGGTGGTCTACAAAAATATTGGGCCGTTTATTCTATATAACCTCGTTGTTTTGAAATTTAGGGGGTCTAGGTCACGCCAAACAGCTCAATATTTTTGAAGGCGACTTTTTTTTATCGATTTTGTGATCAAATTATCCTACGATCCAAGTAGAAAGCAAATGGCTATTTACGAGTTTTTAGTACTTAATTAAACAGACAAAGTTTGCCCCCCTTCAAATTGAAAACACCCCAATTCCAAGAGTTTTCGCAAATAAAATAGTTGTAGGTTAGGATGAGATAAAGCTATTTACGAAGTTTCAGGCGAATGTTATTAATTCGATAAAAATGGGTTTGTACTACGGACTATAAGTCACAAAATCTAAATTTCCTACTTTTCTGTAGAAAATCGGGCTATGATTTATATAATTTTAATTTTTTGTAGTTCTTAAGGTCTACTTTTATATATAAATATTTTCCTTCTCTTATGAGACACCCTGTGTATATATATATATGAGTAGATTCATATCAAAGGCGAACATCTGTCACCAAAATCGAAATTGAGTTAGTAGTTGATTAGGTCATATACAATTAAACTTTCAATGGTCTATTCTATGCTTTTCTCTTGTCTCCTGGTTTGAAACTGTTCATTTCAAAAATTCAAAACCTCGTCAAAATGTACCCCCCTCAAAAATTTTGCCCCCCTCCTTGGATATTTAATGTTGCTCCCCTGCCTTGGATAGATCGAATCAACAAAGTCGTAATCGAGCTGAATACAGATAATTGGAATGAATATAGACAGAAATAGAAAAGACCTACCAGATCCGTAGTGGCAGCAGTATTTTTTTTTCAAAATTGTTACATATTTTCTAAACAACTTATAATTTGACAACGTTTCTAGAATTCATTATTGTAATATTATAATGTCAATTTTCCATCCCAAAGTTTCTTAATAAATAAATATATATTTATCCAGAATTATTTCAGTGACGTATTTTGTCGAGGACATCTCTTGCATGTTATACAGATGGCAGATTTATACCCGGATTCTAAAAGTTTCGTTGACAAGAAAATGATATACCCTCCAGCTATGGTAAGTTAAAATCTGGTTGTTCCTAAGTATTAATAGCGGATCCAAGATTTAATTAAGGAGATTTAATCGATTTATTTAGCTATAGACATACTTCCCTTGGGAAAATGTTCTTAGTTTACCAACCAAAACTGCGTTATTTACACCATTTGATAGAACGTATAGGACATTGTAATTATTTAAATATTTTATCATATACCGTCATTGCATTTCTATAGGGATGTGAACTGGAGCTATACAAGTAGTTTTATTGGATTCTCAGGATAAAGAATAGTTTTCAACAATACCAGAGAGAGAGAATCACTTTATTATCATAAAATAAAATGGTGCTGCCCAATTATATTGGGTTGCTAACAACACAGCATACTTATTAATTACTACAGACATTATTTAAAATTATTATACAATTATATAGGATTAACAATATGTATGAGCATAGTATACAATATTTTATACATATATATATATATATTATTATTATTTTTATTTATTTTTTACTTTTTTATTATTTTTATTTTTTTTTATTTTTACTATTCCTTTCATTCATTTATTATCATTCTCTATACACTTTCTCTTCCTTCTCTCCCCTTATACATCTTCCCAATCCTCACATTCTCTCCTCTCTCTTTCTAACCTAATACATAAAAAATACATAAAGTACAGTGGACGTGTTCAATAAACAATAATATAAAAATGCTGTAACACACGCATGCCTTCTCCCTCCCCCCAAAATTACATATTACTTTTAGAGAAATAGAAATGTACCTCAAAATATAGTATATAACACATATTACTTATTTAAGTGTTACTTATAAGCACGGGCGGATCTACGGGGGGGGGAGGGCTTTCGGGCTGAAGCCTCCCCCAAAATGGCAAAATATAACCATGTTTTATGGAAAAAAATATTAAAAAATTATCTCTTAAAGTCTTATTGTTCGTGTAATTACATATAAAAGGACTTAAGGAATCACTTAAACACCATTTCATATAGATAGTTAGTTTCTTTCTTTTTTTCCAAAGTAATTATCGTCATTTTTATGAAAAAAAAAAGCTTTCGGCTGAAGCCCCCCCCCCAAAATCAAATCCTGGATCCGCTAGTGCTTATAAGTACAATACATACTATTTATATATAAAGATTTAGACCAGTTCAATAACGAAAAATATGAACTTTTTTTTATGTGTAAATTCTTAAAATTACATATTAAATTATAATTTCTTCAACTTTTAAAGGGTTAAAGATAAGATAGTAAAATTATATATATGTATAATCAGCGATTATTGAGCAAGGATATCATGGAAGCTATACAGAAAAACGAATATGATCAATATTGTTGCAAATTTTATCAGTTTTAATTTTTTATAGAACTTAATTCCATAATTATAACATAATTTCCGGATATAAACACCAAACTGAAAAAGTAATCTGGGTGTCCCCTCCCCTCACATCCGACTCACCTCCTAGGAGTGAGGACTTTTAGTATGTTTACCTCCTAACTAGTCCAAGCAAAATTCCAAAGTCAAAAATTGGGTCTTTTTCATTTATTTCTTTAATCATTCATTAACTGGACTAATAATGTTAATTTTCTAGTTGTTTAATACTATTTGAGAGACCCTAGTTTTGTTTTGGTACATTTAAAATTAAAATAAAGAAATGAAACTGTTGGTATCACCTCTGCACTTAATATGTTCCAGGTTTTAGAACATTTTAACAGGTTTATTCATTCCCATAAAGATAGACCAAACCCAGATGCTATTAGACAATTTGTTAATACCAACTTTGAGGATTTCCAAGAATTAGAGGTATGTTCTTACAAAAAAGAATGGTTGAATTTTAAATGTTTTACTTATTTTGAAAACGACTATAACCTTTAACAATTACCTTGAAATCAAATAATATTTTATTTACTTTTTTCTCTAACTATTCAAAAATATATTTGTATAAGCGCAGATATTAAATAAATGTAAAGAACAAATACTTCCATATAATGTCATTACATTAATAGAAAATTTATATGCTGACATTGAGAAGATTCCTCTATCATCAGGAATCCATTCTTAGTAAACAATATACTGCAGCAATTGTGAAATCTACATAGGTGAAACATACATAAAAAAAAACATAGACTATAATAAAACAGCATAAGGCAAATTGTAATGATAAAAATATAGCAAAAATAAAAATATAGCATCTCTTGCTCAACATAGTATTGCTCAAATCATAAATTTGACTTTCATAATCCAGAAAGTTAAGATATTGAAACTGAAACAAAAAAAAAAAAGAAAAACGATGGAAGCTATTTTTAATGCAAAAAATAAACAGAATACAGTTAACTTTAAAAGAGATCAATTAATAAAAAAAGCCATTTCGGATATGTAATAAATAATATATTCATATAATCATAAAACAGAGGTTTTCATAAAATAAGAAGAAACACCTCATAATTATAATGAAAAGTATTGTGTAACTGAAATATTAAACCAATTTGCTTTTCCCTAGAACAGAACACTTTTTATATTTAAATAATTGTATTTTATTTAAGTATAGCTGAATATTTGTATATGGTTTTTACTTCTGGATTACATAAAAAATATTGTACAATATGTATTAAAGGTAATAAGTTAAAAGTTTATTTTTAAAAAATATAATGTAGATTCTGATTTTAGAATTTACATCTATTTATTGATAATTGTTAATTTGTTAAATTGACTCATACTGATGAGGCATATCTGATGTTATGAATGATATTAATGTTATGTTAGATATTAGTACTGGACTCAAAATCTAAAATTGTTTATAATATTTATATAATTAATAAAAAAATGGTGCATGATTGGTAATTTCATTAATGTCAACCAAAATAATCTAAATATATTACATTATATACTAAGTTTCTGTATAATAATGATATAGAATTTATACATATACTTATACTTCTGTCATTTTTAAAAAGTTGAAAAAAAAGTCTATTTTTTAAATATAGCACCAATTTAAATCAGTTCTAATAATTTATTTTCATCATTCAACTTGAACATTCTTAAATAAAACTATCAGAAACAGTTTAAGATGAATCTATAAAACAATAGTTGACTTTTTCTTCACTTTCTGAAATGTATATAAAGAAAATTAAAAATTGTGTTAAAATTGAAATATCGCTATTGCTAGTGCAAAAGGTCATATGTAAAATTGAGGTTTTTTTTTTTTATTATTTCTTTATAATTTATTGGTATAATTTTATATTATATTTCCCTATAATATTTTCCATTATACGATTTATTCCAGTTGCACACTACAAAATGTCACCTTTAGCTCAAATAAAATTAACATAGAAAATTGTTACATACAACCTTTTGTACTAACAGTATCAAAATGTTAAGGATAGATGATTATATTATATCTTTTACTGATTCTTGAAAATGGTTCGAGAAACTGATACATCGACAATAATTAAATAAAAATGGCACCAAACATAAAAAGTATGACTAGTAAATTCTATATATTTATTTGTACCGACATTTCCTTTGACAAATAAAATAAATTATCCATTCATAATTTGTTAAATTGTTGTATTATTTTCTTATAATGGAAAGTAGATTTCCGCAATTGTTAATGTTTAAATGTTTTATTAATAAAATGACATTATAATAATATAATATTGAATAATATTTTATAGTTATTTTTATAATGTCCTTTTCAAGAGTTTACTGAGGCCCACCTCATCCTCTTGATTTATTGCAGATACATCCAATATTCCTGCAGTTCATATCATAGATTATTTTAAAATTTTCATGATAAGTTTTACGTCTTAATCGATTAAATATTTCAGACATATGAACCATCTGATTGGGTTCCCTATCCGGCCATTTTGAAAAATATTGCCGATGTTCATTTGAGGAATTGGGCATCAGAGTTAAATAGTATTTGGAAAAACCTTACTAGAAAACTAACAGCAGAAGTAGTGAAAAATCCAGATTTTTTTTCTTCTGTGATCGTACCCAATGGGTAATTTATATTTTTCATGCTGTCGTTTCAACTATTAAGTATAATAATATTATAGTATTATAATATAATATATTTACTAGTTGGCAAGTGTGAATAATATATTTATCAGTGAACAAATTACAATATAATATGGGAATAAGTAAATACAAAGTATTGAGAAGGAATAATAGATCAAAAAATTTGTATAAATTACAGTTGGTAGTATCTTTGCTAAAAATAGTCCAATTTGATGATTTTTTTTCATTTTGTAATAACTTTGGAAACATTTTTAATTATTGTTCGAATGCCTGAGGAATTGTACGATGACTGTTTGCACCATTTGGCCTAATTATTTATTTATAATTTTGTTGTTACATTTACTTTAGATAAGTGTTGAAATAATTAATCCCTCTGCGGTAAAAGGAACTGTTTGTTATAAATTTTAATTAACATGTTTAATAGATAAACTCGTTTCATATTTCAGTTTAAAGTTTCTAGTATTTTCATGTTTTTCCAAAGTAAAAAAATACTATAATGTAAAGTTGTAATTAACAAGGGACAATATATTATTGAAATAAGTAAATGTAATATATTATTAGAGGGAAAAATCAATTCTCTTTTCATTAGTCGATTATAATAGTTCCTTTAAAATAATAGGCCAAAACATGAGGACAAATTACAAATGGCTCCATCATAGGTGTTGTATATATATATCTAAAAATGGTACTATCTCAAAGATTTTTTTTTTGTTTTGTAAAAAATTTGGAAACCTTTCTAAGTATCCTTGGTTTAACTAAGAATTATGTATATTTTGAATGATGTTTAAAGTTTTTTTTTTTTTTGGTGTCCTCCCCTTCCTCGCCGTTAAGGCTATACGGGGTTTTCCCGGGCCAGGGAGTGTGGGCGGGGATTTAAACTCCCTCGGCACCGAGATTCGATCTCGTGACTATTTTTCTATCATTAGATTCTTATGTCAGGTTGCCGGGCAACGGCGGTACTGTGCACACGCTTTAGCCCATTCGGCTACCCCGCCCACCAAAGTTTACTTTTCTTCTTAACTTTTTTTCTGACCATTCTGGGGTATATATATATAGAACTGTTCCTAAGATATATGGTTGATCCCCTCCCCCCTCCCTAAGGAAGTATTCTTATTCTATGTAACCGAGTTAAGAGGTATCTTCAATGAATATAAGAGATCCTCGAGATACATTTGATGATATATTAGTATCATAGGTTTATTTATCATTTATGTATACTTCTAAATAGTGTAATTCTGTGCTCTGGGAAAAATGCTAAATATTCATTATTAGGAATTTGATTGATAAGTTGAAAAGCATATATAAACTTATAGACTCCATTTAAAGTACTCCTCTATAAGTTTTCTCAGCATATATTGCAGGTCATATTCGTCTGATGTAATGACTGATCTTCTGCTAATCATCTACAAATGACGTTTATAAGGAAAATGTAAGTTCTTTATAAACCTTATGAACAATGTAAAAGAGAATTTTTTTCAGTACCGAAGAAGATATTTTAGCTGAAAAAGAAATAGAAATCAAATACTCTTTAGTGCAGGAGTGCCTAGTGGTGGCAAGAGGAAAATCCCATCATCAAATATTTTTGACATACCGCACATTTTTTGGGATTATGAATTTTTTTATGGGGTTCCATTTTTGGGAAATTTTCTAACTAGAAAATAAGAAGGAATGTAATATTTTATTACTAGTGTGTTTATCCTAATAAGCTAATTGCTCTTCCAGTTTCGTGGTGCCAGGAGGCAGATTTAGGGAACTATATTATTGGGATACATATTGGATTATAAATGGTCTTCTTATCTGCGATATGATGGATTCCGCACGAGGTATTTACATTTATTTATTTTTACTTGTACCCTCATACCAGACTGAAACGACTAGAAACCGCCCGACGTTTTCGACTACTGCAGCACTTACTAGACAAACGATCTAAGCTTTCAATCAATTATAAACGACTCGTATATATGACAATAATAAGACCTATTTGGACTTACGGAATTGAGCTTTGGGGCTCCACTAAACCATCGAATTCCTCTCGTATCCAATCCTTACAATCCAAAATCCTTCGTAAAATTCTCAACGCTCCTTACTTTGTCACAAATAAAATCATCCATAAAGACCTTAATGTTCCATATGTTTCCGATCTGGCCCAATCCAGATACCTTTCCTTCCATAACAAACTGCAGAACCACCCGAATCCTCTCGTTTCAAACCTTGCTTCCTCCTCGATCCCTGATAATCCTCCGAGGCGTCTGAAAAGAAGATGGCCTCGGGATCTTCTAATATAGAACTTTAATTTGAGTTCTACCAATGGGTAGTTTCTCTTCATGTTGTACATGCCATGTTACAAATTTCTCATTTACTTATTGTATTCTCTATGTAATACAGTTGTAAATTCCATTAAAATTATTTAAAAAAAAAAATTTTTACTTGTAAATAAATTGTTTTTTCCCAGCTTCTTTTAGCCATTTTCATTCAATAACGTAAATCGATTTACGAAAAAAGTAGTAATGTAATAAAAAGTATCACTCCACTTTGGAGTGCAGGTCAAGATCGTATGATCACGCTATAAATGGGATTCCCGAAAATAACCGAAGATAAACTACCTGCTCTTCGTTTTTAGTAAAAATTGTAGCGTTAATTTAGTTACATCGCTGCATTCAACACCCATTCGATACAAAAGGGCGAACTAGCCCTCAATACAACGGGTCATTTTTATATGAGGAGGGGTCTTGTTGTTGATTATTATATAATAAAGGGGTAAAACCTGTTGATTATCAACGCCATTAATGGAGATTATATATAAATATTTCGATGAACAAGAGATCCTCCCAATCCTCAAATTTATTAATTCCTTCTCGTAGAACTGTTTCCTTTAAAAAATCCTTGGTCATTCATGCTACCTTGTTTTGAAATTCCATACCAACTTCCATACGGAAATCCTCATCCTTAACCTCATTTAAACACAATTTATTTTTCCACCTCCTCAGTAGTTCAATCTTCCGAATATATGTAAAAATAAAATTGTTTTGTACTTTAGAGATGCCAGCTACATTATGCCGGTATCTCGCAGATATCTATGTATGTGTCATATTGCTTATTTGTACAAATACGTGAACTCAACCGTATGTATTCTATCTTTAAATTCATACGTCTACTCCATGATCACATATTTACTACAATGTCTTTTATTTATTTTAATATTAAGGTCAGACAACTTTGTAAATTAATTTATTTTTAATTATCATTTAATTATTTATAATCGCCAGACACTAGCGGATCCAGGATTTAATTTTTTGGGGGGGGGGAGGCTTCAGCCCTAAAGCTTTTTTTTCATGAAAGTAACAATAATTACTTTGGAAAATAGGAAAGAAACTAAGTACCTATATGAACTGGTGTTTAAGTGATTCCTAAAGCCCTTTTGAATGTAATTACACGAATAATTATACTTTAAGAGATAATTTGTTAATATTTTTTTCGATAAAACATGGTTATATTTTACCATTTTGGGGGAGGCTTCAGCCCGAAAGTCCCCCCCCCCCCCGTAGATCCGCCCGTGTCGCCAGACAATTGTCATTTCTTTGATCATTATAATTATTTTGATGGGATTAAATGCCCCAGCACAAAATTTACTTTCTTCCTTTCTTTCTTTCTATATCTTCTGAATGTGAATAATAGGAATAAAATTAAATTAAAAATACGTTAAATGCACGTTATGTTTAAAGTTATTTAAGGTTATTAAAGGTTAGTTATTTAAAATTGTTAAAGTTAGCACGCAAAGCTCAAAGAAAAAAAAGTAGAGAGAGAGAGAAACACTTTATTTTCATATAAAATACAAAATATAAAAGCTTGCTGCCCAATTATATTGGGTTGCTATATAATACACAGCATACTCTTTAATCCTTAGGACAACAGATGAACTTATATATAAATATACAGAAGTTTTAATAATAAAATTTATAATATCGAGGAAAACACTTCATTTTACCCTTATACATTTATTCTATGCTTTAATTCATTTAAATTTCTTGACGACGTTATGGGCAATTTTGTCCATTTGCAAATCGAATATTTATATTTCATTATTATATAATCCTTATAGTCATAATTTTAATATAATTATTGCAAAAATTATCTCCTCAAAATCCTTCAAATTATAAAATTCATAAATTATTCATGAATAGTCAATTCTAAAAACAACTGAGTGTAATGTAAAGGCGTTGCCAATGACCCTACAGGGTAGAGGCAACAAAATACCAAATAAATAAATAAATAATAAAAACAACTGTGAACAGCCAAAAAATTATTTTTTCTTTTTTAAATTACTCCAATGCTACACATTTTCGTCCCCTTTAAAAACAACAGCCTAATGTCAGTCGACATTATTTGACCGAGATCACGCTTAACAGTGTTTTCCCTCTTAACCAATTATTTGATTAAGGTTACCCACTTTATAGAGATTAGGAAACCCTGGAATCGATCCTCATTCCCTACCGACTAAAACGAATAAATAATATATTTTATATTTACAACAGCTGGATTTGAATCTGAGATCTCGAGCATTAAAAGTCAGCGCCCTACCACTAAGTTACTCCTTTCCCGTATTATTTACTATATTGTTGTAAGTCTCTGATTGAAAAACTCATCAAATTAATTTTTTTTTTCTTTGTGTATTTTTTGCTAGGAATGGTTGAAAATCTTCTACATCTCGTTGCCACCATCGGCCATGTCCCCAACGGTGGTCGAATATATTACGAACAAAGGACCCAGCCGCCATTACTCACTCAAATGGTTGATTCTTACTACAAATATTCTTTTGACTTTGAATTCATAGCGTCAAACATAAACGTAAGTTTATATTAGCTTTAACGATTAACTATTGGGTCAATCCATTTGAAATCATCTTATTAATTTGTTGCTTGATTTTTTTTATTTTCATAACTTGTTTAACAGTTATTCCATGTTAATTTGAGACTTCAAAAACATAGTTAAAAAAAGCTGCAAATTATTTCAGAGTGGTTTATTATTTCCAAACAATTATACATCTAAAGCAATATTAACTTCATAGTGAAGAAGAAAAAGGAATAAAAGATGATTCCAATTATTGGAATAAAATTTTTTTTTAATCATTAGTAATATGCTAAAAAAATTAGCATTACTTCATTAACACATACAAAAGCCAAAAATTAAAACAAAGGATATAACCTTTGCAGTAGGACATATAAAAAACAACTAGAGACCATATCTTTGCTCCTAATAGTCCGATTTTAACGATTTTTTTTTTTTTAGGAAATTCCGTAAACTTTTAAATTACCATTACAATATTGACAAAATGTGTATACTTTTTGAGTCATTCGGAAATTAATTTTACCATTCCTCGTAGTATTATTTAAAGAGGCACACTGTTACTCTTATTTGACTGATATGTTATTGTTACTTACATATCATCAATATTGGTAATCAGAACAAATATGGTAACTAACTCATTTATATTTATGTACAAATCAATATGTTTGCTCGTACTTAATTAATTTTAATTATAAGGTTAGATTATTATGTTATGTTAGCTAAAAAAAAAAAAAAAATTTATAATGCCAGACAATGTTCATCTTTTTGTTCATTATAATTATTCTAAAGGGACTAAATGTTGCAGAATAAAATTTATTTTTATTCTTCCTATTTTGATTAGAATAGATTAATTTCATAAAACATAGCCCTTTTTTTTGGATTTAAAAAAATCATTTTTGGTGAATTACCTCCCTGGTTTTGGATTACCTCTTGCTGTAATTTATTATTAAGTTGAGCGTGAATTGTAAAAAACACGTTTCACAACTATATTAATTATTATTTTAATTTTTTTGTTGATAATTTTAATTAATTTACAATTTTAGTTGTTAGATAAAGAAATGGAATTTTGGTTAAAAACGAGGACAGTAAATATCATGAAACATGGAATCCAGTACACGCTGTTTAGATATTACGCGTCCGATCCTGGACCTCGTCCGGAATCATACAGGTAATTAACAAATTGTTCACATTAGTTAATAAAATAATTTTTTACATTAATTAATGTAGCAAAAATAATAAATGCACTAGTTTTCTTCGATACTCTAAGATGGCGGTCGATTTCAAGATCCCAGATGCCTGATGAATATTGAAAGTAGCCGAATATTGACTATTCTGTTTACATCAGATATATCTTGCTTGATTTACACGATTTTATTAGATTAGGTTATATTCATACCTTTCTAATAGAGAATATGTAAAATAATGAAATACGTAATTAGGAATATGTTTTCTGCAAAAAAGTAAGTTGATAAAGTTAGTTTACCCATCAACACAAATATGTAATTAAAATAAATTAAATTGAAATTCTTTTAATTCTTCTCTCCCGCCCCCCCTCCCCTCACTGATAGATAGCCATTAAGTACGCATAATTAATATGTAAACAAAACAATAAGTAATTTAAATTAATAGTTAATGACTCGATTATCAGATCGGAATGATACAAATTGTATTCGCTTCAATAATTTAACAATTATTGTCTACTATTATAGTGGAGTACAAATGTCTCTTTTAAAATGGCGGGAAGACTTGAACTTTGGGGAACAGCAAAATTTTCTAACATCAAATGCATCCAATCCTTTCAATCCAAAGTCCTCCGAACAATAGTCGATGCTCCGTTCTATGTAACCAACAAAACACTACATCATGACCTTAATATCCCATTTGTCCTTGACCTTAACCCTGAAAATTTTTCCAAATTCCATCAGAACCTTACAAATCCCCTAGCACAATCCCTATCTAGTTCCACTCATCCTTACAATACTCCTCGAAGTTTGAAGCGACAGTGGCCCAGAGATCTTTTATAGAATATATATCTTGGATTTCTGGCAATGGCCAGATTCTCCACTCAAGACATGAGTGTATGTGGCTAAAGCGCTCTCGCTCAAACTCCACTGGCTTTAGCACCAGTGACTTGGTTGAGAGAGTAGCGCAGGGATCTCTTAGAGTCCTGCTTTTACTTCTATAGTTGGAGGGCTTTGGGTTCCCTCCCTGATTGTATATATTGTATATAGGTATGACTGTGTTTTTATGTTTTTAATTTACTTATCTTTAGGTTATTTTATTTTTTTATTGTACATAGTTTTTTTATTATTATTTTACTTTTGTTAATTTTATATTTTCTGTATATATGGTGTGAATGTGTTCATTTATCACTATAATTATTGTCCACGAGACAGAATATTATATATCTAAATAAATAAAAAAAAAAAAATGTCGGATAATTTTTGATCAAGAGTTGGGGATCGGTATGATTCGTCTTATTTCGGATACATTCGTGTATTTTCGGAAATTTAGGTGTAGCATGCTTTAAGTAATCTTGAAACCGACGCCATCTTGAAGTAGAGAAAGGGACCCAATACCTTAACATCTGATTGGTTAAATTAATAAACATAAATTAATATTACTTACTTTACTTAATTATTTAATTAATAAAGTAAGATAAATATCTAGAGAAGATCTCCATTCTGCAATAATGACAGAGGATCCAATAAAAAAGCAAGAACGGTATACGTCGATAAAAACAGCTGCTGAGTCAGGATGGGATTTTTCAACGAGGTGGTTTATTCTTAACGGTGAAAATAAAGGTAGTGTTAATTTATCTGTGTTCAAACGCCTCCTTCATGATTGATACTTTGTATTTAAGATGAACAAATATTTTGTGATTTAAACTAAACAGGATTTTTTATATTTCAGGGAATTTGAGCAATATGCAAACTCACCGGATCGTCCCGGTGGATTTAAACGCCTTCATGCATAAAAATTTTACGTTGCTTCATTCTTGGTACAACAAATTGAGAAATAAAGGTATGGCCAGAAAGTACAAGATTTTAGCAAAGGAATTATTGACCGCCATCGAAAACGTGAAACGATTGCTTCAATTTTACAGAAATACAAATATATTTTTATTTTATTTCTTTATTGATATTTAATTTCAGGTATTATGGGATGAAGAAGATGGGATATGGTTGGATTACGATTTAGAAAACGATATAAATAGAGATTACTTCTATATGTCAAACTTCACTCCTCTTTGGACAAAGTCTTACACTTTTCACCCAGATCAGATAACCAAAAACATCATTAATTATATGGTGAAATACAATTTAGATCGTTACACAGGTGAATAAGATTATATAGGTAGTTTATAAAATATAAATAAATGGCATTAGTTGTATTTATTATGTACACACAATAGAGGTACCACATACCGATATTTCAAACCAGCGGCGCACTTTGAGTTAATGCTGAAACTGAAATACGGAAGACAATGCTCTGCTTTTGTTGAGTACTTAGGATAAAGCCATATCTACCGCTCTTTCAAGTATTCGGCGCCCTTAGAATTTTTTTTTTATACTGGTTTGACAGAATACAAAGAGGTCATTTGAATGTTAATTTCAATTGTTATCTCAATCATACCTGAATAACAATAGTCAAAACTTTAACACTCGTATATTTTATATGGTTTACATGTATACAAAGGAAAAGTAAACAAATAAATGAAATAAAATCAAATGGAACTTGTCGATTAATTGTTAGTGAGCAGTTGTAATTGCAGAATTTGAAAATGAAGTAGATGGTGGAATAAGAGTTTTTTTGAAGCAATTTAAGGATTGCAGTATTGCCGTTTTTATCTATCAAGATAAAGAATTCCAGAAGAAGATAGCACGAATGACGAAGGATTTAATGAAGAATGTAGTTTTATGAGAAGGGATATATAAATCATTAGATTGAGATCTTGTATTAAGAGAGTGGATTGAGAAATGTAGAGTGAGGAGTTCCAGGATGTAGGGAGGGTTTTTGGTTCTGAAGACTTGGAAAAGGAAAACACCAAGGAGGCATTGTCGTCGGGGAGTAGGATAAAGCCACTTCAACCCGATATACCAGTGGAGAACATGCGAACGCTTGGGAATTCCTAAGATTGATCTTATAAAACAGTTCATAAATCTCTTCTATTTCACCTCCAGTCTTTCAGGCAGGCCTCAATACAACAAGCAACCGTAGTCAAAGTGGAGAAAAACGAGAGAGGTTACAAGGAGCTGTCTGGTTTTTTTTTGAGGAATAGAATGGACAGTTGTGGATTTTCGGGGGAAATAAGGTTATTCTAGGAAAGGTTCGGATCAAAGATAACTTCTAGGTTTTTGACTGTTTGGGAAAAATGAATGGGGCGGTTATTGAGGTAGAGTAGAGGAGAGTAAGGAAGGGGACTAATGAGATTTCTGAACCCGATGAGAATAGCCTTAGTTTTATTTGTGGTCAGATTTAACTTATTTATTTCTACCCATCTGTTGATGCATTCAATATCCTCTTGTAGCTTTTAAAGGCTCAGGCATCTCAGAAGGATGGAAAGATTGGTAAATTTGAAAATCATCGGTTTTCTTGTGTGAGTGTGGTTGGTCATTTTACACATCTAGTGGGCATAAGACCTTAGTGAAATAACTGAATAGGTAAGGAGTAAGCTAAAGCCTCTCAAATAGCAAAAAAAAAAAAAATCAAATAATAATTTATATATTCAACATTATACTAAATATTAAATTTATTTCCTAGGAGGATTCCCGAGTTCGACGGAGTACTCCGGAGAGCAGTGGGACTTCCCCAACGCCTGGCCGCCACTGCAAGCCTTCCTGATCCAGGGTCTGGACAGGATAGGCACCTACGAAGCCACGGAGGTGGCATTTTACTTTGCCGATAGGTACATCCATTCCAATTACAAAGGATTCAAGGAGCTAGGAGTCATGTTTGAAAAGGTAATTTGTTTTCATTAAGTTGATATAGATGCACAAATATCGATTCAGCTTTTCAGACATATAGAACAAAAACATAATGGACAATTAAAAAAATTAAGTGCTTTGTCATGTGAAGTATGTAATTTAAATATAACGATCTTCAACATAGTACATAACGCAATATATTGAGTGTTTTGTAAAATGTGATTTCACTGTAAAAATGGCGATTTCAAAAATTCACTATTTTTAAGAAAAAAACATCTTGACAAGACTATTTAGAAAATTATGTTTTTACCATTATAACCTGGGGGAGGAAGAACTGCATGAGGAATATTCAAGTATGGAAGTGACAAAGGAAGGTTTTACTCATAACTATCCATTTTTCTTTTTTTCCATCTACGAGGTTGTTTATATTATAGACGTATTTCATTTCTTACATCCCTCAATTTGTATACATATATATCTTTTCGTTTCTTAATCTCCATGTTTTTTATAGTTTATAATACCATTGCGTATTGTATAACATATAAATAATTTATTTTCTTTAAATCAGTTTTTTTTTGTTTTCCGGTGTGATCCAGTCTCTCATCTTCTGTCATTAATATATGTATATATTTTGTATGCTTTAACTATTTGGGTTTTAAAATAAGTCAATCTTTTTTATTAACGAATTTTGATATTTTTTCTTTTCTGGTGGATTCACTTTTTCTTTCTATGCAGGTAATTTTTTATTTATTTATTTACTTTTGTCTTTTTGTTATTTTTTCCAGTAAAATTATGACTATATTCGAGAAGATTTTTTTTTTTTTTAGTAATATACATACTATTATTTAAGTTGTTTGAATCCTCATTAAGTTTGAATTGTTTGAATATTGTTTGAATCCTCATTAAGTTAGTTTTTGACCAGATATGTATTTTTTCTTTTGTAACTGTTCAATATTGTTATTCTAAGGGGACTTCGTCCCAGAATAAAGTTTATTTTCTATTTCTATTCCATCATAAATCTAAAAAGTTAAAAATACAAAAATAACGAATTTGTTGAATTGGTGTTGTTTTTTTTTTACAGAAAACCGGCGATATGACCTTCATTGCATTTTTTTTTTTTTTTTTTTCTGTTGGCATTACAGATCACGTAGATCTTTTGCTGCCTCAACAAGCCTGTCTTGGGCTATTTCTTTCCATTCATTTGCACGCTATATTGCATCTTTGTTGATTCTATCTATCCTTCTGCTTTTTGGCCTTACAAGTGGTCTTTTGCCTCTACTATGGTATTCTTTGTTACGTAGAGGCTTCCTTATGAATTGCTACGAGCTACGAGTCCATCTTAACCTTTGTGCCTTCATATCATGGGATATTGATTGACCAGTTTATGTAAGCAGTTCTTTATTGGTATTTCTTCTCCATTTGTTAGTACTCGGATCCCAGACCGCTCCGGTTATCGCACGGAGGATTTTTCTCTCAAATATTCAACAATGGTGCTGGTTAGTGTCTAGGTCTCACAGCCATATATTAGAACTGGCTTTATCATAGCATTGTACACCCTTAATTTGAGATTTCAATGCCTTTAAAAGAGAGACGAAAGCTCAGTTTGCGCTAGATATGCACTGGTCTATTTCTGCTCGTGGTCATTCTTTGAAGTTATTATGGAGCAGAGGTATTTGAATTTTTCTACTCTCGAGATTGATTTTCCTTATACGCACATTCTGTTATTGGGGTAGAATTTTCGGCTTATTATCATATTTTATAATCATATCACATTTTAGTTATATATATATATATATATATATATATATATATATATATATATATATATATATATATATATATATATTATAGCCACTCTGAACCCGTAAGATGACAGTAGATTCTTTATCTGGCTTCTCGATAACCTTTATTAACAGTTGCAGATAAAACCCATGTCAAGTTATATATAGAACAATTAATAACGCTGTACATCAAATCCAATTCACATGAATTATTACTTGGATACATTCGTATTTATGGAGAGTACGAATGGCAATATAGGCACAAAATGATCATACTGTAGATATAAATTCTGAAAATTTCCGAGTGCAGCAGAGTGTTTACGAAAGCGTATTTATGGAAATGTTATATCGTTATTAAAATAACCATAAATGACACACACGAAACTTAATGTTATAATTGATCACATAATCCACTGCTTTCTTCTTATAATTGATCTTATATATTATTTCTAAAAGATGTTTTTTTGTTTGTCGCAACGTCATAATTTCGTCAATTCTTCATTAAATCCAATGATTGAGCCCTCATTTTAAAGATCTTCACCTTCAGGTGGGAAAATAGTCACATACCTCCGAAATTAAGGGGGAAAAGTTATGAAGGAAAATTATGCTTTTTTTTTCTTGATTGTACCCATGATAATTAGAAAGATTACTAAATTACTTACAAAACAAACAACAAATAGTACAATTATTAACAAAGATACAGTCCATTAGTTTTGGTATACTTAATATTTTCTTCCTCTTTAAAGATACTGTATTTACTATTCTACTACTCCTTATTTCCTGGCTGATATATTAACTTTATTATTTCTTAAAGGCATTTTTTGTGAATACATTTGAATTTTTTTTAGAAAATCCCTTTGATCGAGGCTTCATTTTGAATATTACCTTTCCAGTCAGCATTTAAAAATATGTCCTGTCAAAGTAATTTGTACAAATATTTTGTTCTATTATGTTGAATGGAATATTGCAATCGATCAAGGAGTAACAATTAATTCCTCCCTCACATAATACATTGGACCTACATTCCATATGTTTTTGCTATTCCTTAACTAGACAAAATTGCGTATTATTCACACGGCCAACTAGTTCACAACATATCATTGATTTCAACAGGACAGTAGCTAAGTACAGTAAGACAAAAAATTCTTAAACAAATAATGAAATAAAATCAATTTTTTTTTGTAGTATGACTCACTACTTGTTGGAAGAACTGGTGATGGTGGTGAATATGACGCTCAAGAAGGGTTTGGCTGGACTAATGGCGTAGTTTTCGAATTCTTACAAAAATGGGGAGATCGACTCAGAGCCTATGACACTAAATGTAAATATCAATTAGAATTGTACATTTTACCTCAATCATTAAATGAGTTGATTGCTAACAAAGTAATTTTTAAAATCATAAATTATTTAATACATCTAGTCAAAAAGAGTAATGTATCTAGAAATGACAGTGTATTTAGGTATGTCTGTGTTTTTGTCCGTCCACCGTCCGACGGCCGCGCATTTTCTCCGAACTACTGCACCGATTTTTTTTTCAAATTTGGATTTCAAATTAGAGGTCACCGAGGATGATCCTCCTTCATCGACATTTCTATCCGCCTTTTCCTTTCAAGATGGCGACGAAAAATCTCCGTTGCTATAGACTGTTGCGCCTAAAGGAATTTACGGATTTCAATGAAACTTCGCTAAAGTCTTATTCTCGATGCCCTTTAAATTTATTTATATATCATATTTCAACGACAAGAAGCTGGAAAAAAAGTTATGAGGGATGGTAAAATTCGATTCCGAATAACTCAAAAAGTATACACTGTTTTGTTTTGTCGACATTGTGATTAGATGTTTCAAAGGTATTTAAATTTATTAAAAAATGAAGAAAGTTTCATCGAAATCAAAGCACTATTAGTGAAGATATCGCGATTTTTTAATATTTTTGGTTTATTATTTTCAATAATGAAACATTGTGATCGAGCAATAAAATCAAAAACTTAACCCCCTCTCAAAATTTGAGATTTCGCGTTTCAGGATTTGTAAATGTACTTGTCTTTAACTTATTTTATTTTTAACTATTGTATGCATTTTTTTTATTATTATTTAGTCATTATTTTACTTCATTGTTTATTTTATTTTTTATATATTTATATATCTTATGATGTAAATGTAGTCTTACCTCACTAAAAACACTGTCCATGAAACAGAATGTTATATTTCTCAATAAATAAATAAAAAAATTAAGGTGTGTGCTTTAGACCACACGATAGATGTGAAAACATCAACAAGACGAGATTAATAATATGAAATATAAATTATAAATAATAGCTCATTATATAGATGATGAAGTGCTGAACAATTCCCTCGCTTACAGTATGAAGGTCCAATTTTTAGTTTATGAGATATACATCTTCAATATAACTCGTTATAATTTTTTTGTCGACACTATTTTCCCCCTTTTTGTTTCTCTAACACGGTTTCGGGTCAAGATACAATTTGTATTGATAGCTCATTACAAAGAGGATGGAATGCTGAACATTTCCCTAGCTAATTATATGTAGGTTTTATTTTCAATTTTTGAGATATTTCAATCCATACGCAAAAACACTTCAATTAGTCGACTCCAGCCGACTTTACCCGAGCGTTACACATTGGAAACCTGACAGCACAATCTAATTCACTCTCCACAAAAAAGTACAAAACGCGCCTAAAGAAGTTAAATAAATAGATGTAATAAGTATAGAATAAAATAAATAATTTAATATCTCCTAAGACACCCTCTCAATCTGAAATCTATTTTTAAGATGCCAATCATACATAATGTGATGGTTTTAATAATACGGCCTGATGGTTGTAGGAGAAATGAGGCAGGTAAGTATCCCATAGATACTACAAAAACTATTCCCAGTGACTATAGATTTTTGTAATAATAAAAATTGTCGGAAAAAAATCATTGGCGTAATACTTAGACAAACAAGGCGTGTAATGAGGCGCCGGGAGTCGTTGAAAAAAAAATGTATATAATTACTTCATTTCTAAGAAATTTTATATTTTATTATATCTTGGGAACCATTTCTTCCGTAATAAGTTATTTATTTAATTACATACTTTGTTAGATCAATACATACGTAACATTTTTAACGTTTCTAGGGTTCTTTTGTCGTATAGACTAAATAATTTATTTTAATATTTTACTCATTTGTATCTTATATTTGGCTAAACGTGCTTTTACTTCATTTTCAGGCTAGGCGCCATATCTATATTAAATTATATCTATCTAATATCAATAAAGAACTGCTCTTAAAGAGGAATGATTATATTATAAGCACTGTCTCACTAGCGGATCCAGGATTTAATTTTGGGAGGAGGGGGGGTTCAGCCCGAAAACTTTTTTTTTCATAAAAATAACGATAATTACTTTGAAAAAAAAAGAAAGAAACTAACTACCTGTATGAAATGGTGTTTAAGTGATTCCTAAAGCTTTTTTAATATTAATCACACGAACAATAATACTTTAAGAGATACTTTTTTTTTCTCGATAAAACATGGTTACATTTTGCCTTTTTGGGGGGGAGGGGACTTCAGCCCGAAAGCGCCCCCTCCCCGTAGATCCGTCCGTGCACTGTCTCATTATCACATAACTGTCATGTAATTATAGAAATAAATTATTAATATTATTTAGATATGAGCATATAAATAAACGAAGATAGATAGATGAAAAGTACCTAAAAGATAATGGTTATATAAACATAATAGTACGCCAAGGAAAATAATTTTAAAGAAAAAATTGTTGTTGTAGACTTTAAAATGGCTCAACGAGCCGAAACGTCGTAATTAGATGTTTAGTCATTAAGTTGACAAAATTTTGAAAATTGGTGTAAAATGGCAGATAATAAATATACTTGAAAATAAATATTATGCACCAAAGAAGAATGGGAGAAATATTGTGTTAAGCCATTTTTTATATTTATTATTTTCATACTTTTGTTTATATCTGTTATCCTACATGTTTAGTCATATTATTTTTAGTTACTAATCGTTATCTTAAACGTTGCTTATTGTGTCCCAATTATTTTTTATAATTAAAAAAAAATCACTTAATTTATTCTTAAGTTGTTTTATACATACTCCTTATTTATTCACAATTTTTTTTTGGCATATTATGTTTATATTACCATCATCTTTTGTGTATTTTATATCTTTTTAATTTGGCTTTGTATACTTCTTATTATGTCTTATATTTCTGATGTAATTTTTTAAATGTTAGCTCCGATAATAAACAAAATACTTGGATCAAAAGTTCGCCAAGCCTAATAGACCATACAAAGGCGCATTTAGACATTACACAAACTATGAAAAATACAAATATTTAAATGGTTGCTCCACTATGCTGGTATGTTTGTTTGGTTTAGCGTTAAGGTCGCTGAAGTTAGATTTTTGTGTTTCCTATAGTTTGTGAAACGTCTCCATAATTTTAAAATAACTGTCAACTATATGAACATCTATAAATAGAGATAGTGGTTGAAGTTAAAAAATAAAAACGTTGAGATAATAATGTTAATAGGCTTCAAGTAGTATTTTCATTCGTAATCGTTATTCTTAAAACACTGCTAAATCCATTTACCCTTATCTAGTTTTTTCGCCTCTCTGTTCAACATTTCTTCTCCATCGCATTCAACTCGTGGCGTACCATGTATAATTCTTGTTACGAAATATTATTTTCTTCACTTAAAATTATAAACTAAATTACTTAACAAGGACGATGGGTTGAATCCGACTAAGTTTAAAAAAAAAAAAAAAAGTAACTTTTGAAAACACAAGTACCCAAAAGTAAAATATAAATAAAGTAATAAGTAATTTTTACTTTCACTTATGTAAATATGTAATATATAGTAAGGGTAAATATTGCGATCGAGAAAATTTTTGACTCTGAGTTTTCAACGGAAATACACGTTTTGAGGTACCCTGAGTCGAAATGAACAAGTCCCGAAAAATGGTCTGGTGTCTGTGTTTGTATATTAGCAATCTAGCTCAAAAACGAAAACTCGTACGAAACTGATATTACGTATTTAAAATAGGTATATGGCTTAGATGTGAGAGCAACTTTTTCCTCAAAATCGGCTAACCGGAAGTGCCACTTTAAATCATCGCTGAAACACATTTTTTTTTTTTAGTTTTCTAATCGAATTCCTCTCGTATTCAATCCTTACAATCCAAAATCCTTCGTAAAATCCTCACTGCTCCTTACTTTGTCACAAACAAAATCATCCATAACGACCTTAATGTTCCTTATGTTTCCGACTTGGCCCAATCCAGATACCTATCCTTCCATAACAAACTTCAGAACCATCCAAACCCTCTCGTTTCTAACCTTGCTTCCTCTTCGATCCCTGACAACCCTCAGAGGCGTCTGAAAAGAAGATGGCCTCGAGATCTCCTTTTGTAAATACATTTTTAGAGTGCTACCAATGGGTAGTTTCTCAACATGTGGTTTCATGCTATTTTATTCCTTGTTCACATCTACTGAATGTATTTTTACTTGTAATACAGTTGTAAATATCACCAATAAAAAAAAAATAAATAAAAAAAAAAAAAAAAGTTTTCTAAGATACGAAGAGTATAATTTAGTTAATTCCACACAATGATCTTCGATTGTGATAAATCAAAATAAATATTTCTTCTTAATAAAACAAAAATATAATTTTTTTTGTTACCAATCTTTATAATTGACACTAATATTTAGTTAGCTTGTGGAAGAAATACTTGTAAATTATTATGAATATGAAAGGAAAGTCATCTGTTTGATAAAAGTCTTTCGATAGTGCCACGGGCGGATCTACGGGAGAGGGGGGCCTTTCGGGCTGAAGACCCCCCCCCCCAAATGGTAAAATATAACCATGTTTTATAGAAAAAAATATTTAAAAAAGTATCTCTTAAAGTATTATTGTTCGTGTAATTACATTTAAAAGGGCTTTAGGAATCACTTAAACACCATTTCATACAGGTAGTTAGCTTCTTTCTTTGTTTCCAAAGTATTATCGTTATTTTACTTTCGGACTGAAGCCCCCTCCCCAAAATTAAATCCTGGATCCGCTAGTGGATTGTGAGTTCGACGGATCGATTCGTAATAATGCGCCCCATGATAACGTTGTTTGATCAATACCAGCTAGATTTTTTTTTTTACTCAATTGCAGGACTTGGAGTCGTCTATGATTTCAAGAGCAATTACAATTATACAATTAAAACAATCGATACTAATTTGATAAATAATTGTCTTTATATGATTATTACTAATCTAAGTGATAATTAATAGGTTAATATTGTAAAAAAAATATCATATCTAATAGGAAACTGAAACATGATTTTAGGAAAAATTACTCGAATATTTTATCCAGAAGTAGTATTTTTAATTTAACGTTTTATCATCCCAGGCCATCCGGTCTCGCCTATATCTATCTAACCGATAAGATAGTGTTGGGGAAGTTGGTACTTGGAAGATTGATCCGATTTATCATCCCAAAATTGTGTAGAGAACCGAGAGTTCTATGATGGTTTCTTGTTGTCAGATCTACTGCCCTTATCAGTAAATAAGGATGAAACCAAAGATGTTTTTTCAATACGTCAATTTAATTATGAGCGATAAGTAAGGCGATTAGATATTCCAATGAATCATAATAGTTGACCATATTATACGCTATCAAAAATAATCTGAGTCAAGTAAGGGATATTAGGAAAAACGAATCGAATTATAATTTAAGCATTTTAATTAGTCAATATTCTTTCCTTTTTTTAATTATATTTTATTTCTTCTTCATAATTTTATCCGCAGTTTAAAAATGTAAAAAAAAAAAAAATAGTTTTTATTGATTTTTATTACTATTAAATTGTTTTATTACTAGTAATATATACATATATCAATATATCCTAGCATTTTATGATTCAATCACCCCTCAATTTTCAAGTGACATTCTCTGCGTCAAAAGAATCAGGCTGTGAAAAACGTATTACTTATTCACACTAGCGGATCCAGGATTTAATTTTGGGGGACCGAAAGATTTTTTTTTCATAAATCTTCATAAAAATAATTTGAATAAAAAAAGAAAGAAATTAACTACCTATATGAAATGGTGTTTAAGCCCTATTAACTGCAATTAAACGAACAAGAATACTTTAAAAGATAGTTTTTAATATTTTTTTCTGTAAAACATGGTTATATATTACCATTTTGGGAGGGGCTTCAGCCCGAAAACCCCCCCTCCTCCCGTAGATCCGCCTGTGCTTATTCATATTATTTCAACGTATTATTTCATTTATCTATATATGAAATATATAGTAAGAGAAAGCATTGCGATCGTGAATTTTTCGAATCTCAATTTTCAATGGAAATACACGTTTTGAGGTCCCCCAAGTCCTGCAAAATGGTCTATGTGTGTGTTAACAGTCTAGCTCAAAAAGCCGTACGAAAGTGAAATTACATATTTAAGGTTTTTATATGCTAGGGATGTTACTGCAACTTTTTCGTCCAAATCGGATAACCGGAAGTGGCACTTTATAAAATGGACTAAACACATTTTTATGATTAAGAAGGACTCCGACAATATTATGTAAACATACATATGCGGTTTTCATAGATGCTATTGTTGGTGTTATTTAATAGTTAATTGTATATTTTAGAGCTGTATAAATATTAAATTTTGTATAGATAACAGTACTTATAAAAATAAAAATTCCCAAAATGAAATATAATTCAATATAGTGTTTGTAATTTTTACTTTCACTTCCCCTTTGTCTGAAAATACTTATTTCTTCTCAGAAGAGGGTGGTAAGTGAAGGTTATGTGATGCACACACTGCACCAGATTTTCTCTAGTATTTTTGGGTCAGTCCAACTATATTTTGGAAACTACCCCATTGAATTTTTTTTTTTTTAAATATCATATTTTGGAGCCTCCCTTTTCCCTCCACAAATATGGGAAATCTTAGTCCAACTTACCGCAAATTCTAAACAAGCAATGATTCTTCGGATTAAACATTCCAAAAGATATAATTAAAAATGTTTCTAGACTTAGAACAAATCATGGGCTGTGCAAAGTATAACTGCAGTGCATTGGAGTTAAAAATTCATACAAATGTGAAAAATGTAATTAAAAATAAACATCCGACATATCATCATGGAATGCCCTGCCTACAAAAATCAGAAATTTATAAATTTTCTAAATCCAAAAATGATGACGATCTATATAAAAAAATAATTAACATCGAGCAACGCTGAGGATATTATCAATGTAGCGCAATATTTGTACTTAATAAATAGATATATTTAAAATGAAAATATTGAAGAATAGGAACATAACCAAATAATTGTATACTGGCTATATGAAATATTCCAATGCAAAAAAACAAAAACAAAAAAAAAGGTGTATGACAACACTGGTACAGAGTTTTCATGGCTAATTGTAAATAGTGTATATAAGTATGTCTGTAGTTAATATGTTTATATTAATTTTTAAAGTACATTTTATTTTATTTTTTCTAATTTATATATACATATTTTTTTTTTTGTTCTTATTTCTGTGTATTATATTTTTATTACTTTATTTATTTATGCTTTCGTAAATATTGTGTGAATGTGGTCTCTGAATATATATGTCCATTTAAAATTAAGTTAATTTTTAATTATACATTTAAAGGAGTTAATTATAGAAGTCTCAAATAATTTAATATATTTTAATTAAAATGCTAATCATTGCTGTTTAATCTAAATATTATTATATATATATATATATCTTTAATGTTAATTCATAATTTAATATGTTCTCCCAAATATCTAATATCTATACAAATCTCTGTAGATACAATCGTATGAATGTTTCATATTTTTCTATAGGGATATTGAATATTTCTATAGTTAACATTCTAATATTATGAACAAACAAGCAAACCAATATACATTGATATATTAGTGAGTCAAAGTTATTTTTATTTTTACTTACTTTTACAAAAGGAAAATTAGAAGAATGTTTACATTGCCAGTTATAAAATCATCGACTCATACAATTTATTTGACATTTTAAAGTTCAATTCCAGATGAATGATGCAGGGTTTGAAATCAGTCCTAATTCTTATTTTGCATTTTTATGATATATTGCATGTCTATGTTGAATAATTTATTTTTAAATATGTGTTTTAGTTGCACCTAGAGTGATTCCAAAAGAAAGTTTGCATTTGAAAAACAAACCGAAATAGTAAGAATTATGTCAAGAAGAAATCGCTATTGAAAATGTTTATTTTTTTTAATAAATAATTTTTATACATTTCTTTTTTATTTAGTTGGCTAAATAATGTGTTCCTAACTTTTATTTTTTAACTTTATATATTGATCTAATAATAACTTAACATCTGTAGGTATAAGATTTGTTGATTGAGGGACAAAGGAAGGATTAGAACCAATTTGGTTGTTAAGCACTATGGCAAATGGTTTCTTTGACAAAAATTTCACTTAAACTATATTTTTCTTAAGATATAGTTTATCTCAGCCATAGTTGCTGCGCTATTAAAAATCTCACAGTCCACTAGCGGAAAGGTACCTATGAGTTTCTTATCACATTATTGGTTTCTCTGAGATTACATGGAAGTATCTGTTGACTGGTGTCTGGGAAATATATATATATATAATGTTTCTGACCCTGCTTGAGTAATGTAACTATTTCTCAAAATAGAGAGTTTTTGTTTTGTTTTTTCAAATAAATGGATATTTTATTTAAATATTATGATATTGTATAATCTGAAAAAATTAGGAAGAAACTAGTGGTTAAAAAAAAAAAAAAAACACTTTTGAATTAGAAGAGAAAAATAGATTTGTTAATATTACAATTTGTTACAGATTATACTAAAAAAAATACCACCATTTCCACAAAGACACTAGTGGATCCAAAATATAATTTTGGGTTGGCTTCAGCCCAAATTTTTTTTTTTCGTATTTATAACAATAATTACTTTGGAAAAAAAAGAAAGATACTACCTTTATGAAATGGTGTTTAAGTGATTCTTGAAGTCCTATTAAATATAATTACACGAACAATAATACTTTAAGAGATAATTTTTACCATAAAACATGGTTACATTTTACCATTTTGGGAGGGCTTTAGCCCTAAAGCCTCCATAGATCCACCTCTGGACAAAGAAGTAAGGTCCCATTAATTAATGTATCAATAATTGATCCTCAGGTTTTGGGGTCAACATATTTTTTTTGTATATTTAAAAACTCAAAATGAATTCTCCACAGGTTTAAACAAGGAAATGGCTAACTACAGATGAATAAATCAAAAATCAAATTGATCTCCACAAACAAACACTTAGGCTTGCTCCATTGAAAAATCAACCAGTCGGCTATTGTGGCATATCACCTGAGGTTCAGGCGTCAACTTCTTAAGTGTTCTAGCTTCAAATCTAATTCCCTTTTGGACTTATAAAACTTGTTACATGTTAATGAGTTGAAAACTATCTATAACTGGTACATTTACCCAACATATTCATGCTTTGAAAAAATTAGTATAACAATTATAAAAAGAAAAAAAATTACGAATTGCTCCAAAAGCAAGAGAAAGAGAAAGTTTAATTAACTATGAGGAATCCATAACACATATAAAAAGTTAGTTCAAAAACACAATTATGTTAGCATTTACCCAAATCAAATGCTTTATGGAAATTTTATTCTTTTGATTTTCGTTCATAGAACAGATTCTTTATTTATTTGACAAATGTTGCTATAAATTACTTTACCTCTTCTATTGTGTTCTAATTCATTCTATACAAAACTAAAAGTTGTTCATTTTCTTGGACTTATTAATTTCATACTGCATTAGATATTTATTTATGCACTAAGATATGAAATGAAATTTTAGTATGCCTTAAACATAATGTATTTTTATTAATAAAAATGAATATGGGAAAGGAAAGAACAAAACCACTTAAATAATCCTAGTTAATGGATCGGACTGCCCTAATAATAACTGGTCAATATCATATAATTATACTACACATTGCAGCTATTTAATTATTTGATTTAAATTCATTGTTGCTCTGCTTAAAAAAAAAAAATACAAATAATCATAACATAATATTTTTAGTCGATTTAGAAGATGTCAGTAATTAGATTCACAGCCAAATTTTTAATATTAAAATATGGTGCTGTTATTCCATGATTTATTTTTTTAATTTTAAATAAGTAATGGATACACAATTCTTTTATATTTTTACAGATCTCATACACAAAATAATACAGATAAAGATATAACTGTTAAATGAATTTATATTACACAATTTTAATACATTCCAGAAAATATTTTTAGGCCTTTATTTTTCAAATCTATAAATATTTTAGAATCAATAATGACATGAAATAAATTAGAGAATGTATTTTTTGTCTTTGAAAATAATTCTATTGTTTTTTTTTTCATTAATTAATGACATCAGAGCATAACAGCAATTTTATTTAAGATGACATTTAAAAAATGAAATAAACAAACTCCATTTTAAGAACGCCAAGTGAAATAGACGCTAGGAACGAGATAGAGTAAGTGAGGGAGTGGGGGGTGTAGTCCGAGATCAATGACCTCGATCTAAACAATTAATAATAAATAATTCTATATTTTTTTAGTTTAATTAATAAATAATAAATTGAGAAAAATAATTAAAATAATATTTTCGTTTTTACGGTTGTTATAGAAATGAAAATTGTTGGGTTGTGATGTAATGTATTCATATGTGTTCTATATGTTGTTCCATAAATCTCTATAAATAAGGTTTAAGTGTATTACTGTTTCTGTTTTAAAGTTTTGGTTGGTTTAATCACTACTTTAACTTAGTGATTTTGATAAATAAATGATATTTTTCGAAAAAATCAATAACAAGAACAAAGTTTCACTATCAAGCAGCTTGTGAAAGCTGAAAGAAGCGCTTGGTGACGATTCTTCGGCCATTTTCCCAAGCCAAGACCCGGGTGGCAGAACGTTCTCGTTTCGTAGCGCGGTCAAGTAAGTTGTTTTTTATGTTATTTTGATTTAAACCTTTTGTTTTTGCTTTGCTTAATCTTCTTAATATCATTGCTTAGTATGATATATGTGAAATTATGGATACGTTTCTCAGTTAGTTGGAATATATATTTTAAAGGAGTTGCCGAGTAGCGTCTGCAATAGCGTCACGTTTTTCAGTATCGTTTTAGATCCTATTATTGCTTAATTTGAAATTACTACTTAATTATTATGTGTAATTAAATTGTTTTGTAGTTTTTGGTTGACGAATTAGTGTATTTTATATTGTTTTGTCGTTATGTGTCCGAACTTTTTAATTAAATTCAGTCATTTTTTTATCTAATTAAAGTACCGCATAGCTACGTTAGTATGTTTTTATTGTTTATTTGGTTCCAAAAATAATTTCTTCCTATTCAGTAGTTATTCTTTAGCTGATTGTTTATATGTTGTATTTTTTTAGTGTTTTACCTATAGTTGTAGCTTTATTATTCATGATGAAGTATCTCTGTTAGCTTAAGTGTGCCTTTTGATGATTTCTGAATCAGCACTGGCTCAGTAAATTATGTGATCATACATTTATTTTTATTTTGTTTTATGACCTTGAAACTTTCAAATGTGTAGTTTCAGAGAGTTGAATGTTTGTTATGTTTTACTTGAAATCATACTGATGTTGCAATGTTATTAATTACTAATTTTATTTTTTCTCTAAACAATGAAATTTTTTAAACTTCCTTGTCAATAGTTTATTTATAATTATGCTATTGTGGGAATTTCTTTTAGAATTCATCTGAATGCTTAAACAAATTGGTCTTGTTAACTAGTTTATAATTATTAGACATTTAAATTTACAAGCCTTGGAGTCTAGATGTTTGAATAGTTGAGTATTGATTGTTTTTGTTATATTTCTCAAATATCTTAATTTTTAAAAATATAAGTATATTTTTTAGGAATTGGATGTTGAACAATAGAAGGTTCTTTATTGATATACTTCAATTATACTTACCCTTGAATTTTGTATTAGTGCTATTGATTTAGTTTAATTTATACCTAGTTATGTTTTAATTTGACCCGTTATACATATAAAACCTCTTGGTTAAAATGTTGGTATAAATATTATTTATTAAGTAGCTTTGCTAAGGACAAGTTTTTTAAAAAAAAGTTCGTAATGTGGTACTATTGTTGTGAATATCATATTATTTCCTTAATTAATTCACTGTATGATCATAGTCTTTCACTTGAAAGCCTCTGGATGTTTGAATATTTAAGTATTGACTGTTTTTTTTTTTGTTATATTTCTCAAATATCTTAATTTTTTCAAATATTAAGTATATTTATTATTAATTGGATATTGTACAATAGAAGGTTGTTGATATAGTTTAATTTATACCTGGTTATGTTTTAATTTGACCGGTTAGATATACATATAAAACCTCTAGGTTAAAATGTTCGTATAAATATTATATATTAATTAGCTTTGCAGAGAACAAGTTTTAAAAAAGTGTTTGTAATGTGCTATTATTGTTGTAAATATCATATTAATTCACTGTAAGATCATAGTCTTTCTCTTGAAAGGCTCGGATGTAAAGATATTAATGCTGGTTTTCTTACCTCCTGTTATCAAATTTTTTTTTTCTTTGTTTTCTTCATTTTTGCCCACATCATTTGTATTGATTGTGAAGACAGTTGAGATGTATCTTGACTGATTAATTAGCATCTCTGGATAAACTAACAGTTTATTTTTTCTCAACCACTCCAATAATTAAAAAATGTATACTTCTATTACAAGATAATACTGTAACATGAGTAGATGTTAACATTTTTAAATATTATTAAAGGTCAATGACAAAAACAAAACAATTATAGCTTAAAGATATGCTGCCTTTGGCTCTAGTTATGCTAAATGTTATAATTGAACTAATTTTGAATTGTTACTCCAGGATGCTAGCTAGTTTTAGGGCGCTAGAGATTGAATCAATTTCCTGAAGTCAGTTTTCTGTTAATTTATAGATATGTAGAAGTAATGGTATAGCTGAATTATTGATTTACAACAAGAAAATTATCTGTATGTATGTATAAAATATCAATGAATTCTTAAGTTCATTTATTCTTGTGGTGCTGGTTCTGTGATCACAGCGCGACTGATCTTTTGTTGTTACTTGACTTGTTTGTCATTATAGGTGAACAAGATTGCCGATACAAAGCTACAATCTTCTATAATATCAGATCTTAAAGTCAGTTGTCTACTGAGATTTACCAGTAGCATCTCTTTTCAAAATTAATTTTGTTTAATCTTTGTAACTCATCAGTTAAATACTCTCTTACCTCTAATTTTGTTATTGCTTTCTGAAATATTCTAGGAATCTAAAATAATTGGTCTTGTTGCCTTAAAAATTATAGCCTCTTCTGATTTTGTGGTGTTAAATGTCTAGTGTTTGAAGTTTAATGTGAACTCATCTGGATGGTGCACTAGTAAGATGACGAATCTTTAGAATTTTATTATTCTAATTGGGAAAATGTTTACTTATCACCATTCTAAAAAAGACTTGGGTTTTAAAACTTAAAAGAACATGAACTAATAAATATAATATGAGAAATTAGAGGGGGGAAGCTGCTTTTATTGATTTGTGCATATACTTATATATGTCTTATTAATTCTTTAAAAATAGTTATTGCCATAATGATGAATTACTTGAGACTAGGAAAAGATTTCTTTATCATTGCTTAAGTGGGAAATATTTTGATCTCTGAGCATAACAGTGGATAGAACATTTTTTGTCTAGATGCTTGAATTTTTTATTATATCTTAACTCCTCCTACCTGCTCAGTCATGCGTCAACATCCAATATTATGTTCCTCGTGATTCAAAGAAGTTGTAAAAGTTTATCTGGGTTTTTTCACATGCAACTTATCTTTAGCGGAATCCCTGTCAAGGAGTACGTAGTGTATCTTGTAGGTTTATAGTGGATCCTTTCCTAGCCAGTTCATCAGCCTCTTTCCCGTAGAGTCTGCAACAAACTACTATCCCTTGGAAAGTAACCTCTGTTAATTGATTTAAATATAAACAGCTATTGGTTTTTTAAATAATTGTCTCACTATTCAACAGATCTCAAAAAACCAAGAGGAAAGCTCTTATTTTCTGATGAAAATATGGCTTTTCTTGTAACTGAGGTGGAAATGTAACATTTCCTGGTGTTGACTCCAGCTCCCGCATGATGGCTATCAGAGATATTACCTTTAGCCACTAGGAGATCATCCTGAGTTGGATTCTGGGGATGAGGAGCCCTTAGCCCAAACATTTATCCTTATGTGTAAGGATAATTATTTTAGGAAACAAATAAAGAAATTAACTAATTACACAAACAATAATATTTGTAAAGATAATTTTTTTATTTTTTTTTTTTTATAAGATATGGTTATATTTTGAAAAGTGGGGTTTCAGCCCGAAAATCTCTGCTCTGGATCCAACTGTGCCTTAAGCTTCTTAACCAGTGTTTCTTTTAAGGATCTAGTGTATGACAAATCGCCACTTGTTTAGAACTTTTTATTTGTCTCTACTTAAGACTTCTTTTTTTACCAGCTTCAAACTGTTTTTTGTATCAAGCTTTCTTAAAAGTGATTTGCTACTTGATCTAATGTAAACATAAATGCTAATGTAGAGTTCTATCTTTAAACCCCTCCCCCTCTGTGTATTAGTGTGATTAAAATGATCTTGGGCTACGAGTCATCCACTATTAGAACAAGTGCTGTTTATCTCTGTAGGCATCATTGTGTTGAATATTTCCTACTGTGTTTTTTTTTTTAAGCCTAAAATAATTTATATTTATTTTAATTATACCTAAAATATTAATGTTATTTTATTTTTATTTTTTAGAGCATCACAATGCCTGTCAGCAGCGTGGGCACTTTTAAAATATTTGTTGGAAATCTTTCTGACACAACAAAAACAGCAGATATTAAGCCCCTGTTTGAAAAATATGGAAAGGTCGTTGAATGTGATGTAGTCAAGAACTATGGTTTTGTGGTAAGGAATTTTTTTTTTCATATTTGTGAATTAATCCTAAGTAGCGTCTAAATATTAAATTAATGACTTGATTGACAAAATATTCTGTAGATTTAACTCAACTATTATGTTGTAGTTCGTTTAATTTATGTTTAACTAATTTTAATAATTTCTACTTCTTATTTTTGATAAATTATTCAATGTTCATTGTCCAAATAGTGTGCTATTATTTGTTCTGGTCAGTTATGTTTTATAGCTTTGACTAAACAACTGTGGCATATATTGTAATTAATGTTAAATGATAACTTAAAATATTTTGTTAGAATATAATTCTTTTCTGTACCATAAATGTTATACTTTGTAGCATATGGAAAATGAAGAGTCCGGGCGAGATGCTATCCAGAATCTTAATGGATACTTGGTCAACGGACAACCAATGAAAGTAGAAGCAGCTACAAGTCGCAAAGGCCCAAACACACCTACTACTAAGATGTTCGTTGGTAATCTAGCTGATGGGGTCAAGGCAGCTCAAGTCAGAGCCTTGTTTTCAAAGTATGGTACTGTCGTCGAATGTGACATTGTGAGGAACTATGGATTCGTTGTAAGTTATATTTTTAAACATCTATATTAATTATTGATTTTAATTCAGTTTATTCATTTATAATGGATTGTGTAGTTATATAAATTATTTTTTTTCAGCATATTGCTTCAGCTGATGTAAACAATGTCATCAAAGAGTTAGATGGATATGAATTGGAGGGACAGGCTATGAAAGTACAAGTTTCAACAAGTAGAGTACGTCAAAGACCAGGAATGGGTGATCCAGAACAATGTTACAGGTATCTAAATTTCCTCAAATTTAAGCCGTTTTCGCACTGAAGTGGGACAACCTGTTTTTATACAAAACTGTGTTTGTGTTCATTAATTGTCCAGCTTCAGTGTGGATTCGGCTTGAGATAATTACTAAATTTCTAGGGGATAAGCCTTATTAAATGCGATCAATTTTGTTTTTCTTAAGGTGCGGTAGAGGTGGGCATTGGTCGAAGGAGTGTCCTAAAGCCGGAGGGTAGGTTTTCAAATAAACACGTGATTTGAACGCGCCGTTTTATTAGTCAATATAGTGTGTTTTTAATGTTTTATATCTTATATTTTGAAGGTTACTGATTTATATTTGTTTGTGTTTTTATTTTTTCAGGCCAGGAATTGGACCTGACAGATTTAGAGGAGACAGGTTCGGAGGCCCGAGGGATCCCTACCCTCCACCACCACCACCTCCTTTCCTAAGAGACAGGTTGATGGGCGGTGAGCCTCCATTTGGTGGAAAACCCAAGGTATTTATTAAAAAGAATTTATGGAAAATTCAATTTGTTGTAATTATATTCAATTTTAAGTCAATTATGAATTAAAAAATTTATTAATTTTTTTTTAGGAGAGTTACTATGATCGCTTTTATGAAAGGCCGCCAGTAAGAGGATTTGATGACGACAGAGACTATGAAAGAAGGTTTCAGCCTCCCCTCCCCCCACCACCACCGATGGGTAGAGATATGTTACCGCCCCCGAGATCCAGAGGTGGTGATTATCTACCGCCACCACCTCTATCTCGCCCAAGGGAACCACCAATGGGATTGGGCAGCAGAGGGTTTGATAGGCCTGACTACATGTTCTCTCGCAGGTCACCTCCTCTCTCAAAACCTCCATATGGGTAACTCTTTCTCTTAGGAGATAGACCCCTTTAATTAACATAGATTAGATTCCTTCTCATTGCGCTTTGTTTTTACTAACACAGATTAGATATGTAGTCTAGTGCTTACTTGTCCTGATAAAAAATTTTAACCCGATTTAATTATATATTTGCATGATTTAAATCTCGGTATGCATGTGTATTGTCACCATAAACTAGTTAATAGAAAACAGCTTTAAAGTGCTGATATATTTGCACAATTTATTATTGTCAAAGTGGGTTACTTTCTATCAGTTCTTAGGTATTTTGTGATTTTTTTTATATAACATCCAGTTAAAAGAGTGAAGAAGAAGGATCTTGATACCTCAACTTATTTGTTATTTTTTCTTAAAAGTAGAGCCAAGTTCATGGTGATATGTTAATAAAACTTTGTTAAATTCTTCAATGCTAGTGAAGTTAAAAATTGATCTCATCATAGAGAAGAACTACTTACTAATATGTTATTAAATAAAAATTGAATCCAATTAATGTATTTAAAAATAATTCATTTGAAATCACTAGCGTATATTGCATGTTCAAGATTCAAAAGTAAATAAAACCAATTGGGATAAAATACCACTTGTTATTTATGCGAAGTTGCACTGTCGCAATGTTTTAAAAATGTCTTGGGGAAGAGATCGGTAACTGAAGCTATTCTTTGCTGCTTAATCACAGGTAGTACTTAAACGATTCAGAGGATGATCGCCTTTGTAATTCATTTAAGATTAATGTTCCAAAAGCTTGAGTTGTCCTAATGGATGGGGAAAAAATACCAATAAGTTATGTTAATTGATCTCTTAAATTTTGCACCTATAAATCAAAAGATTCTTTTTCCTTACCAGGCCTTTCTATGCCTTGGGCTACCCCATATGTGGGCCATGTGTAGCTCCTTGAAACTTAATACATTAGACTAAACTATAAAGCTATAAAGGAGCTATAAGTAACCCACTTCGACAGTAGGATATTCTGTGAATTTAAATTGAAAGTTTAACGAACTCAACAATGTGAATGCATTAAATCATATTGAAAATTTTAATTTTCACTTAATATATGGCATACGAATAATTTTGTCTACCCTATTTAGCTCAAATATATTTTTGAGTAGATTCTTAATAGTTTGCTTAAAACAAAAGTTGTTTTCATAATTTTTTTTTAATCCCTAATTAAAATTAATAAGCAATGCACTATATTTTACATAATGTGTAAACACTGTAATTTTTGGGATTATATTCTCATAGTAAAAATACTTTATTAGATGTTCACGGGCATTAACAGCTTGTAATTTGGTTCTCTATTTTAAAAAAAAATTTTGTTTGTACATACATGACCTTAATTGAAAGAATTAAAATTACTTCCTAAATTTTACCTTATATTTTAGTAAGTGATGGATTGGAATGTTCTAAGCCTTCCAATATTCTTCATCACTGTAGTGCTTCATTAATTTTTTCCTCTATGTTTCAAAACTGACGACTTCGGGCAACAATATTAAGTTAACAGTTCTAAGGAAAATTTAGATTCTAAATTTTATTTTATTTCGATGGTGAAATTTCATTATTTAAATTTAACACGTAATATATTTGTACCGAAATGCTTTAGTTTTTTTTTCTTGCACTAATTCAGCTTAGTTTTATTATTATTTTTGCATCGTGATGTTAAATAGCTTTATTATCCTTTTTAAATTACATTTAAGTTTCCTTTGTCCACTTCATTCTGATTAATTTTTTTTTTTTTTTGTTGCAGACGTGGAATGTATGATGACTTCAACCGTGATGGATATGATGACAGAAGGTAAGTTTTCAAATAATTTATTTTTATAATTTGTTTTATTAATCTGCAAATTATGATTTTTTTTTTCTTTTAGTAATCCAATTTGATTTTTGTTTTTTGGCTTTATGTTTATATATTTATTTTTGCTTAATTTAATATTTATGTTTTACATTGCTAGTTCAAGATTTTAAATTTCAGTTCTTATAATTTTTTTCTCAACATTTTTATTTTAGTTAATAAGAAATATAATTTTAATTATAGATTTCGATATTGGTTTTAAAGAAGTAAATAGTAGTCTTCAAAAGAAAAAATATACATATATTTTCAACAATTTTTAAATTTCATTTTGAATCTTAAATATTATATATTCTTCGTTATATTAATTGTTTTTTGTTTATTTTTTAGTATGTTATTGTTATTTGTTTCTACGTTATTTTTGTTTTGAAATAAATCGTTTTATACTGATGTCGCTAATGTTCTGTTCAGACTGGGACCCCGTGGCGGTTCTCCTCGCCGGTACGCTCCATACTGAAGACGTCACTCCGCCGCCTCAAACCTATCGAATATTCTCCTCCTTTAAGCTACCTTAATTCCCTTGAGTGTTTCTATTTCTTTTTTCTTCTTTTTAATTGTGTTTTTAATGGGCGACTTGTAGATTTGTATTGCAGATAAATTAATAAATAATTAAAATGTTTAGATGTTAATACTCTTTTAGTGTAGTAATGCACTTTTATTATATAATGCAGCCAATCGACATTGAATGATCGTGTCATTAAAAATTAGGTTAGATGATCGAATTGTTTTTATTTTTGTTTTTAATTTTTTGATAAGCCGGCAAGATGTAATCTTTTATACGTGCCTGCCTGGCATAATTTCCGATTATTGATTCTTTTTTGTAATTTTGACTTATTTTATGTGTATCACTATCAGTAGTGAAATATTATTCCATGTTTGTAAAATGACAAATAAATGTATTTAAAAATGTATTATATCGACTTTTGTATAACACCACCGATCCGTCAAGTCTAAACAAATTGAGGAATGAAGCTATCATCTCGTCGTCGGTCCTGTAAAAGGCGTGTGGCGTGTCCGTTAGCCCGGTTAAATCCCGGTAAACGTGATTCGCTACTACTGACCGACCGGACGTCGCTGTTTATATAAGGTAGGCTATGCCGATGGTCTAATATTGTTTCGTGTTGACGAATTACCTTCAGGTTTTTCTTTATTTGTTTTTCAACATTTTACCACTGATCTTGACCAATTCTTCATAAAATGTTTTAATTTTTTTTTTACACGTGATTTTAACAAACTAGAGTTAGTTGTAATAATCTATTTGTATTTAGAAAATTCCATTATGATATTAAAGGAGCCATCAACTTTTTCACTCACTAATCCTTTGTGTTTAATTTTAGATTAAAATTTGCTCTTTTATTTTTAATTAAAATCTCTACAAAAATAATTTTTCTTTTAGTACAGCAAGATAGCCTTGTTTATAATGGTGCTACATTATCAAATAATTTGTTGATATTTTGCCTGAGTTTAATAGTATCCTTAAGTTAAGCCAACCAAAACTTTTGTTTGATGACTTTTCTTGGTGAAAATGAGTACATGCTGCAATAATCGGCCAAATTATTTTTATTGTGGCCGACATACCGAAATTATTGGTATTAAACCTTTTCTCCCTGAAACTTGTTTTTTATGTGTCTCTAAATTTTATTTTATTTGTATATTTATAACAGATAATTTTGCTGTTAATAGCATCCATATTTAATGATATAATCTTAGCAGTACCACTACTTCATTGTGTGAATTAGATGTTTTTGAGAGAATTTATTTTTCTACCAAGTGTTCTGGAAATTTATGATTTCTCATTCTTTGATTTTAAGTTGATCAATTCTGTTTTTGTGTGTACTTCTTAACATCCATGTTAAAAGTCATTAAGCTTCAGAGGTCAAGCAGTTTAAAATCAGTGGTGTTTTGTTGAAATACATTGCACTTTTAAGTGCATTTTATTATATGCATGTTTATATATTATATGTTGATTCAATAAGTTATTAATTTACACATAATAATTTTAAGATTCTGTTTTTATTACAATGTAACTTTATTGAATGAATTGCTATATGTTTCATAGTCCTCTAATATTATAAGTATTACTTAAATATTTCTTGAAGACATTAAGTTGAAAAGCTATCTTAAAAATTCCTCATTTTTCAGTGTTAAATGTCTTCGCCACTTTGGCAGGTAATCATTATAAGAAAATGACTTGGATAACATTGATTAAAGTTGTTAACATCCTGGATTTTAATATTCAATTCTCTCTAAGTTCACTCTAAAAATGAGAACAGGTTAGTATGCAGTTAATTCAGTAATTAATAAAAATATCTGTTGTTGAATAGATATTAAACTTTAGCAATTAAAAAAAAAATCTTCAATAGCAAAATAACAAAAAATGAACTATTTGCTTAGACATATTTATGGTTATAGGGAATAACGGTAGCTAGTTTTAAATAGGTCTTATGGCCATGACCCATTATATTGTGGCAATCCATCTAGTCTTCTGCAAACTGAAAGGAAGTAGAGAAACTCTTGTCCTCTTCTAGAGTTCAAAAATATTTAAGACTAAAAGTTACCACTTCTTCGAGTTGTGCAGAAAACCTGATAGATATAGACTATCACAATGCTTGATTTATGAAGACCATTTTTTTTTTTTACTTTCCAGCTATTATTACCTATGATTATATGTATACAAATTTTGTGTGCTTAACCTCCCTCATTAACATATTAAGCTGACAAAACAAAATAGATGGATCTTCAATGGTTGAAAAAATTAATTTTTTTTTTTTAATTTAAGAAAATTGCTGAAAGTAGAGTCTAACTTGGGCAGCATGTGTTTTGTATGACAGCTAAAAACCGAGGAAAATAACAATTAACTTGCAGATAACTGGTGAAAAATCCACTTTAAAAAATATATATATATAAGTGGCTTCATATCTTAAGTGGGCATCAATCATTTTTTTAAACTTCTATTTAAAATTTTTTTTCTGAAATAGCTTCAATTTAACAGTCTAATAATTATCTTTTTTAATTCTTAAATAAAATTATCAGAAACAGTTAGCATAGAACTTAAGAACAGAAATTGACTTCTTTGCTTTCTGAAAATGATAAATGTCTGTCTTTGGTATGAGGCTTCTCATACATATTTAATCCATTTCTACCAATTTTTGTAAGTATATAATTTTCTGTTCATTATAGTATTTAGTAAATGAATCTTCCACAAAAAGTATTGGCCAGTCATAAATTTATTATGTACAGTAGAACCCCTGTTATCTGGGGGTAATGATGGGTTTATGGATAATCGAATTATAACATATTTTAGGTACATTAATTAAATGATGTCATGTTTCTACATATCTATTACATCTTCATTTAGATAAAAATCAGTAATTTTAGTCAGTTAAATTAAACATATTTTTTTGAATATCGGCTATTCTGGTGAAAATTGTTTAGTAGAAGTTTCAATGTTGTCTCTAATGCTTGGTTGTTGTGATTTTTTAAAACATTTTGTTAATTTGAATAGAGAATAAAGCACAACTAAGTGAGTAGCAATTTTGTTTTGTAGGCAAGTAAACCAGTAGGAATTATAATAAACATTACCCTTCTTAAAATTTCAATTGGGCAGTTGGTTACCTGAAACATCCTAACCAAACCAGCTTGGTGTGGTTTTTCATTCATTATTTTTAACAACGATATATAATAAGTATGTAATCGTTAAAAATAATATTTATCCTTTTCTTTAAATAAATATTGAACATATGAAATTAAAAATGTAAAAATTAAAGTGATGGCTCTCGGAACCCTAGATATGAGGGGTCCTACTCTACTGTAAATAGCTATAACTACTGATGATTTGGTCATAAAGGAAATAGTTACAATTTTTAAGAAAATTTGTTTTTGTCTAATTCTCCCATCAAAGGAGATATTTTAAGAAAGTTTGACAGGTTTAGTGATAATTTGGTATAACAATAAGACAAAAAGAAGAAAAATTGAAATACTCTTGTTCCCAGAAAAAAAAAAAAATATATAGAAGCCCTGTGAGATTCTCTAGGAAGCTTAAAAAAAAAAAAAAGAGATTGATAATAAACAGCTACAAGAGTGATTAAATCAACAAGAGATTTTTCAGTAACCATTTCCTGAATCTTGTTAAAGAATTAGAATATTAGGTTTGTTTGACAGACTATGAAATACAGCAAAACCATTCCAATAAGTTATTTTGCTATGGTTTTTCTAGTTTTGAGGCTATAATAATTTATTTATTCTCCAGCTGACATGGATGGTATGCTTATGAGATCTTTTTAGAGCAACAAGATAAAAACGGTATTTTACTTGGCTCTCCCATACGAAGCCAATAGAACAGATTTATATAGCTTTCTTGTGTATTCATAATAAAGTAGATTTTTAGAAAAACTGGTTAATAGATAATACATAACTGAGTGGCCCAAGGAATACCAGCACAGTTATATCTGGCAGAATGGCTGGTATGAATCTTCTAACCTATGTTATATGAAATGCTTATCCATTTTAATTAATAACAATAGCTAAAGCTATTTTCCACTTAAAGTAAATGGATGACAAGGATATCCATGAAATGCTAGTAGATGTTACAAGTTATATCTAGCATTGAGGACTTCTTCTTAAACTCAACCAGACCAAAATGTTAATCTTATTCATAATATAGTTTGTCACCTACCTAAGAGCTTGGCCAACTGTTTCGATTTTAGAGTTTTTAAATTATATATGATACTCTTGACTGTGGGGATATATAAGTCCATAAGTTTATCATAGGGAAAAAAGTATTGGCATTTCTATATACCTTATTTCGAATGAAGACAATAAAATTCTTTTATTCTTCTTTTTAACCATCCACGAAAGATCCTCATAGTAGGTTTATATTACTCCATTTTAACTTTTGTCTGAACTGTATATATTCTTTCATGCTTTTATTAATTTTTATTGCTGATTCCTTATTTTGAATAAGAAGCAATCTTCAATTAATCAAAGTGATGACATGTTTGATTTATTGCTTCTTCAGAGTATTATTTTTTTTAAAAAAAGGATGGAGATGGTCCGGGGTGGCGGTCATAAATAGGCTAAATAGTGGTGAAATTATTTTATTGAAAGCCGAAGTTTCGACCCAACTTTGCAGGTCTTCTTCAGGGAGGTTGTGTTCAGCTTGGAGTTTCACTTAAAACTGTTAGCAGCACTTAAAAAACTCCTAGCTGAACACACCTCCCTGAAGAAGACTTGCAAAGTCGGGTCGAAACGTCGGCTTTCAATAAAAAATTTTATCACTATTTAGCCTATTTATGACCGCGCCACCCCAGACCATCTCCTTCCTTTATAATGCAACGGTCAACTATTAAATATTCAATTTTTTTTTTTAATGTATTTTACTAATGATACTAATTTTTATTAGTAACGATTTTTACCCTTACAGCATTCTAAGTCAAGAAAATATTTAGAGGGCAGTACAAATAATTTTTATTTATGTTTTCATATTTTAGTCAAGTAAATCTTATACTGTGATCTCTTTATTATATTAATAAAATTTATTTTTATTAAATGCTACTTTTATTTATAATGTTAGTAACCCAATATTTTAAATAATGAGCCACTTCCTTACTAAATATACTTTAATGTGTATTAAATTTGGCCAAAGTGTCAGCACTAAGAAAATAAACAATTTTTTTGTGTACCTCACTGACTGCTACCCCCAATTATTGTGTAAGCAAAACTTAAATTCATCATGTGGCATGAAATTTCTGAAACCAGATTTCTTAATTGTATTTTTGCCTGCTGACTCAATACTCGCCAGGTATTTTGAGGAAAGCTTGCATGTATCATAGTAAACAATTTTTCTCAAACCTCTGATATTAATATTGGTAGTGATATGCACAAATCATCTTTGGTGAGTCCCGATATTAATGATTTAATTTTAATTCCTTATTCACCAGCCTGAGTTAATTAAAAATAAATCTGATTTGATTTAATATCACTACCTATACCTATTAATAAATTCATTGGAGTGAACCACCCAGAAAGTTGGTCCTGCAGGAATTTGATGCATGATAAAATGTACATTGAAATGGTGTAAGGATGAATCATTCACTATAAGCAGAGCAGAGCTCAATATGGAACAGATGTCAATCAAGGCTCATTTTCATGTAAGTGTCAAGTACTGAATTTGAGTTTTTAACCAAACCTCGAGTTGTGGGCTAATTAAGCTTCCATTATAAATGAACCAACAATTAGAACATGGCTTAAGATGATAATTCAACTCAATGATGTAAAAAGTTTGAAATTAATTCAGTTATGTATTAGTAAACTAAAGTTTTTAACGATATGAACTGCATACATTCCCTAAGGTGAACCCTGTTATCGGATAATTGCCTGTTCGTTTAGTTAATTGAACTCTGGTTGGTAAGTAAGAAACTGTAAGGTGGAAAATCCTTTGTATTATGATGGAGAGAGGGTCCATTACTGTCTTATGTGCCTACTTGTAGTTAATGAATCAACAAAATGTTGATTGGTCAGGAAATATATATATTAGTTAAGAATTGGAGAGCAACATAGTTGAGTTTTGGAAGATCTCACAAGAACAAATTCAAATTGATTAATGTTTACTCAATACAAAATATCTAGGGTCTCTTGGCAATTATAATAAAAAGTGTCAGTATCTTAAATACATAGAACATCCAAAACAAAGTTTTTTTTTTACTGTCCCTTTGACCAGTCATTTGTTAAAAATATATGGTGAAGAATTTTTCCAATGTATATGCAACAATTTATATCCTGAATAAATTATAGGGGAGAATGGTTGGGGTGTGCAGTAAAACTGATATAATTATTTTAACTGGTCACCCCAATTTTTCACTGCAATCTACCATCAAACTGAAATGCAAACCATATATTAAAGGAATTTTCCATTGATTTTCTTATATTATTTTCCTCAAAAGTACCCTAAATTTGGTTTATTTTGCGAATTTAAATCTGATATTTGCAGTAACAATAAAAATGAGCTAAATATTAAGTACAAAAGAATTTTGTTATGGGTTAAAAAGAAAATGTTTATTTAGGTCTAAAATGAATCCAGAAATATACTTCTGGAAAGCTGAGAATTTTATTATAAATGAAATGTATTATAGAAGGTAATGGAAGTTAAAAATTTTTTAAATAATTTGTCAAAATTAATACTGATAAACAGAAATCACATGTTTTCACAGAAATTAAATGAAATTTCCTAACTGAATGTAAAGTTGTCCAATTATTTTTTTAGTTTGAAACAAAGTATTTAAAATCCCCCAAATCAAGCCAATAATGGCATTTAAAAAAACTAATTCATTGTACTTGTGTGAAGTATGTCATAAATATTTACAACCTTAAATACATTTACTGTAGTTTAATAACTCTAGAGCTCAAATTTATTCCAAAGGAATTTCCCTTTATGAAATCATGTCTGCTTAAATTAGTGTGACAACTTTTGACCTGTCAAGGTTGTACTTTAAAGTAAGTACCTATTTTTGTTAATTTTCTAAGGATACGTAACAAGAATTTTAATACATGTATCAAGTGATACAATATATTAATCAATATATATTTTTTTTACTTATTCATAATGTATATGAGTGTCTTAATATCTAAGATGGACATCTGTAATTTTTAAGAAGTTGAAAAACAGCCATTAATAACAAGCTTCAATTTAAAACAACAATTTTTTTTTTTTCAACTTAAACATTCTTTATGAAAAGTACACACTGAAAACTGACAGTTTTTAATTGAACATGGACAATGCAAATGTTACTTGAAACGTTTTCCTCTAACAAATACTGATACATGTCACTGTGATAGTCAAACTCTTCAGATATGGCATCACATTCTGTATGTCTGACCTATTTTTGACTAAATAGTACTAGCTCATAAGTATAATTCTGCATGGAGATAATTGGCAGCTGAAGGAAGAGGACATCTTCAAGCAATATAATAAGGGAATTCACTACTGAAGTTGATCTTCAGCTTCTCTGAGGAGAACCCTGACTAACAATTTTATTATAGTAATCCTTTTTCTTGCTGAAGCCCTCCCACCCCAAATGGTAAAATGGAAACATGTTTTATGGAAAAAAAGTTATCTCTTAAAGTATGATTGTTCTTGTAATTGCATTTCATATGACGTCAATAATCACATAAACACCATTTCACAAAGGTAATATCTTTCTTTTTTTTCAAAATTATTGTTATATATATGAGAAAAAATCTTTCAGCTGAAGCCCCCCCCCCCCAAAAAAAATTAAATCCTGGGTCCGCTAGTGCTTTGGACAATATTTTTCAGTTTATTCATTAAAAACGAATAGGATATTTCATAAATTATATAATTCTATGAACAGTTATTTTTAACAGTTCTTGTGAACTGTTATTTCTTGATTACGTTCCTTTTCAAGACAAGCCTTGGTAGTGCTGTTATCTAGCGTCAGATTGTAGAACTACGATGTATTGTTTAAATGTTTATTTATTTGAGCCTTTTAGTGAACAAAATGAGTTAGTCCAATATAAATATTTTTGAGTAGTCATTTTAGTGATATTTCTAGTTGGAAAATTTATAATATCTGTACAGATAGTGAGTAAGTTGATTGCAGTGTTGAAATATAGAACTGTGAATAAAGTTATAAATTTTTCCACTAGAAATATTAAAATTAATAAAAAATGTTGAAATTGGAGCTAGTCATTCTGTCAACTGAAAGGTTCATTTAATAATAAATGTTACATGCCAGAATAGTCATCCATTATGTGTTTAGAAGTTAAAATTGTGTGTAATAAATACTGTTATTTGTTTTCCTCTTGAAGTATATAGTTGGATGTTATATAGCTTTGAATTAGTGTCTGTTCTTTTATGTTTTAAATAATAGATTATTTTATAATGTATTTTTCATTAGAAATTATATAATTTAGTTAAAATATTTATCACGAGTTTCTCAAAAGTTTTCATAGTGAGTGAAATGAAGTTTTTAAGGCAGTGAATATTATGGATACATAATAGTTGTATATTTTTAAATATATGGTAAACAGTAATAGAAGTAAATATATAGAAGTGTTCCTGTGACTTGATAGGTTCTTTTTGGTTTACCCAATTCTTTCTTTATAATTAAACACTTAGATGTTCATGGCTATATGTACTATTATTTGGATGTATATATGATTCAAATTAAAATTGTTTGCAGAGTTTGAAAGTAATTAATTTTTTATCTATTATACTATTCGTGTTCATAGGGAATAATTCATTCTTGGTTTTCTCATTCAAAGTACTGCTTTTGAATTTAACACTGACTTCAGTTTAAAATATTTTAGTTAATATTTTAGGAAAAGAATAATTCATCCAATAAAATTTTGACACTGGCTTTCATTTAAAATCCTTTGATAGTTGAAATCTTAACATTTAAAAAATATTTTTTGAAAATATCTTGTGTTAATTGTTAATACTATAGGATATTTTTATTGTGATGTATATCATGAAATAAATAATTAGGATTCAATCATTATTTTATTACAAAAGCCAACATTGCAATGCAAACTCCTGGGTCTTCTTCGATGCTGAATTTAAATCGAATAAACAAAAGATATAGATATGTGTCCAGTATGAAGACAAAAGTAAATAACAAGAACAAAAACTTAATAAATTAAGGATAAATATGAAGTAAGAGACAGGAATACAAATAATAATAGAGATAGGTACATTTTATTTTATTTTATGTATCGCCTACTTTACCTTTATGTATTTTTATTATACTGCTTTTTGTATCAAAGAAAAGGGAGAGAGAAAAAAATAGTCTGAAGTTCAAATTTAATTTTTTTTCTAATAGTATATTCGGGTTGTAATGTGTAAAACTTACACAAGTTTATTTATTTTATATTTTACAAAATTACAAACAGCACTTTAAAAACAAATAAAAATAACCACCTATATTATGCTCATATGTAATATATACTTACTACACAAGGAATACATATATAATTTAATTTTTTATTGAATTAATTATACATTGATTGATATTTTTAAAAAATACTTGTTTGTCATTTAGAATATTTCTGCTTACAATAAAATCTGTCTTAATCATTAAACATATGCAATCCATCTGAGAGATTTAGAACACTAAGGAAGTTGATTTGTCCTACTATGTTGAATATTCTACTTAAATATTTTTAATAACTATAAAATCAATTCTTAAAAATAAAGAAAACTATGGATAGTTAAATTTCTGGTAGTAATTGGAACTGGACAATGCACAATTGAAATAAAAATGTAAACAAGTACAACAATTTATTGAATAAAAATCCTATTTGTTCATAATTAATTCATGTGTGTTTTTTTTACCAATCCCATAAATATTCTGAAGATGGATCTTTGCAAATGGATTTAATTGACAGCAAATTTAGTCTTTTATTACATTTTGTTTTTCTATACAGTCTATCAGTTAATTATTCATGAAAAACTTGAGGAATTCTGACAGCGTATTTTGTACCAGCAATAGACACTCAGGTTTTAGGGGTAAAAATGTTTTATATAATTAAAAAAAAATTCTCCACACACTAAAACTAAGAAATAGCAAGCCACATATCAATGAATAAACATTTAAACTTACCACTTAAAGAACAGTAATAAGGAATCCTTGAAGCAAGTCTTATCCTTATATCATTACTAAATCAACTGGCAATCGGCTATTGTGGCATGATATTACTTGAGTTCCAGGTATCATCCTTCTAATTGTTCTAAATATACTCATATTTGCCTTTCTTTTTGTTATATAAAGCTTATTATCGGTTATTGAGTTGAATATAGTCTATTACTGGTACATATAACTTATATCGTAAATAATAATAGAGTGGAGATGGTTGACTGTAATTATAATTTGAGAAGGAATTGGTCGGGGGGTGCAACTATACTATTATATAGTTGTATCCAGTAAAATACTATTATAATATATAGTATTTAATTATACTGCACTCCCGACCAACTCCTTCTCAAATAAACGATCATAGATGAATGACAATCTTCAGTTATAATTATATTTATTATTTACAAAATTATATTTAAATTAAAATGTTTTTTAACCTAATGTAAAATAAGCCTAACTGAACTTGTTTTCTTCTCAATGCTGTTTTATACAACAAAACATTTTAAAAAAGCCTTTTGTATACAATAACTAAGTATTTATATGTATATATTTATTTTAAGTATTTATTTACAAATAATTTATAATTTTTAAAAACTTATCTAACATAGCTATTTAATTATAATAGAACAATAATTTAAATATATTTTTTAGGTATTTTGCTGATGTCTACCACCTTCTCGATGAGAATGCTTAGAAATGACAAACTACCATGCTGATTGGAGATGTGTTTGGAAAAAAAATGGCATAAATGGGAATGAGACCATTGACAAACAAATCACAAATGAAATAAGATATTCTGCCATGGATATTTTCTTCAGTTGAATCCACATCAGAAAAATTACTATTTTCAAGACTCCACATCAGGTACATGCAGCTTTCACCTATGTATTCTTAATCAGAGGCCTGGAACCACCACTCTGAGAAACAAGCAACACACCTCCGACACCAGAAAGAGACTGTATACTTTCTAATATGGCTAAAGAAGTTGAAGATAATGAAGGCAGAATAAAAAAAAAAGTGCCATTGAAATTGTTCATGTCGTATAGTTGTAATTTTTCATTACATTTAATTCTTGTACTCATTATTGTAATTATTTTTGTCATTTAATTCTTGTAATCATTATAGAAACTATTGATGTTATTTATTTTTTGTATTTTAGAGATGGATATATTGTATTGTATTTTGGAGATGGATTGTTGAAATTGTAAGGATGAAAAATGGTCAGGATGTACAGTCAAAAAATGTGTTTATTGAGTTTGCCTATGTTTCAACCCAAACATGTGGGTCATCATCAGGGCAATGATTTGAATGAAGGCTGGACAAGAACTTTCCTTTCTTATTTTTGAATTCATTATTGTAATAATTTAATCATTGGTATTGTAATTATTCTTGTTATTTAATATTTGTATAATTATTATAAATAAATAAAGAATATTTTAATAAGTATTACTTCAATTTGAATGAATCATTATTGTCTGGTGATTGGTATGTATATTTAAAAAAAATAATAAGAGAATAAGTAAAACAATCCTATTTAATGAAAACATTTAAGGTGTTTGATACAAGAGTTGAAAAGAAAAGGGCTTATCTACCCCAAAGCTTAAAATTAGCAAATATTATATTTACTTCTACTCTTAATATTATTAATTCTGTATAGATTTTTTTTTATTTTTGTATTATACCAAATATCGGAACAATTTTCTATATGTATTTGCTCTTATACTCACACTTCTGTACAGAAATTACAAGATTCGATTTATTTTATTTCGAATAAATGTATTATTAAATTAATAAATTAAAAAAAATAATTATTCTATTTTTAATTAAATCCTGAAGAATTCCCTTAGCCAAAATCCTTATCCATTTTAATTGAACTCCGTAATCCTCGATGAAAACCCAAAAGTTTGCAATGAGAGTGGTATTTTGCAATAAAATAATGATCAAATTCTGATAATTTGTTCCATGATATCAACATCAATCAATCAACTATAATCAAAATATTCTGTAGCATTAACTATTAACACAAGATAATATTCAAACAATATTTTTAAAATGTTAAGATTTCAACCATCAAAAGATTTTAAATGAAAGCCAGTGTCAAAATTTAAAGGAACATTGAATGAATTATTCCTTATGAACATGAATAATTTGATAGATAGAAACTTTTGGAAACTTACCTTCAACATTTGAAAAAAAAAATTAGCAAACAGTTTAACTTTGAATTAGATATATATTTAGATGATATAAATCTGTAGTTAGTAAGACATACATAAATTAGCATCGGTGTTTGATTATAAATAAAGAATGGGATAAACTAAAACCAATTCTTCACAGAAACACATTTATTTGTATTCTATTATGTTTTACCGTATATATATCAAAATACATAACAAAATTACTACATATCCATAATATTTATAAATACAGTTCACTGTCGATATAACTAGATGCATTCAAAACTCCAATTCATTCACTCCCTACACTTTAGAGAAGTATATTTATTTGTTTTCGTCTATTATATTACATTTTGCCATGTAGTTAAAAATACATAAAAAAAACTATTACATAACTGTATTTATAATACATTTCACTGCTGATAGCTCTAGATTCATTCAAAACTTCACTTCACTCACTATGTACACTTTTGAGAAACTAGCGATAAATAATTAAACTAAATTCTGTGATTTCTAATGAAAAAACATTATGAAATAATGTAGTGCTTAAGACGTGAAAGAATCAGACACTAACTTAGGCTATATAACAGTCAAGACAATATATATATACACTTCAGAAAGAAAACATTTCATAGAATTTATTACACGAAACTTTAGCTCATTAACATATAATGGAAGATTGTGGAGGCCTGTCGCGTTAAGAATTAAATTAATAAACATTTAAACAATATAACAAGGCAAAAACAACAATTTTAGCGACCGTTTACGAGTTTAAACGAATTTTGAATAATAGTTTCCATAACTATACGAAGGTAACAGAACCATCAAAGAAACCGTTTGAATAATAATTTTAAAACCCAATAATAGAGTGCAGCACCATCCAATAAACATAAAAATGAAATATTAGTTCTAAAAACCGCTGAAAGAGGTCAGCACTAAACAGGGAACGAGAAATTGGAAAATAGTTCAAAAAGTTGCCGCAAGGTAGCAGCACTATCCAGGGAACCAATGTAAGGAATAAGATACTCGAACGTAGTTGTTAAAACCGCCGCAAGAGGCCAGCACCATCCAACAAACAACGAGAAATCATAGTTCTAGGAGCTGCCGCTAGATAGTAGCACAATAAACACTCCTGGTCGGCTCGAAAAGTGAGCTCCTTCGACCTCCCGCTATCCTGATACAAATCGACAATTTTCTCGCTAGAAATTCGCCTAAAATTCGTAGTTCCTGTATTCTGCCAACAGATAGCAGCACTACAAAGGCTCCTGGTCGACTCGAAAAGTGAGCTCCTTCGACTTCCCGCTATCCTGATACAAATCGACAATTTTCTCGCTAGAAATTCGCTTAAAATTCGTAGTTCCTGTGTTCTGCCAACAGATAGCAGCACTACAAAGACTCCTGGTCGACTCGAAAAGTGAGCTCCTTCGACTTCCCGCTATCCTGATACAAAACGACAATTTTCTTGCTAGAAATTCGCCTAAAATTCGTAGTTCCTATATTCTGCTAACAGATAGCAGCACTATCGGTATCAGGACGCCTCGAAAGGCGCCCGGGACCAGTTTTTTTTTTTTTTTCTTGTTTATTCAAGTTCGAAATTGATTAGAATATTTAAAAATACGTTAGAAAATTTGAAAATAAATCTCTCTTGTTCTTATTTCACCCTAAATCTTCAAATTTACACTATTTAATACATTTTATAGCACAGAACTTATTTTTCATGCTGTGAATAGATCGAAATATTTTAGAATTGTTCAGAAAAATTCAAAATGCTTTCTTTTTTTTCTTATTTCTTCCAAATGTAAATAAAAAATGACAAATTTTCTTAATATGTGTTATTTTTTTTTTTTTATTATACAGTTACAGATTTGTCGTTATTTTTCTTATATTAGGACGAAATGAGAAAAAGAGGAAGCATTTTGAATTTTACAAACATTTCTAAAATATTTCGATCAATTCTCTGCATGAATAAACAAGAACGAACATAACTGCATAATCTAAGAAATAGATGATATTATAGGGAAAGAAAAGTATTATTAATTTAATAAATGGTTAAAATAACACATTTTAAGAAAATTTGTTATTATTTTTCTTATATTTGGACGAAATGAGAAAAAGAGAAAGCATTTTGAATTTTCCGAACATTTCTAAAATATTTCGATCAATTCTCTGAATGAATAAACACGAACGAACATAACTGTATAATCTAAGAAATAGATGATATTATAGGGAAAGAAAAGTATTATTAATTTAATAAATGATTAAAATAACACATTTTAAGAAAATTTGTTATTATTTTTCTTATATTAGGACGAAATGAGATAAAGTGAAAGTATTTTGAATTTTTCCGAACAATTCTAAAATATTTCGATCAATTCTCTGCATGAATAAACAAGAACGCACATAACTGTATAATATAAGAAATAGATGATGTTAAGGGAAAGAAAAGTATTATTAATATAATAAATGATTGAAACAACACATATTAAGAAGATTTGTCTTTATTTTTCTTATATTAGGACGAAATGCGAAAAAGAGAAAGCATTTTGAATTTTCCGATCAATTCTAAAATGTTTCAATCAATTCACAGCATGAAAAATAAGTTCTATGCTATAAAATGTATTAAATAGTGTAAATTTGAAGATTTAGGGTGAAATAAGAACAAGAGGGATTTATTTTAAATTTTTCTAACGTATTTTTAAATATTCTAATCAATTTCAAGCTTCAATAAACTAGAAAAACAAAAAAAACTGGTCCCAGGGGCCTTTCGAGGCGTCCTGATACCGATAGTGCTGCTATCTGTTGACAGAACACAGGAACTACGAATTTTAGTCGAATTTCTAGCGAGAAAATTGTCGATTTGTATCAGGATAGCGGGAAGTCGAAGGAGCTCACTTTTCGAGTCGACCAGGAGTCTTTGTTGTGCTACTATCTAGCGGCAGCTCTTAGAACTACGATTTCTCGTTGTTTGTTGGATGGTGCTGGCCTCTTGCGGCGGTTTTAACAACTACGTTCGAGTATCTTATTCCTTACATTGGTTCCCTGGATAGTGCTGCTACCTTGCGGCAACTTTTTGAACTATTTTCCAATTTCTCGTTCCCTGTTTAGTGCTGACCTCTTTCAGCGGTTTTTAGAACTAATATTTCATTTTTATGTTTATTGGATGGTGCTGCACTCTATTATTGGGTTTTAAAATTATTATTCAAACGGTTTCTTTGATGGTTCTGTTACCTTCGTATAGTTATGGAAACTATTATTCAAAATTCGTTTAAACTCGTAAACGGTCGCTAAAATTGTTGTTTTTGCCTTGTTATATTGTTTAAATGTTTATTAATTTAATTCTTAACGCGACAGGCCTCCACAATCTTCCATTATATGTTAATGAGCTAAAGTTTCGTGTAATAAATTCTATGAAATGTTTTCTTTCTGAAGTGTATATATATATTGTCTTGACTGTTATATAGCCTAAGTTAGTGTCTGATTCTTTCACGTCTTAAGCACTACATTATTTCATAATGTTTTTTCATTAGAAATCACAGAATTTAGTTTAATTATTTATCGCTAGTTTCTCAAAAGTGTACATAGTGAGTGAAGTGAAGTTTTGAATGAATCTAGAGCTATCAGCAGTGAAATATATTATAAATACAGTTATGTAATAGTTTTTTTTATGTATTTTTAACTACATGGCAAAATGTAATACAATAGACGAAAACAAATAAATATACTTCTCTAAAGTGTAGGGAGTGAATGAAATGGAGTTTTGAATGCATCTAGTTATATCGACAGTGAACTGTATTTATAAATATTATGGATATGTAGTAATTTTGTTATGTATTTTGATATATATACGGTAAAACATAATAGAATACAAATAAATGTGTTTCTGTGAAGAATTGGTTTTAGTTTATCCCATTCTTTATTTATAATCAAACACCGATGCTAATTTATGTATGTCTTCCTAACTACAGATTTATATCATCTAAATATATATCTAATTCAAAGTTAAACTGTTTGCTAATTTTTTTTTTCAAATGTTGAAGGTAAGTTTCCAAAAGTTTCTATCTATCAAATTATTCATGTTCATAAGGAATAATTCATTCAATGTTCCTTTAAATTTTGATACTGGCTTTCATTTAAAATCTTTTGATGGTTGAAATCTTAACATTTTAAAAATATTGTTTGAATATTATCTTGTGTTAATAGTTAATGCTACAGAATATTTTGATTATAGTTGATTGACTGTGGTTGATATCATGGAACAAATTATCAGGATTCAATAATTATTTTATTGCAAAATACCACTCTCATTGCCAACTTTTGGGTCTTCATCGAGGATAAAATTAAATCAGATATGTAAGAAATGTATAAATGTAGCATAGACAGAAATAAATAACAACTTTATTATCAATACAAGTAAAATAAGGATAAAGAGAGCAGTAAAAATATAAACGAGCCTTTAATTGACAAAATAACTCTAATTTCAACATTTTCACAGTCATTTTAGTGATATTTCTAGTTGGAAAATTAGAACTGTGAATAAAGTTATACATTTTCCCACTAGAAATATCACTAAAATTAATAATAAAAAATATTGAAATTGGAGTTATTCATTCTGTCAACTGAAAGGCTCAAATAATAATAGAGATACCTATTATTTTACTGTATTTATATCCTCATCGCTTAATTTATTGTTATTTAATTATATTATTTTTCTTTTTAAACCAAAGGAAAGGGTGATAAAAAAACAAACAGTCCAAAATTTTTATTTTTTTTTGTGATAAATTTGGATTTTAATATATAAAACTTTTACACAAATTTATTTATCATCTATTTTACAAAATCACAAAGAGCATTTAAGAGAAATAAAAAGAATCACTTATATTACACTACATTTTTCTCATTTATAATATATATTCACTAAGTAAGGAACACAAGTACATAAGTTAAATTCATAAACATAAAAACAAAATAATCAATTATAGATATGTAATGTATTGCACTGTTGTCAATGTTTAGTATATAAAACTAATACTTTCCAATTTACAAACTAGATTTTCTACAATAGCAAAGCTGGTGAATTCATTTATATATCTTTAAGATATAAACAAATCCATGTTTCCTTTGACCTTCATTTATTTTAAAATATGGCAAAGTTTTCCAGTGTATATCCAACTCTACATTCTAAATAAATAAGAATATATATATACTATATACCAAGCTGAAATACAATCGATGAACAAAAGTAAGTTTCCACTGATTTTCTTATCATATTTTTGGCTTACAACACTATCTAGAATGAGCAACTGAAACTTAAAATATTTTTAATTCTTTGCTAAGAAGAAGAGAAAATTCAAAGTTTTGGGTGGCTCTAAAAGGCAAGATCTAATAATAGTACTTATTCATTAATTCCACCTCATACCTTGATTGATAGATGTGAATAAAGTTCTTATAAAATCCAAATATATGAATAAGTAATTTACATTCTCTAACATGAGTCCTAAAAATAACTTTAATACAGAGGTTTTTAATACATTTGTCTAGTTTATTATATTATCAATTGTGGATAAAGTACATCTGAGAAAATATGTGGCTATCTTGTTAGAAGACGAGCAATTCAAAAACCAAGTAATTCATAAATTAATGATGAGGTTCACATTATAAATGAGTAAGAACATCTACTTTAATATATTCAATCCTTGAATAATCTATAATCATACTCATGGCCTTTCAATGCAATATTAATTAATTATGTTCTATAACTAATACCTCAAACACCATTTGGTATGAATGGTTAGTGATGATATTAAGGGTTTACCAATTGGAGTTATGCATTTGTTGAGAAATTTCTATTTTAATATGGTTTTTAAAATTTACAAATAGTTACAGTGACCAAAAAAAGTATTTGTACATCACATGACTTAACCAAAAATCTTTTTATTTATGTTTTCAACATAAAGTAACAATAGATAACAATTAGAAACTTCATTTTCCATTAATTGTACAAAAAAGAAAACTTTTTTCTTTTTGAAGAAAATATGAAGTGTAAAAAAAACATCCGTACATTTAACTAATCAAAAGAAAATATAATAAATATCAAGCAAACACATCCACATATTTGTCAGCATTTATAATCCCATCAATAAAGGCTAGTTCATTAACTCCTTTGGCACCCATGCAGCTTCTAACCATGATACTGACCCTTCTGTGCTTTACTGAGTTGTAGATGTTGGGGTTCAAATGCCTTTACTTTTTTCCTCCAAACATATTTTCTATATAAATATATTATACTTGCTTTCATCCGAAAACAACACATTTCCCCAAAACATTTAGGTTTATTTACATGTTCTTGGGCAAACACCAATCTTTTTTTCTGTTTATTTTGTTAATAAAAGATATTTTTTATAGCCAATTCCTCATGGTTTGAGTTATTACAGATTTGTCGATGTGAGTCTAAACCTCTCGATTTGGTATATTTTATAATTTGGTAGTTTTTGCATAATTTCACAAGATTTTTGCATATTCAACAAGAGTTTTCTCCCTGGGCAGGATTTATTGTTCACTGATTCGGATTTTTATAATTTGTTTCACTGTCGTATGAGGTAGTCTGAACTTTTTTCCAGTATACCAAACTTAAACCCTGTTTAAAATGTTTTACGTCATCTTTAAGATGACCCATTGCCGAAGAAATATTTTTTAGTACTAAACTAAACAAGCCATTTATCGTGCAGTTTTATCCTTTTATCTTCTGGAGTAACGGGTTATAAATAGAACGTTAAACAAATTATTGAAATATTAAAGTTGCATGAGACTTTAAATTTTGGCATTACCTAAATTAACATAAAACAAAGTTTGTAATTGATATCTGCCATTGTTTAAAGTTAAAAATATTATAGTGAACCATTTTGACCAGTTACAGGGCCAACTTAGCCATTGATGCCTATTTTGATCATTTTTCATAGAAGTTATGTGAATATTATGCAATTAAAAATTATTTAAATGGTAAAAAATAAGAGAAGCATTTAATATCAGAAAAAGTCTCAAACATGATTTCTTTCAGTCTTCTAAATTTTGACTCAAGAAATAATTCCTAGTTAAGTTGGAACATTTTGAACTTCTATTGATCGATAAGTTAAACAAATTAAAGAAAAAAAGGGCCAATAAAATCAGGAACTTAGCCCTACTGGCAAGAAGACAAGTTCTGACCCTGCCCTACGGTTCATTATGATAGGTATTAACTTATTAAAAACTGAATTTTCGGTACTGTTAACTTATTGATTATTTTAGTACTAAAAAACTCACATGGAATAAAACAAATCAGAATTATAATTAAAATTAGGGGGAAAACTGGTATTTAATAAAAATATACATTTTTATTTGAATAGAGGTTATATTTTTCCTACTTAAATGTCAAAGGAATTCTGGTAAAGTTGACAGGGTTGTTATAGACAAAGAAGATAATTTGTTTCTTTTATTTCGAAGTAGAGAAAAAAAAGTAAGGACCTAATTATAGGTAAATAAAACAAGTATAGGATAAGCATAAAATAAAGTATATTTTACAGTACATATATACATTGCAGTATATGTAATAGTAAATAAAACAATATATTACAATAAAATGTAAGGAACATATTAATAAATTGGACCGTCATCCATATCATCATCATCATCTATGTATCCTTCTCCATTATCAAAATAATTTTGATTATAATCAGTACCATCGTCCATTTCTTCATCAGTATCTATCAATTCTTCTTCTTCGTCATCAACTTTTTCTTTATCCTCTTCTGTTTCGTCAACCTCTACCTTTACCTGAGTTGTTTCATTTTTTTCAAGATTGGCAAGCCTAAAAAAAAAAAATAAAAAAATAAAATTTATTAACAAAATTATATTTTTACCTAACTAATAATGATCTAAGAGAAAAGAGCTTAATATAAAGGAGCTTAAACACAAAAAGAGACATAAATTAAATATTAGCTTATAATTAGAAAAATCCATCCAAACAGCCTTGTGCCTCAAAAATGCAAAGGAAAAGAAACCAATCTGTCAATATTCAAGCCTTGTGAGGACAGAAAACCCACGAAAAATCACATATACCTAGTCCTGTCATAAATATTGTTACAAAGAAATATATACTTAAATATAATTTATTATAAAATAAAATGTATATCTATAGAGAATAAAACAAATAAGAAATTATTCAAAATGTCTCCCTTTTGCCTTGACACAGGCATTTAATCTCCGTGGCCAGTCATCAATAGCAGCACGCAGCACTTCTTGAAGAAAGCGCTCAACTGCTTGGACCATCATCATTGTAATCTATCCTCTTGAACCGCATTAAGCAGTATGAGAAGGAAGTTTATAGAGCCTTCTCCAGCTCTGCCGGTCTTCAACAAGACTCCTTTTATCGTTCCATTGAAGACCTCTTCTCTAGAAATCACTCTTTACTTCATTTTCCCATTTCCATCTAGGCCGTCCTCTTCCTCTCTTGAGTCTAATTTAGATCGATAGGTTTCGCTAGCTATTCTGTTTGGTTCCATCCGCAGAATATGTCCTAGCCATCTCAGTCGATTCTCCTCAATCACCGGCTTAATATTGAGGTTCGACCTGATGGTAGTGTTGCGTACTCTATCTCTTCTCGTTTTCTCCTCAATCATTCGGAGAAATCGCATTTCTGATGCTTGTATCCTTGATTGATGTTTCTTTGTCAGTGTCCATGATTCTGAAGAGTATGTTAAAATGGGAAGAAATGTCGATCTGAAAACAGCTACTTTTGTTTTCTTTTCCACCTCGCACCTGTTGAGAAAACCTCTCTTAACTGCCTCAAACATCCTGCTCGCAGCAGCGATTCGCTCAGTCACCTCTGAATCGATGTATCCATTTTCATTAAGGTATGCCCCCAAGTATTTGAAGTTTTCTACCTGCTCGAGGATTCTGTCTTCGACTCTGATGACGCGCATATTTCTCCTAGGCTTCTTCCCAAGCCTCATTACTTTCGTTTTTACAGGGTTGATAATCATATTAATCTTCTGCAATTCTTCTTTTAATCTATTAATATTGTACTGAAGATTCCTGTCACTGTCTCTGCTCAGACCAAAGCCGATAATCTAGTGGGTTGAGATCAGGGCTTCCTGAGGGCCAAACGGAGGCAGAGATGAACTCTGGAATGTTCTTTTGCAGTCACTGCTGAGTTGACGAGGGCTTGTGATCTGGAGCGGCAAACAGAGTATCATTTAGAGGCTTGACAACAGGTTCCAAACTATCACCCTGATAGTTTTTAGCGGCTGTTTTAACACCTTTTTCGCAAAAATGAAGCTTTGTGGTGGCACAAAGGAAACTCCCCACCAAACCATCACTGAGGAAGGATGATGACCTCTTTTCACTCTTTCAATGACTTTTTGGGCTTCTTTAGAGTTGTGTGCGTACACACGATCATTTTGACGATTACATTTTTCTTCAATTGTAAAAATTTTCTCATTGCTAAACAAAATCTTTCGATGAAGACCATTGGTGTAACGGCCAAGGAGCGCTTTGTTCTGTCATTCTTCAAAATGCATCCATTCTAAGGTCACTTTTTATTATGCGAGACATTGATCTGACAGAGATTCCCATTTCCCGAGACATGATTTGTTTTTTTCGAATGGGATTTCTTCTGATCCGAGCAGCCATAGCTCTCACTGCATTTGCCGTTCTCACAGAGCAGGGACGGGCCCGATCGAGGTCTGTCTCATACAGATAGGGTCTCATTATATCTATTTAAAGTGCTGTACACAAACATATGGCTGATACCCAAAGGTTTCAAAGTGTTGAAAATATCTGACCTACATTTTCCAACTTTGTGCAAGGCTATCACAGCTATTTGGTTTTCTTTATCACCCATAAAAATACAAACTAATTGGGATTATTATCCTGCCAAGTAAAGAAAATAACCTGATAGAGTTAAGGATTATCTAAATAATACCCAAGGATGTGAACAAAGTTCAAATTTTGTATCAGTATTTATGACAGAACTAAGTAAAGACAAAATACATCACTTCTCATCAATAGCCCAAAAAATAATTATATTTTTTGTACATCACCTCCATTACTTACACTCCATCTCACTTACACCTAGTATAATTAATGCACAACATTATGAGGAAGAAAAATGGTCAGGATTTGTAGTCTGAATATAGTTAATTAGTCACACCAATGTTTAGATCCAAGCACGTGGATCATTTTCAGTTACTATCTAGTCTACTGTTCACAATAAAACATATCTAGACTGCAAATCCAGACTAATTATACTCATAATTTTAAAATAACATTCAACAAATGTTTTTTCTTGTCTGTTTGCACTACAGACAGACCTTGTAGATCTTTTTCTGCCTTAATCAGTCTTTTTTATCTCATACAATCTTGGGCTATTTCTTTTCAGTTATTTGCATCTTTGTTGATTCGATCTAACCGTTTGATTTTTGGTCTCTTCCACGTAGTCTATTCTCTTGCATACAACTGAGGCATTCCTTGTTGTGAAGAGGCTTCCAGATATATTGCTCCGAGTTACATGTCCAGTCCATCTTAACCTCCATACCTTCATATCATGAGATATTAATTGAACAATGTCTGTTGGCATTTCTTTAATGATTGTATCAGTTATTTTGAAGAGGATTCTTTTCATAAGTCTTTCAATACTTCTTTGCAGGATGCTGGTTAGTGTCCAGTAGTATACACTGGTCTAATTTTCACTGTTGGTCATTTATTGAGGTTATTGTGGAGTCAAGGTATTTGACTTTGTCAACTCTCGGCAAGGATTTCTCTTCTAAGCAGATCCTGTTATGGGGTTGGAATTTTTGGCTAGTATATTTTGTTTTATTTTTATTTACTTTAAGGCCAATTTGCTCTGCTTCTCTTATTATAATATTAGCAAGTATTTCAATGCCCTCTTGATTGATTACAAAATCAGCTATATCATCTGCATATTTTATGACATGCCAAAGATTTTATGATTCATTGCAATGTACGCCACTCATTTAAATGCGATGTTCTTATGAACTTCTCCAGTACCAAGTTAAAAAACACGAGCGATGATGTTTGAAGGATTCAGATACTTTTCCTTGTATTAGAACTTGACACTTAGGGTCATTTGTAAATTCCAACTTTGCAGGAGCTCCTAGTTCAGCCAAGATTTTTCGAAGATAGTTTATGTCTACGTAATCATAGGCTGCTTTTAAATTGACATATAAAATATTTCAAGTCAACAAATATATCCATCTCAAAATAATTCTTATTTATAAATTAAAAATTAAAATGTTTTATTGAAGGAAGCTAGTCGACTGTTCTACATATCATGGGTGATAAATATTCAGGACGCAGTCTTTTAAAAAAAAAAATTTAACTTTTTATTTGTGCCAACGTTTCAACCCAAACATGTGGGTCATCTTCAGTGCTCGAACCTCGCCCTGAAGATTGTTTGGGTTAAAACGTTGGCAGACATTGGGTTAAGACCTTGATAATTTAATGTTCACTAAACATATTATTTGCGACATTAATGATGAATATATAACACAGGACTCATCAAGGGTAGTAGTCAATTGTTTTTAATGTTTAAAGTTATGTACATGTAAGGTTTTATAAGAAAAAGAGTATACTTTTATGTATAGTTTTGGATAAATTGATGTTTATCGAAAATAGATCGTTAGACAAGTTAATTAAGTGTAATAAGAAATTATTTATGTAATTATGAATGTTAACTAATAATGATATTACAATTTTCCAGACTTGAAAATGACCCTTAGTATGGTCGAAACGTAGAATTAAATAACGTATCAATAAAATGCTTGGTGATAATTGGCTTAATTTATATAAATATAAAACCTCAAGACACCAAAATTAGGATAAATGAACAGAAGAAATTAAATTTTTCTTTTTAAAAGACTGCGTCCTGAATATTTATCACCCTTAAAATGTTTTATTAATAAAGTTGGTATAGATCATATATATATTAACAATTTAATATAAGTATATATATTAAATAGTAAATCATGAAGAGAAGAATAGTTGGGGTGGTCAGTCAAAAAAGAAGGCAAAAATTTATCTCTTAGTTCTTACTATTGTCATTATTCTAACAATTTCATTTTACTTTATTTTTTTATTATTTTTTTTTTTTACCATCACCACTTATGTTTCTCATACCTTGTTATCTGGTTATTTTCTTAGCCCTGATGAAGGCCTGAACTTCAGGTCGAAACGTCGGCATATGTAAAAATAAATATTATCATTTATTTTTGCCTTCTTTTTTGACTGACCACCCCAACTATTCTTCTCTTCATTATCCACGACAGTCAACCATTTACCAATTATAAATAGTAAATCTGTACAATTTGTTTGATATTGATCGAAACTTGTCTCTTTTAAGTTCACAAGTAACGATGCTATCAACTACAAAAGATTTTAATTACCATAAATAATAAAAAATACTAACAACTGATCAATATTTGCCGTTTTCAATGCTGTTTTCTTCAACGTACTGGGTGCAGCATCGCTTGGAGTAGCCTTCCTCTTCTTGACGCCTGGCTTCAGTTCAGAGGGGAAATAATCCCAAGGATAATTGACTACCTTAGCTTCCTTGGACATGTAATTGAGGAGGTCTACCTTATAGGCTAGCTGTATGACGGAGGCCGGGGTGAGGACGAGAGGTGCCGGGTGTTGCTCCAAGAGGGGGTACGCAGGCGGCGGCTGGAGGCACGGCCCAGGCAATGCCTCTCCGTGCATGATCCCAAGCGCCTCGACGTTGAATGACAGAGCCTGTCTGCCCCGGCCTCTGCCCCTCCCAGCCATTGTATCTTTTTATTGTCCTGAAAAATAAAAATAAAATTTTATAAACCACATGGATAGATAAGAAGAAGAAAAGTAAATTTTATTACAGGACATTTAATTCACTAAGAATAATAAAAAAATGGACAATAGCAATTACATTTAGATTATTCTAGCGCATAATGGCAGGCAAATAATAATTAGATTACAGAGTTACATAACCTTAAAATAAAAAAATAAAAGATTAGTATAAGTATACATAAAAATTATAGATGAACAAATGTCCATGTGTTTACACATTTGCAAAGGTAAGCAAATTAAATAATAACAGTGAAATAACCATAGAAATAATTGGCAATAGTAAAATATGAATATATAATTCTTACATATGATAGTTTTTTTTTTTTTTTTTTTTTAAACTTTTATTATGATATTTATAACTGTATTAGTATGAATACATCAAGTAAATGTGTACAGAGGAATATAATCACATGAAACATGCTTGTTGAGAAACTACCCATTGGTAGCACTCTAATAATTTGTCTACATAAGGAGATCACGAGGCCATCTTCTTTTCAGACACCTCAGAGGGTTATCAGGAATCCAAGAGGAAGTAAGGTTAGAAACGAGAGGATTCGGATGATTATGATGTTTATAATGGAAGGATAGGTATCTGGATTTGGCCAAATCGGAAACATATGGAACATTGAGGTTTTTATGGATTATTTTGTTTGTGACAAAGTAAGGAGCATTGAGGATTTTACGAAGGATTTTGGATTGTAAAGATTGGATACGAGAGGAATTTGATGGTTTAGTGGAGCCTCATAGCTCAACTCCATAAGTCCAAATAGGTCTTATTATAGTCATGTATATGAGTCGTTTGTAATTAATTGGAAGTTTAGAGTGTTAGTCCAGTAAGTGTTGGAGTAAGCGGAAACGTTGAGCGGTTTCTTGTCGTTTCAGTCTTGTATGAGGATTCCAAGAGAGACGTTTGTCCAGCTGGAATCCTAGGTATTGGATTTGTCCTACAGGGATACATATGATAGTTGAGATGGAAAACAAATGGTATTTAAAGGAAGTTAAAGATGAGGTTTTGTGTATGCAGGTGGGTACTGATACTGGTAATTTGTGGAGAGAACTACTCCGGCAAGTGGGGCTCACAGGAGCGACAGGGCCTATCGTGGTCCTTTTTGCCAACTTCTGCCTTGTGGTTACAATCGCATATTTACGAGAGTGAGAATGTCAAGATCCATTTATCGGGGTCACCGAGAAATGAAAATTAACTGACCCAGGTGGGAATTGAACCCACAATATTCTGAACATTGTGCCTCCAGGGAGATGGGTAATTCATTAGTCTCTTCAATCTGATATCAAGCCCACCAGACAGTCCACCATAATCGAAGTGGAAACAATAAGAGAGGAAACTAGAAGCTAATGGATTTTAACGGAGATTCATGGAATCGCAGGAACTGTTTTAGCTACAAATTTTTATATAATTTGGGAAATATAGTTATTCCAGGACAGTTCATGATAAAAAATTACCTAATAGAAGAGTGGAAGCGAATAGGTTTGCCATTAAGGTAGAGTAGAGAATAATAAGGTTATTCTATACATATTTACTGAAATATATATATTTCAGTAACAATATATAAACAACAGAAAATAAAGATAATTGTAATATAAAATATAAAACTAGAAGTTGAACCTTAAAGTTAAAATTTGAACAATAAAAACTACTATTCACTTCTATCAAAATTTAAAGGTTGTTTTCAGAAAAAAATTTCAACCAGTTACGGTATGACTGGAATCTATATTTTTAATTTTTTTCTGTTACTTCGAAACTTTTGAGAAATTTTTTTTTTTGCAACTTTTAAGGTATAGATATAAAACTTTTGATTTAAAAAATAAACTTTTATATAAAAGTTCCGTTGAAGCTATTCATTTCACCAAAAAATATATAACTTAGCTATTCAAACAAACAGCACTTAAGAATCAAGTAATGCATTTAAGATAAATTATATCCAATCTGAGCCCAATTACTGTTTATTTTTTGCAACTTTTAAGGTATAGATATAAAACTTTTGATTTAAAAAATAAACTTTTATATAAAAGTTCCGTTGAAGCTATTCATTTCACCAAAAAATATATAACTTAGCTATTCAAACAAACAGCACTTAAGAATCAAGTAATGCATTTAAGATAAATTATATCCAATCTGAGCCCAATTACTGTTTATTTTTTGCAACTTTTAAGGTATAGATATAAAACTTTTGATTTAAAAAATAAACTTTTATATAAAAGTTCCGTTGAAGCTATTCATTTCACCAAAAAATATATAACTTAGCTATTCAAACAAACAGCACTTAAGAATCAAGTAATGCATTTAAGATAAATTATATCCAATCTGAGCCCAATTACTGTTTATTTTTTATTCAACATAACTTTTTTAACAAGTTAAACTTTAAACATAAACAAAGAGCTTTATTAGAAAATACTTCCTTGGAACTTTTATTTTAACAAACTTTTTCTAAAAAGTTTCAACCTTTTGTAAATGTATACACAGAGTTGTGTTCCATGAAGGAAAAAATTTGACTACATTTGTCAAATCTTAATAACTCCATCTTATATTACTAACATTAACAAATATCACTATTTACTAAATGTTTGATACAGTACCCACAATTAAATCAAATATAAGACACACTTGTTTTTTCAATGCCGTAGTAAGTAATTAGATGAATAAAACAATGATGAAATATTGGAAATAGAGATTTTTCATATATATTATGCAGTACAAATAAATAAAAATCTTGAAAAATAAGTACCTTCTTTAATTTATTTGCCAGGATTTACGCAACTTTCAAAAACTGTTACACTTTACAACTGGGAATGGATTTTAAATAATCAAAATCATAGATTGTCAGGTAAATTGATAAGCTTAGTATAAAATTTATAATAAATGATACAAGAAACAAATGTTAAAAAAAACAAAACAATGACAACATTAAAATTATATACAGATAAAAAGATATAAATATACATATACTTTATAATTAACAATTACTATTGAGAATTTAACACTTAGTTAATAATATAGATGAAAATGGCATTTGATTGAATAATAGAAATAAAATTAAGACATATTCCTAAATGTAGCAACAATAATTATAATAAAGAATAGGGGGAGATTGTGCAGCATAAAATTGTACGATATTTCCTAATCACTTTCTGTCCTTCGTTTCCTGCCATGTTATAGATAAAGCGTACTGCTCTAGCTTAAAAGGTGGTGGGGGAGTGCCAGTATATTGAAGAGGGTAATACACTAAGTTTGCAGCTGCTGCCATCATAGTTGTTAAACACCTGTCTAACTTAATGTGGGTTATTCACCTAGGTAAATTTAATAATAAAACAAATTTTCAAACCTTCTAAATAACAACAATCGAAAAAAACAAACAAAAAAACAATAGGATATTCCAATTTTAATATAAATATACTTAAAAAAATAACTGTGATTTTTTTTTTTTATCAGTTGCCAAAACTAATTTATGATTAATTAAAAACAACTTCATTTTCACAACAATAAAACATTCCAGTTCCTCTCAGATAATGACCTGGTGTAACTGCCTCATAATTTTTTTCCGAAAATGCTGCGGAAAAAGTAGTAATGAATTTGACTGTTTAGCGAATGACCAGTTGGCATCATTTCAATCTACCTACACAGTACGGAGGATATCGAGGTAAAATAAAGACATTAGTAAATAAAGAAATATATATATGTACGTATTCAAATTGAAATGGCTGATTAAGATATTTAAATTTCTTATCGATAGTTTCGGTCATACTATTATAAATGAAAATGGTGAAGAAAGTGAAATTGAAAGGCATTCGAATATACTTGCATATAATGCAGAAGCAGTGCCTTGGTCAAGCAAACCAGCACCCGTTCAACCAGGTAAGAAGATAAATTTAAATGCCAATTAAAAATATAATTTGCCCAAATTGACAATTATAACATTTTATTTTAATAGGCTAGAGATTTCATCCATTCAAAACACTTTAAAAAATATACTTAATTTCTAGTAAGAGTTAACAAACAGTATATCTTAAAATAAAGAAGAACAGTTTTGACATATTTACAAAGAATCCAAGAAATATAAATCATGTTTTAAAAAAGACACGAGCTATAAAAGTTTTATTTATTGGTGTAACATAATGCTCTTACATAAATGGAGTGATAAAGATTTAAAATTATGAAAGCAATAATAAAAAAAGAAAGAAAGAGTAAATTTTATTTATGATAATATTTCAAATCATTATTTATTTAGTTTTTAAAGTAAAGGCCCAAATATACAAGTCTTTTTCAGAGAAAAGTGCTAATTTTGTATTAAAATTCTGTAGCAAGTAAATATATTAGTTTAAAAATGAATTTATTCATAATATTGAACTTGTTTTTCAAAAGTTTATGTGAATAATTAAAAATATAAATATTTGAGAGTTAAAAGAAACATAACCATGTTTCAACTAACAAAAATTCTTTTTAAACTGCTGCATTGATTTTTGTGAGATTTACAAAAACAAAATCTAAAAAACAGAAGAATTTTGTATTAATTTATTTTATTAGAACTTGTTGATATATATGATTTACTTCTTTATGCTTTCTTTTCTTTGGTAAAAAAAAAGTTTTCTACAATTGTTTTATAATGATTAATTTTGATGTAATAAACAATTTGTTTCTATGTAAATCCATATTTTCTATATACTTTAATCATCCCTTACTATTTTGTATTATTAATGTTTTAATTTTTGATATTTATTAAAAATATTTAAGATAGTAAACAGAAACTAAATAAATAAATATATGTAATATAGAAAAGTTAGAAAAAACTAAGTCTCATCAGAGAAGCGGTAAACATCCAATACCATGAACTAAAATTAATTCCCTAATGTTATCACCAATGCCCTACATTTTGACCCCATTTTAAATAATATGCTTGATACTAGAAATACTAAGATCATAGGATTTTTTTTTTTTAGGAGTGGGGTGGTGTGAGATCACAATTAATATAAATATATACATATACAACTCCATTCTAGCATATGATTCTTCCCAGAATGAAAATAGATCAAAGTTCTATATACAAATTTAGTTCAAATGTCATAACTGTGATCTTGCTTGACCTCCAATGGTTTTCAATCTAATGAAACAATTAAGTTATTGAATTAGGAATTGAAATAATTGTTTAGATGTAGATGGATGTAGATGTAGCTTTCTGGATATTCTAAAAACATTTGGTGAAAAGGAAAGAAACATTTTATTTGAAAAGTGTTTCATTTTCATGGCTTAGTGCATGAGTTTTAGCTAAAACATAACTAATAGATATTTTTACAATAAAATATAAACAAATACATAATATAATCATAATAAATATAATTATACGAGCTATCTAATATGAATATAGGATTACACCATATTACATCAAATTTAATGGACCATATTTTTTAATCAATGTAATAGGGAATTTGATGGATGAAATAATGATGGAATATTGGAATTTGGGATCATTGGTATCTCAGATTTTTTAAGGGACTAAAAAAAATATAAATAAATAAAGGCTCAAACAATAAAAATGAAAGATGCACCCTATTTTAAAAATTCAATTTTTATGAAAAAAGTGTCAACAATTTAACGAAGAATCTATAATAGTCAAAATATTAAAAACATTAAAAGACAGTCAAATCTAAAATTCACACACATCAAAATATAAAAAAAAAAAAAAAAAAAAATATATATATATATATATATATATATATATATATATATATATATATATATATATATATAATAAACATTTATATAAAATCAAACAAATAAATATAAATGCAATAATTTAATTAAATCAACTTTTTCAATTACTCAACAGATTAAGTGATAAATGATGCTTGGAAAGTCAAATATTTTATAATATAATATATATATTTAAATTTATAACTATCAATTTGCGAACATAATATTTCTTGCCATTGTGTTTTTTCCCATTTTATACAAGTTTGCTCAACATTCATCTTCAGGATATTTAATATTCTTAATAATTGATCATCTTGATTATTAGTTTGCAGTTAAATTTGTATATTATTTTCATTGAAACTATTTAAACCACTATAAAATGTATACAAATACAAAAAGTTGAGATTAAACGCAAAATGTTGATCGAATTAGTGTAAAATGAAAAATAAATCTTTCTAAAATAACTGAACTATTATCATAATAGTGGAGATATTTTTGACTATAACATGAATTTTAGGGAATGTTTTTGGCACTTACTATGAATATTTTAGATGAGCTCCCCTCAGACTGATAACACTTAGACCAGCGAATCAGCACATAATAAAATAAGATTTGTTATTTATGTGTTATATACGGCAGCATTCTCCCTTCTTTCACCCCAAATCAACTTTCTCTACAACTATTATCAAAATGTTACCTTTACTTTAATTACCAACTAAAAATTAATTTTTTTCATTAAAAAACAATTTTTTTTTCATTACAGGAGTAACTCATACAGATATCTTGAGCCAAATTAAAAAACTGCCTACAATCAACGAAAGTCCAAAGAAAGTCAAAACAAAGCACAAATGGAAAAAAGCAGATTCTGCCAACAAAAAAGATTTATTTCAAAAATTTTATAAAGACAACTGTTGTAGTCAGGATTTACTCTTGACACCACTCAAACGAAATGGTATAAGTTTTTTGAATTGTCCTTAAAAATCTGTACTTAAAAAATACCAAGTATTGTTTTTAAATATGTAACTATTAAAAAAAATATGTTTAATACAGTATTGGAATCTAATAGTATATCACAGGATGACTTATTCAACAAGTATAAAAATAAAACGGAAAGCAAACGACCTTTATTGGCAACATTAACGATACCAAAAGGGCAACTTAAATCTTTGTCTTCACCTGATTTGGTAAATAATTTTAATTAAATAGATTAAAAATGTGTATAAGTCGCTATAAAAATTGTGTTTCTGTTAAATAAGGCTCATTGTGACACCCAGCAACCAGATGAAAAAACTATACCTAAAGAATATCGACCAGCTATTTGCGAACCAGATGGACCACAGAGTAACTGGAAATCAATGGATGATGGAAAGGTTTATTAAAGATAAAAAAAATCTGTTCTTTATCGAAATAAATTAATCTCAATTCTTATATAATACTCTTATTTCAGAACTTAAAATTAAAAGAAGCTGAAAGAATCGCTAAGCTATATGGTTTAGATTTAGCTTTGTACACAGAGGAAGCTTTAAGGCCGTTGAATATTAAAAAGAAACCAGATACGGTGACAATACTGACTTGGACAGAAGAACCAGCAGGTACCCTAGATATCTCCTTGAACATCAACTCACTTCAAAAACAGTAAGATAATTTGAATAAACGAAAACTGATATTTATCTCCACATAACACTCAGAATATTGGATTTGCATTGTTTTCAGAGTTCCAAATGCAACTAAATGTCACATCTCAGTGTTATAAATAGTTTGGAAGTCTATCCTAATCTTTACGCCAAGCTTGGATACACGCTCGGGTGTATTTGGTCCCATATAAACATCCCTTATTTCTCCTTTATTTAACTATAAAATTTTTTAATAGTGTATATTTAACCATTTTTTGGCAAAATAGGACTTGCTATAACAAGTCTTAAAGCCAAAAAGATCAAACCATTTTTTATTTCTTTTTTAGATTTTTTTTTTAATGTATATTATGCAATATTGATGGCTTAGTATAGTTTATTAGTGATACTTTGTAGGACTAATATTATGAAAAGGGAGGGAAAAAATAAATAAAAAATAAAAATAAATATATATATATATATATATATATATATATATATATATATATATATGTGTGTGTGTGTAGAAGTGGAATAATGTAAAGTAAGAATTATGTCCAAATGGATTGATTAGTATGCTGTGTGTAAAGCAACCATATGTAGTAGGGCAGCATTACTTTCAATTAAGTATTTTTCTCTCCTCTCTATTATACTGTTTACAATTTGAAATGGTTAATTATTTCAAATAAGCAAAATTGAAGACACTTTATATTTATTTATTCATTCTTGACACTAGGATCCTGTAAGAAGCTGGGCCTTTCTTATAATCCTCTTCCACTCTCCTCTATGTCGGACGGGTATTCACCACCTTCAGATTCTCACATCCTTTTCAGGATGTCCTCCAACCATCTAAGGCATGGTCTTCCTCAGCCACATCTTCGAGCAGATATTTGAGAATTGAAACTATGAGCATACACGCCACAAGACCCAACCATCTTATTTCGTTACTTCTCACAATTGATACCAAATCTGGCCTTGCATAAATCTCGAGCAGCTCTGCATTGATGCGAATGCACACTATCCATGTTCACGCAGCGTGCCATGGATCCTGTGGAGAATCCTCTCCCAAGCGAGTATCTTCCTTTCTGAGACCTTAAAAATTACCCTATTCTCAGAATCTTTGGTGACGATGGGTATTATGAATTTGTTGTAAACTAAGTTCTTTGTTCCATGAGAAAGAGATCTATAATTCAAAAATTTAATAAAGCTATAAATAAAATCGCATCTATTCCCAGCAGCCCAATCCCCAAAATAAAGTAAATGGATTTGGGTGATTTTAGAATTAAATACTTCTTAAAATATTCCTTCTAAATTTTACTCTATGGTGTTTATGATAATGTTTGTAATACGAGATGATAGATATTAATTATGTAAAACTATAATTTATTTTCAGACTAATGGTGACAATTAATGCTATACAATCTCTATGTGGTGAAGGAATGGAACGAGAACCATTTGAATCGATAATTAAGCTGACATTATTAAGTAAAAAAAAAATTGTAAAATCCAGTAAACGAATAATAGCAAGTTTGAGCCCAAAAATAGATCAGACATTTTCATTTTCAACAAAGGATATTGATTCAAGAGCTATAAGGTTACCATCAAACAAAATTACCAAAATTAAAATCATTACTACAAATAGTAATAAACTTTTATCATTTTCAGATTTTCAGTTTACAATGCAGAATGGCAAGGAAAATATGATGCAGTAGGACACAGTTTATTACCAATACACGATAGTTTACACACCATCGACAATCTCATTTTAAAATTATATTCACAATTGAGCGTAAGAATCTATCATTTGTTTTCAATATGATTCATAAATAAAATACAAGAGTATTATTAATTATTTTAGAACAGAATACTCATCATAACCATTTCTTGGTTACCACTCATGAAGTGTAGTGTTTATCTGCACAGGCTAGACTAGATTCAGCTCTACGAGCCTCCATCAGTTTTCTTTTCCGATCTCATTCCAGGTTCTCTTTGTAAAGCATTCCTGTATATTCCTTGTCCAATCAACCTTCGCTTCACAAGTAATCCTGGTAAGGTAAATGTTGTTCATTCTCAAACATCGTTACACCACCTTGACAGTGTTCTTCAACAACCTTTTCAGCATTGAAGTTTGATCTTATGGTTAATTTGCGGATTCGGCCTGTTTTGGTTTTCTTCGATATTTTTAAAAAATATTGTTTGAGATGCTTGTATTTTGTTTCTATGCTTGCTGGTTATTAATCATGATTTGAAGGAGTATGGGAAGACAAATCAATTTGGAGATTCCCTCTTTTTTTTTTTTCAGAAAAGTTTCTGTGCACAGCATGGAACATCTTTGTAGACGAACTCAATCTTTCTTTGATTTCATTAACCTGTTTGAAGGCTTTATTCTTCAATCTTATTATTCTCATTTTCCGCTGAGTCATCCAGCCGATTCTAGTCACTTTTGTTTTTTCAGTACTTATCTATATAATTTTTTCTAGAATTAATATTATGAGTCAAGTATTTGTCATTTTAGAATGAAATACTTGCATGTTAAGTAAATTTAAAAAAAAATAGAGGCATGATAGAATTCATGAGATAAAGAACGTAAATAAGATTGTGACAGTATTTTTTAAAATTAAATTAATTAGATAATAAAAAAGATTCATATTTAGTTAATAATTAGACATCGGGGAATCAAAGAAGTGGGAGAGGAGATTTTAGTGTGTCATTTCTATATTTTTATGGCTAGTTTATTTCTAAAAGCTCATCAAGCAAAATATAAATAAAATATTTTTAAACAAAAACAACATAGTGAAAAAACTGAAAGATATTTCCCACACTCTGTGACTTAGCAAACATCAAACCAACTATACCACCCTGTCTCCTCCATTTTTTTGTAACACAACTTATCTTTGTAAATATGCATCGGGAAAATTCAGAACTTTTAGTGTTTTTAATCAATTAAAGCACTAAAATTCAAAATAATTATGAACATCTCATCAAAACAATGTAACCAGAAAAAATTGGTCATATTAATGATACATTAAATTTAGCCACAACAGTTCTAAATGGCAACATTCAAAGAAATTATTAGAGGAAATACAGTCAGTAGTTAATTTAAATAAAATCCCTACGCGAATGGATAATAATTACAAAACAGAAAGCAAAATCTTCTGGTATATTCACTCTTCTCAACAATATCATATCTTAAAAAGCATGATTTTCAGAAGAGTTATTTAAGTTTATTAAGAACTTTTGGGTTACTATACTATAGACATTTTTTGGCAATAGGCACCCGATGTTTTTTCTCTATTTTAAGAAGAAAAAGTAAAAAAAAAGTTTAGACATAATACATGGAATATTTTATGATGCAAAAAAAAAAATACTTCTGTTACTAAGCGACTAAATATTGAATTACAGATATAAAAACTTGCAGGGATACATTCTATACCATAGGTGAGAAACCTGTGGCCTCCCAAATATTTTTGCATGATAATTATTGATCTAGAGCTATAATTAATAAGTATTTAATAACAAAAATTTGGAAATTAATAGAATTAAGTTGAATATATGTATGTGTGTGTATTTAGTGATAAATAAAAATAGGAAACAGTAAAATATAAATAATTATTGGGGCCTGCCTAACCTTACTGCATTCTCTGATGATAAAAAGTTTCTCCACCTATGGTCTACACTCTTCGAGGCCATTTTGAAAAAAATGTATAATTAAACTTCCCTATTTTTGAGACATGACATTGTCTAAGCAATTTGAGAAAATGAGTTTAATAAATATTCTATGATAAGAAAAACAGTTAAAATTAACAAAAGGATACCAAGTGATTGAGAAAATTTTCTTATGTAATTTCTTTAAAATAATTTTTAAAAACTGTTATTTCAGCTAGAAAAAAGTTCTGGCATGATGCAAATTACTTTTGGCTACGATGGGACTAGCTTCAATATCACAATTGATAAAATATTTAATTTTGATCCTAAATTGAGTAAGTTAATGAATTTACTATTATTTTTTTTTATCATAAAACTAATTTATTTCCACATGATAAATAGCTTTTCTGTTTTTCAGGGAAATGTAAATTATATACAAAAATATCTTACTACAGCTTATCAAAAAAAATGAAAGAAAAATCATCACCGATGAGCTGGTCTGAAAATGGAAGCGAAGAAATAAATTTCAATTACAGTACTTCATTTAAAATTGATGGCACAGGGAAATGCCACAGTTATATTGTTGTCTCATTAAAAAGCAACGAGGATTACACAATGTTTAAACAAGACAAAGTCATAGGAAGAGTAATCTTAGGGCCTTATTTTTACTCTGAAAATGGAAATCCTACCCCATGGGGAAGAGCGATAATAAATAAACAAACCTTGAGCTATCATTTTAAATTACTTACATAAGTTACAGAAAAAAATCATTGTTATAAACTTATATTTTTATAATTAGACATACAATATGATGGAATTATGAAAGTTATAGAACTGCTGCCATGATAACAGGATACATATTATTCCTTATTAAAAAGTAATGATGTAATATTTTACATATTTACAAGTTTTATACATCAAATATAAATCTTAAAACTTTCAACATACAGTTAAGGTGAAATATTTTTTTAAGTTATCACACGATCCCTTCTATATGCTTCTTAGACAATCTATTTGACATAGAGTGTCGGATTTACCAAGCACTTCAGTTGTTGATTGACAACCATGATTTTCTTGAATACTTTATTAAGAACACATGCTTGTCTTTATGTTCATTATTTTTCGATTGTTTTTGAGACATTGCCTGTTATTTCAGCTGCTTGCATTTGTTCTAACAATTCATTTAGTATCTAAAATTCTGAAATAATTTAGTAGAGCTCAGAGATATCTAATATTTTCTAAATTTTGTTTAAACATTATTTTATACATTTAGACTTGTAAAAACATCATAAAAATCCTGGCAGGGAATGAAAATCCATCTATTTGACTCATGTAATGTTAAAAAAAAGAATGAAAAGAAAAAACGGCAGAAGCCCTCTAATATAATGTTGTCATTCCTGTTGGTTAGAATGACAATATCAAAATTGAGTAGTCCATAGTTGTACAATTGCACATCCTTGCGAATTGAAATGTGACCCCTATAGCATTCATAAAGACCGATATTACACTATAGGGTTAAACAAACACTATTCATTTTCCATTAACCATACTTCTTAAATAGCCGGTCGGGTCCGACTGCTATCCGCCAATGTTTATAACCTATAAACTGATATTTCCGATAAGGCAGTGATTTTTTTTTTTTTTTATAATGTTGGCTTTAAGCACGTCGACCCCTTTGGGTCCATTGTGCGCCAATATTCGCTAGGTCGTCTTATTCAAAACGTTAGTCCTGTCGCTTCCGCGTATCTAAGTAGGCTGGTTGGGTTAACCGACTCAAATCTACTGCAAGGCAGTGATAATATCTTTGTATTCATATTTACTGCATTATATTCATATTATTATATCTTAGTATTCATATTTATTTTATTATATTCATATTATTGAAATTATAAACAAAACAAAGTAATAATAAAAAATACTTTTATTTTGCAAGATATATATTGTAACACTCGTCTGTTTAAAATTAAAACACTCGTCTGTTTCTCGGCAAACTCCACCAAACATCCATTGCTCAGGTAGAACTTTCCCTACATGATTTTTCTTTTAGAGACTCTCGTCTACTTCAAGAACTTTGCCAGGCCCTCCAATTTTTTTTAATTGACCTGTATAACATGTTATGGGCACAAACTTCTCTTAAAAATTTTTCCACGTTACCATAGTTGGCTGGAATAGTTTCAGCTGCTGTTTCCCCCACTGTATTATTGTTAAATTGTGGGACCACCCATAAATTAATTTTAAAGCCGTTAAAAAAAAGAAATCCTTGACCCCTCCTTTCCTTATACCAAGTTCCTTTCCTTATAGAAACGTTTTTGTTACAAGTACGAAAGCATCTCCATTTTGTCTTCCCGTCCAACTTCATTTCATGACCTTAATCACAATATTTCATCTTTGCAATTATCCTGGCGTCTTGAAAACATTTGATAGCCTCTTCTTCTGAAGACGGCAATTCGAATAATGTAACAACATCCATAATTTTACGAAAATAACACTAACTCACAGCTGACACGAAGAACAAAAAATAAACAATGGAATAGCTTAGGTTAGAGGAGATAAGAACAGAGGTTTTATGATATAAAATAAGATAACCAGGGAGTTTTCGACCCAACCAGCTATTTAAGTTGCATCCCATTAATTTCAAAACAATGGCAGGATTTTATGGCATCTAAAGAATAATTAGAATAGACCTAGGCATTTAGGATAGGGAACTATATAGTTGAATGTAAAGTCCATTTCTGGAACCAAATATATAACTTATGAGTAAACCCATAAAAAAAATTAAAATATATACCTCGATTAAAAAGAAAAAAAGGAATAAATAATTTAAAAACCTATTTATAAAAAATACAACACTAAAAAATTAACGATTATAATGAATAAATAAAAATAACATAATGACTTGAAACCTATTCAGTGCTCTTAAAATGACAACTGATTTATTACTGATTCCACGATCACTAAAAATGGAATGATGGAGTAGAGATACTGGAGTCCTTGGAATGAAGATGATTTCAATGATCATTTCACTCAACTGTTTCATTATTTACAAACTCATATTCAGTGATTGTCAGCGGCTGACATTGAAACTGTTTCAATCAATAAAATTACTTTGACATTTCAATCATCCATAAATTCATTATTATTTATATAAGATTAAATTACTGTTTTTATAAACACTGAGTAGTTGTAAAATAATATTTAAAAAAAAGGAACATCAATAATTAAAATTCATGCAAAATATTTAGAGAAATGCTATACATAAAATTGTAAGTAGTATTTGACTAGCTAGTGAGTGTTGTTTAACAGACAGACATTTAATCAACAAATCACAATTATTTAGGCTCTAGCACTTGATTTTTAATACTAAGGTGGAATATTGCAGATTACTTTCATTTTTATTAAAAACTAATAGACACATACCAAAAAGTAGCTGTTGTATTTAAAAGTTTCCAGTAGATTACAACATAGGGAAATACAGAAGATTCGTTACTTAAAACTTAACACATTGTTTATAAAATTCCATGTTAATGAACTTCTTAAGGAAAGGTTATAAATAAGGAAAATTCCATTGAGGTAGAATTTATAACTCCCAAGGAATCGCATCTACAAAATATGAAGTTCAAATACAAAATACCGTATTCAAGTGAGGGGTGTCTCGTTGAATTCTAATCTTGAACTTGTAAGGGTTTCTTTACTAGTTATTACTATGGTTCGTTACTAGGGTTTTATTTATGTAAGACAACATTTTTCTGAATTTTTATATAAACAGATTAATAAATCGAATAGGTAATGAGTCAAAAATTAGTATGTCCTATTAGTAATAGTAATTAGTAGATCAGATTAATATATCGTTTGGGATATTGACTTCTAAGAATACTTAAAATTAGTTTTGTAATCGGATGCCTTCTACAACACATTATGACTTATAGCAAGTAAGTTTCGCTCTAAGCATCAATACATTTCAGCATCTGAAACAGTCTTGATTTTCTTTCTTGGGTGAAATGCACTCGACTACTTCTCTCTGTGGTTATCGGATCTGAACATGAAGCTGGCCAAGGAGATTACTCTCTACACCTATCCGATTATTTTTCAGTTCAATTAGTAATAATGAATGTTATGGTATTTTTTATCAATTACGATGTTTTTAAATATATATTTGTTTTATTTTCTTAATCACACCATCATACGATAAGTCAACATTCACAGAACCAGCGTCTTACAAGCTTCAGGTGGAGACTGGTCAACCCCATGGTGACACAACATGGTTGTCTGGCTGATCGTAACGCGTTATTACATTAAGAAACTTGGTTGTCCTACCTATAATTATAGTGAACTTTATTAGGGACTGGGCGTCAGTCTGGTCAACTTCTTGGTTACGAAAATTTAATTTAAATTGGTCAGCCCTATCGGTTGTCTCGCATAGAGGGGCTTTGGTGAACTGGTTTTTGAATCATTGGACAAATATTATAGAATTATTTTCCACTAGTCAAGAACTAACAGGGCGTTCTCTACCATCTAACTACAATAAATTAACATTCTAAATTCTTCTACTCGTATAATTTATTTCACTATTCGAAAAGGCTCAATAACTTGGTTTAATATTGTTCCAAGTCTGATAGGAAGATGTGATAACCGAGCACTTAGGAGCGAGTTCTGAGAATACCCATTTCTCAAAATGTGATGTGATTCCCACTTAGATTAGTTAAAATTTATTTGGCGGAGGTACCAAGAAATGAATCCTGACGCTCCCGTTCTTGTTAGTACGTAGCGGAAATCTACAAGGTAGCCATCAGGAGTTGACAAAAAACAACCACAATGCTCACTTGCTGGACTTGTTCCCCACTAGGATGAAATGAAGCGTTTACTACAAGTTCCTAAACCCAGCACTGAGCACATTGACGGCAGTTGTTCGCCCAGCTTAGTGATCCAATGCTCCATCCAATGCCTCTACTTCCCCTATTCGAAATAACGAATGTTGTGATTTACAATCTGCAGGAATAATCAAATGTATTTTAGATACGTAGGATGTTCTTATTATTATTCTGTCAATTGAGTATTATTGCAAAGATATGGTTCATCGCAATTTTTTAAATTTAATTTCATTGAGCATTTACTCACTTCAGTCATGTTTACGACCGCTTTTCCAGTTACTTAAGGAACGATTAATTTCAAAAACTGTGATAGAATTAATTTGTGTTAACAATTATTTAATATTACCTCTTAGTTGGGAGAACACGTGCACCTCATTATACTTCTATGTTGTATTCATTTTCGAATCTGAAGGGAGGTAATTTGATTTTGGGAGAGGTTATACTTGTGTTATTGTCTATCGGTATTTGTTATTTATGATATCAATGGCATTTCTTGACTATTTTCTTTGAGAATTTTGTTGTTTGGAGCTATAAGGAGTAAAAAAGAACAATTTTTTCATACCATTTTTGAAATCCTTAAGGTTTGCAACATTTATGTAATTATTTCAATCATTATCAATATCAATGTTCAGTTGGCACTAATAACTCTTGTGAAGTTGACACTTTTTAAATTGTAGTATATTTCTAAATTTCTTTATTTATTGCAATAGATTCATATATTTTTATCCACTTCATTTTTAATATTCTCCTTGGACCTTACAATTTTGAGATGTTTATTTTTGTGTGCTATCTTGTAATTAATTTTTTTTAGGAATGGTGCGGTTAAGTCCAGAAGAAAAAATTTATATTATACATGGCGTTGAAGATAACATTAGAGAAGATGGGAGAAGCCAGACACAATATCGCCCCATTGAAGTTGAAACAGGTATCATTCCAAGTGCGATGGGTTCAGCTAGGGTTAAATTAGGCAATACTGATGTAATAGCCTGTGTAAAAGCAGACACATTCACTCCCACATGGAACAAACCTGATGAAGGGAAGTTACAACTTCATGTAGATTTATCTGCCACTGCATCTCCATGGTTTGAAGGGCGAAGAGGTGAACAAACCTCTGAAGAGATAACAACAATTTTAAATAAAGCCTATGAGAGCATCAAGCTCGAGTCATTCTGTATTGTTCCCCAGGTCAAATGCTGGTTGGTAGACGTAGACATTTCGGTGCTATCTTGCGATGGAAATATGTACGATGCGATTGGATTTGCTGTTAAGGCTGCTTTAGCCACTACTATGGTTCCTAAAATTGTTGCATCAGAAGAAGATGAAGGTGAAAAGGAACTACAAATCACAGATGATCCATTTGACACCTGGACACCGAATGTTTCAAATATACCATGTTTAGTAACTTTATCTAAAGTTGGTGATAGTGTTATGGTGGATGCGACAAATAAAGAAGAGCAATGCAGTTCATTTACTTGTATTTTAGCAGTCACAGAAACTGGTAAAATTCTTTCCACATTTAAAGTCGGACCTGGAAGTGTTCAACCTGTGACGTTTTCTAAATTGATTTTAGAAGCTAGTAGCATTGGTAGATCACTTCATTCAGAACTGTTATCTGCTCTAAAGAAAGAAAACGGCCTACGAAAAAGAGAAATTCATGGCTTTTTAAATTGAATTGTCTTACCGAATACATTTTTAAAAAAAATCTTTTTGGTTTCTCTATTTCCATTTATAATCTGTGAATTATTTCTGTTGACATTATTTGTTGTATAGACTATTTCTAAGAATTTATTGTTAAAAACAACTGTTTTGTATTGTTTTATTACAAAATGAAATTCCGGTTGTGAATTAAAACAATGTAATATAAGAGTGATATTTTGGATTTTAGAATATTGTTTCAATTCAAATTGGAACATTTCGTTATATATAAAACAGTTAATAGTGATGAAGAAATCTTTATTTTATAGCCTTTTGACTTAAACTTACTTATTCTAGTATTTAGTACTAAACTATATCTAACATTGATCCTCAATAGAACTTTATTATAACATGGATTATATGAAATAATGATTATCATGGAACAGAGTTGAATATAAGGGAAATTCTATTTTGAGGGAAATAAATATTTTGTGTGCTTCTTTGATCATTGAAATGGATATTTAAAAAGCTTATATTTATTTTATTATGAAATGGTTTATTACTTATAAAATTTAATGAAAATAAATTTATACCTGACAGGAAGTGCTTTTATGGTAATAACAGGTAATTAAATATAACTAATTCTAAAGTTAAGTATATATATATATATATATATATATACTTAACTTTAGGATATATATACTTAACTTATACATATAGGATATATATACTTAACTATATATATATATTGATTTTATTCTGTAAATATTTATGACCATTAGTTTGACCTTTAGAAGACTACTTTTTATAAGTTATCTATAACTGAAATTAGCTTTCCTCTTTATGATAGGTAATAAGAGTAAAAAACAATTAAGATTAACAAAGGTAGAGAGATGGCATAAACAAGTATTTTCCAGTGAAATGTACTTTATTATTGCAATCATATCTATATTCATATATAATAATGATATTCTCGTCTGATTAAAAAAAAGTATGTTATTTTTTGTATGTTTGAACAGGTAGATAAGTTTAGGTATCTAGGTTCTACGATAACTAGAAAAAACGAAATTGAAGAAGAAATTAAGGTTAGACTGAAGGCGGGAAATGCTTGTTATTTTTCTGTGACAAAACTACTTAGTTCGCGCCTCTTGTCCCGAAACTTAAAAATTAGAATCTACAAAACAATTATCTTGCCTACAGTTCTTTATGGGTGCGAAACTTGGCCGCTTACATTAAGGGATGAGCAGCGTCTTAAGGTTTTTGAAAATAAAGTATTGCGTAGAATATTCGGACCGAAGAAGGATGAGTTAACTGGAGAGTTCAGACGGTTACACAACACCGAATTGCGTGAACTGTATCCGAGTAATATAATTGAGATAATTTCGTCGCGGCGAATCAAATGGGCTTGTAAAGTTGTTGGACTTAGTAACGAGAGAATTCCTAAAAGGCTAATATTTGCTGTGCTGAATGGTAAGCGTCCGAGGGGTAGACCGAAGCGAAGGTGGGAAGATTGCATTAAAGCTTATCTGAAGGGACTGGGTTTGGACGGCGAACGATGGAGGGAGGTGTGCAATAAGCGATTGGTGGTGTCGGCATCGAACCTTTGGGTTCGCTAAGCCTTTTATTATTATTATTATATTTTTTGTAAGAAGTTAGTTAATTCTTAAAAACAACTGTTCATGTCTGAATTAAAAAATATATATATATATATACATAATTCCTTTTGCAATGCAATTATTTAGAAACAGCTTCTATTGTGAAGCTCCCTTACTCAGTGCAGCCGAGGTATTTAAATTTTTCTAATCTCGGGAAATTTTTCCCAAAAATTTATTTCAAGAAAAAGTTTTCCTTCTAGGCAGATGTTATTAGGGTGGAATTTTTGGATTATTGTCATATATTTATCTCCATTTACTTATAAACTGATTTGCTGTGCTTCTCTTATCAGAGTCTTAGCGATTTTCTCAATGTCCTTTTAATTGATTCCAATGACAGCTGCATCATCTTATCCAAGGATTTTATGTTTCACTCCGGCATGCACCCCTCCATTTTCAAATGATCTTATCACCGTCTCCAGTGCCTAAGTTGAACAACATCTGTTGGAGATCATCTCCCTGCTGTAAGCCAGTTCTAACTTTGAAGGCTTCAGAAGTTCTTGTATTGAGGCTCAATATTTAATGTCATTGGTACACACCTTTATCAATCTCAGCAACTTACAGGGAACTCAGGCAATCTCAATTCAGTTGTAATTTTCCAAAGACAGTTTCTGTCCACCAAATAATATGCTGCTTTTAAATGGACAAATAAGGCGTCCACATCCTGAGCTACTTTCTATAATTTTCCAAGTACTTGTTTTAGAATTAAAATCTGGTCTAGTGTGCTCCTTTCTCTTCTGAATCTTGCTTGGAGGTCTCCTATTATTATATTTCCGTAATTGTCGTTGGATTGTTTGTCATTATCTTGTAGGCAACTGGAAGGAGTGCTATGTCTCTGTAATTACTCCATTTACCTAGTCCTGTCATAAATATTGTTACAAGGAATAATATACAGATTTCAATAGAAAAATTAATTTGTCCAAAACCTTTATTAGAAAATAAAATATATATCTATAGAGAATAAAACAAAAAAGAAATTACTCAAAATGTCTCCCTTTTGCCTTGACACAGGCATTTAATCTCCGTGACCAGCCATCAATAGCAGCACGCAGCACGTCTTGAAAAAAAGTGCTCAACCTCCACAGATTGTTTGAGACTTTCCAAGGTAGTGTGCTCTGTGGCATGCCACCCTCTCCAGTTGTGACCAAAGCCGATGAACTCTGGACTGTTCTTTTGCAGCCACTGCTGAATTGACCCGGCCTTGTGAGCTGGACCGGATTCTGCTGGAAAACTCAATTACTTCCAGCAGAGTATCATTTAGAGGCTTGACTTGATAGCAGGTCCCAAAATATCGTCCTGATAGTTTTTAGCGGCCGTTTTAACTCCTTTTTCACAAAAATGGAGCTTTGTGATGCCTTCAAAGTAAACTCTCCACCAAACCATAATGACTGAGGAAAAGTGATGACCTCTTTTCAACCTTCCAATGACTTCCTGGGCTTCTTTAGAGACATATGTGTACACACGATCATTTTGGCAATTAAATTTTTCTTCAATTGTAAAAATGTTCCTATCCCTAAACAAAATTTTTCGATGAAGGCCATTGGTGTAACAGCCAAGGAGCATTCTGCATCTGTCCACTCTTAATTTTTTTTATAGAAGTGGTTAGCCGTTGTCCTGTCATTCTTCGAATGCACCCATCCTAAGGTCACTTTTTATTAGGCGAGATATTGTTCTGACAGAGATTTCCATTTACCAAGACATGATTTGTTGTTTTCGAATGGGATTTCTTCTGATTCGAGCAGCCACAGCTCTCACTGCATTTGCCATTCTCAGTGTGGGGACGGCCTGGTTGAAGTCTGTCATATACAGATAGGGTCTCATTATATCTATTTATAGTTTCCTTTTGTTAGCCTTTACAATGATGAAAGAGGCTGTAATAATGGGACTGTAGTGAATGCTTGGATAAAGCAGATGAGCAGTCTTTCAAAATACAAAATAAAATAAACTTTCTGTTTTGTATTTTAAGAAGTGAAAAATAGATAGTAACTGAATTTTCTTTAAAAAAAAAAAAAAAGTATTTGTATTTTGAGAAGTTAAGACAGTGGTGCTACAATCAATATATAATACTATACCACGTAATAATATCTGTTTTGACCAAGGTTGTATGTCTTGTTCAGGGCATTCCATCTGGCACTGCCTGAAGAAGGTTACAATTGATTTGGAAAGGGTTACATTTGAAATGGAAAAGATTATAATAGAATTGGAAATGGAATAACAAGGTGTAAGATTTGTTAAATCCAATGCTACCAACACAAAAAAAAAAATCATGAACATCGATAGAAGTCATTACATAGAGGCAAAGAAAAAACAGTTCAGTTCCTTTCTCTCCCGTCTTTCTCAACTGATTTTATTTTTTGTTTCATAGCTTATTGTTAACTATGAGCTGTAATGTTATCAATAAAAAAAATATATGGAAACAGTGTGTATAAATAAATATGTAAATGTTAGTTTGTTCAAAACTGCTAATCTCCGAATGTTTTTCACCAATTGCTCTGAAATTATTATACAACTTTGCAAATTAAATTCTGGAGTGCATACATTTTATTATGTATAATCTGTTCATTTAATTTCATTATCATCTAGTCTTTCATTCCAAAATGGTGAACTATGGAGCCAAAACTGCTGAAACAATTTTAATGAGACTCGGCTAAAGTCTTCTCCTTTTAAGCCATTTTATTTAATTTATGTATATAACATACTTTCCCGAAAAGGGGCTGAAAACAAAGTAATGAGAGATTCAGAATTTTATTTTGAATAACTCAAAAAGTACACAATTTTTGGTTCACTAAACCTATGAGTATTTGAAAGCTTCTTGAATTCCCTACAAAATGAAAAAAAAAAATCACCGAAAAGAATTAGGTCCGATAAGAAATTTTTATTGCATTTTTTCCAATTTATATTTTTTAGGAGAGCTGTAATATGACGAATTTTTATTTGATATATTGCCATAGTAAAAAATTTGTATCAACCGAAGGAGCAAAGTGGGTTCAAATTATTATTTTTTTTTTTAAATACACTAATGGTACTGAACTGTTTTGCTAATACGTTATATTTTCATCAAATTTTCAATAATGATTATAGTTGAATTTTGACCACTGGACGACCACAACTTATTAAAAACTAGAACAGAAGTGAAGTCATGCAAATCAGCTGCAATACCGAGTAATAGATAGTTGAGATTATTTCTTGTTTACTAGGTTTGGGGCTTCTGCGTTAGGATGTATGTGGTAAGTAAAAACAAACGGATCAACGTTTCTATATCATGTAATCTACTGTATAATAATATTTATTTTATTACATTAATAACACACTTAACAGTTATCATTTTTAAAATGACAAACACACTATATAAAAAATTTACATGAACAAATATAAGTTTACTTCGTATATATATTGGGTGTTGAAAACTAAATAAATACATCTTTCTAGAAGAACGAACAGTTAAGTGTTGAATGTACAATATATACATTCGAAATAAGTCAATAATAAAAAGGAAGAAATCAAGTCACTAGAGTATACTTTGAACAGTGCTAACAATCAGGAAGAGAGGTAAACACTATGAAATATCTACGTTAAACAAATGACCTGATTGTAAACTACCTATAAATACATAATTATATCTATATTTTCTTCTTTATTTTTCTTCAAATTTTATAATTGATAATGAAAGGAAAATTGAAAAAAGGGAACTAAAAAGGATAAGAACAACTTAAATATTGCCCAAATATGTAAAATAATACTAACAATAAAAAATAACTATACAATTCTATGATTTCACAAAATAATTAAATACAATCATGACGGTGACCATTCAGTCTGTTGAATGCTATCAAAATAATTAAATAACACTAATGGTAGGAGAATAAAGAAGCTGTCATTCAACTGGACGAAATAAGATTGAACTTTTCATTTTGAAGCAGTTTCCATAGCGACATCACCAGCTCCCCCTTCTTTTTTGTCTTTCTTTCCGTCACCAGCTGAAATATAAAAATAATAAAATTATAAAACCTCAAAAAATAATGTCACATTTAGCATATTAAAGAAAAAAGCAGCATTTCTCAACCAATGTTTCCCAAAAAATTATAATTTTTTGAGCAGCTTTTACCTCTTCATTTAATCAGGTTAATTTTAATTTAAAAAGATGCCCAAATAGGATACGAAACTGTTGATGAAATAAAAATTTAGTAATAAAACAATATTTTAGAACACTGAAAATTATTATACAATTTTTTATCATTGATAAATAATTATATGTTAAAAATATATCGTGTCCTCTCTCTCACATGGCCTCTTCTGTACCATTCAAGGTGAAAGTTCAACAAATAAAAATTGATTGTGATATATTAGCTACTATTAATCTTTTATGACTTGTTTTCTAATGTTTAGTTTTCGAGTTATCAAAAAAATAAAGAAAGGTAATAAATGAGTTTTCAAGGGAACGTGTGCAGGATACGTTGAGAACACCAAGTTTAGTGTGCTATCTATGTCTTGAATAAAATTACATAACTTGTTAAAAAAAAAAAAGCATATTAAAATTGTAACCCGATTACAACTCTGTACTAGCAGTGGTAAAACATATTTTGCAACGACTTAACGAGTGTTTATTGAGAAATTCATTATTTATAACATTTATTTTTAGTTAATAATCATAATTTGTTAAATTTAATATTATAAGTTTTGAATTTTAAAAGTTATTCTTAAACACTAGAATTTGTGTTTATTTTCGACCAATGAGATTTAAAGGAATCACTACACTCTGCGCCTTTCGGAAGTTATGTAAGATATTTAAACATTGCCAGACTGGAAATTTAAGAGTTCAGTTCAGTATAGAGTATAGAGATGTAGTCATGAGGGCTAGGCACGTTGAGGCGAGGGTCCAAGAGTACCCAGTTAGGACTCAAATCTCACCCGTATCAGTTAACATTTATATCTTAACGGCCCTGAGAAATAAATTTTGGCACTCCCATTCTGGATAGTACGCAGCAGCAACTGGGTTTGGGCAAAAGGATTCTGAGGCCCACTTTCCAGACTAGTTTTCCCATCAGTGTCAGAATCAGTATATAGTTCAGAGTTAGCTGAGTTCAATTTCAATAAGTCTCAAGTTAATTCAAGGATTGAGTACTTTGATAAAAAATTAGTTGTGAAGAATGACCAGTTTTAAGATTATATTTTTTTTGTTGATAGATTTATAGCATTTAAAATGCGAAGTGAAAATTGAGATATGCATATGTAACATACAAGGGCTATGGTAAAGATAGTATTTTGAAATAATAATTTAAACTGTTAATAATCAATAACAATAAGCAAATAAATTATTACTTCTTGTTAAACAATACTGCATGAAGAAGTAAATTTACAGTAATGTATTTATTTTATATTACATATTTTAGAAGGATTTTAAAGTAAGTATTCCAAAACACATAATATATTTTTTGTATCACCATAAATGACTGAATGAGGTCATATGAAATCTCTAATCAGCCATCTTTTTTTTTTTTTAAATGGCTGGTGGTAATGCCAGGTTTTAAGGATCATCTTGCAGTGACCTGTCATCAAATTTAAAAAAAAAAATATTTTTTGTTCTATAATAATGCAATAAAAAAAATTACAGTCAATAGTATAAAGTAAGTTGAGAAAAACTGTTGTATATAGTAGGTTTTTTTTCTTTCAAGTGTGGGTCACGACTTGGGTGACTTAACACCTTGGCTACGAGGGCGGTCATCATGACCGCTAGGTGACATTCTGCAGGGCCATCGCAGGTCATTATGGCCGCCACTTGAATATTTCGTAATTCCTTACCTGTGGGCCCGAGTGACCGCATTTCTTTGCTTTTCTCGATGTAACCTGACTGCTAGGGGCCCAGGAACACAGCAGATCTCTTGGGCTCTGAAATTTTTTTATTTTTCTTTATTTCATAAATCAGTTTTTTTTTTAAATTTACTATTTTCCGTTTTTTTTCTTTTTTTTTTTTTTTTCTAACTTTTGTAGTAACGATTCTTATTTTAATTAAAAGTAATTATTTTTAATCACTATTAAAGGATAGAATTAAATTATTTATGGTATATAGTCCTCTCCATGTTAAAACTCCAAGCTAGTAGCTAAGTAACATTACCGAGTTCAAGCTTTCACTCCAAGAAATAACCTTCACAACAGAAAAGAACACTTAAAGGTTTAACTAATCTGATGAATAGATGGGGGTTTACATTGAGAATTTAGAGCACAAAAGTCGATATACAGAATTCAGAAATTGATATAAGTATTTCATTGGAAAAATATATCAGTCGGCTATCCAAGCTTTTAGCCCATTTCAATCTAAAGTTTTAATTACATAACATTAATTTCAACTTTTTTTTCCTTATACACAAACAAATGGTTTCCTTTACTTTATCTTCGAAATAATAATTTTTCACCAAAAGTCTATAATTTTTGGATTTTTTGTAATGATCAATAATGTACATGATGATGTAGAGATGGTTGACCGTTGATATAATATGAGAAGGAGTTATGTTAGGGTATGTTTTGACTTTTATTGTGATTCTTTTCTTAACACACCTATCCTTTAACTATACACCTTATTATTATTTTCATACAGCCTACTATTCAATTACCGCTTTCAAAAAACTGAATGTCAATTGTCATCTAAATATAGTACAACTTGTTTTTGTATTTTTATCATCATAACCTTGTTTTACATTTATACTTAGATTTTAAAGTTCTCTTTTAAAATTATTGTTTTCTTATAGAGTTATTTATACTTAATAACCTATCCTAACGATATTACACTAATGTTATCCTATTAATCTTTCAATTTCTTTACTTCTTAACCTTTAGTCCCGTTATCTGTTTACCACAATCAAATGTAACCTCCACTAGCTTGTTATATTATCCACTGATATCTTATTATTATTTTAACTTTACTATAACAATACTTATTCAATTTTCAATCTATTTATTCGTTAACATTCATTTTCTTTATCTGTTAACCCATAATTATCTAATGTAATCTCTATTAGTTTGTTACACGCTTATTCCTTATCTTTTATCGCAATCTGTTTACTTTTAACTTACATGCTATATTCTCCTTTATTTTTATTTTTATTCATACTTATTTTGAATTTGTTTGTATCTTTTACATACATAATACTTAATATTTTAACTACATTGTCACCCACTGTATCTCTGATATCATCTTTTTATTTCTGTATCTGACAACTTCTTATTTCATATCTATTTATATTTATTTTTTTATTTTGAACATGTGTTGTATCTTTTGTAGCCCTGAAGACGACCTGCAAAGTGGGTCGAAACGTCGGCAAAAATTAAATAATTAATATATTTTAATTTAGTATTTATTTGAACGCACCTCCCCGATTAACTCCTTCTCATAATAATGTACATGGTTTTACATGAGGTCGTATATAAATTTAACTAGTGATAAATGAAATTATGTCAACTTTTTGTAAATCTTCATAAATCAATATAAAAACTTTTTAAGACAAGTCTTCATTTGAGTAACCAGTGGGAGACTACACGCTGCACACAATTTGCAGACCAGATAATCCGATAATTGATAAAACATAATTAACTTCACCAATTCAATTCAGTTATTATTATTATTGTAACAAAAAAATAATGATTACCTTCGGAATCTGGAGTTTCTCCAGCAGAATGGTCACGACGCCTCTTCCTATTGAAACGCTGAGGATTGTGCCTAGCACCAGGGTGCCTAGGAGGAGGAATAGGGGCCATTCCGAGAACTTTGTGGATTTGACGGAATGCCATTAACCTCAAGGCGTGCTGAAAACAAATAAATTAATAAAAATAATTATCGATCAAAATAAATAACTAATCAAATTTCAGATCCTCGTAGATTTTTTAAGAAATAAAAGAGAAGTTTAAAATAAGTTCATTATTTTAATTTTTAAAAATAGGCATTCCTTATAACTGTTCCTCCATTAAAAAATAAACACTATATTAAATAAACTAACCATACACTGAAAATGATAAAATTAAAAAAAAATGTTTACTAAACTTCTCCTCTTTCTTTGCCTAGTTAGCTTGTATTTCAATTATAACTGTTCAATACATGGAATATCAAATAAAAAATCAATATTACAAATTTTATTTTCAAAATTAAAAGATAAGTATGAATATCCCATAGCACTCAATACCGTTGTAATTTAACAAATTTATGTGTAGACAGCTTGGAATTTCTACTTTTATTTCTTTAACATAAAAATTGTTTATTTGAATAACACGTGGAAACAAGAAAAATCAATCAATAAGAAGTCATAATTATATCGTTGGTTTATTGCAATAAATTCACTGAACTTCCAATGCTTTGAGGTCCCAGGTTCGAATTCCGGCTCATGGCAGAAAAATTATTTATTCTGTTGGATGAACAGGGTTGGACGACCCTGGGGTAGGAAGATTCTCCTGGGGCACACCCAGCATCTACAAAGTGGGTGCCATTAATTAAAATAATTATATAAGGGAGAAAACCTGATGTTTGAGCGTGATCCTGGCCAGGTCTCCTCCCTGCACATAAGTTGGCCTTGAAACAGTACTTTCGCTAAATACGGTAAAAGCGGTACAGGTTTTTTTTTTATTGCAATTAGTCACTATTTACATTTTTTGATGGAGCTGAATGTTTTTATGAATTTAATCCTCCTTTTTCTATACAAAACACGCTAAGTGTACTAAAATGACACTTTTTATACATAAAATATAGTCACATCACATTAAATGTACTATTTTCCAGAGGGAATATTTATTGAAGTATTAAGGTTTATGAAATGTTACTAAACAAGTTTTTGCAAGAAATCCACAATATTGTAAATGAGATTTTTTTCAAAAGCATAGATACAACTTATCATTTATAACCAGAACAGTTATATGTTTTTTTATTTAAGATTTTCATTATTAAAAATACTAATGCTACTTGATGTTATTTTTTCCATTATCTTTAGAACTGTATTGAACATATTTGTTTGTTTATAAGATAAGAAATAAATTTTCTCTTTTAAAACTCAGTAAAGATTTATAAATTGGACATAAAACTGACACTGTTTAGCGGCACAAGAGAAAAAAATAATTTAATTAAAATAAAATTATAAAAAGAGGAATATTTTAGTGTATAAATATAATTTTCGTTACCATAAAAATTGAACTACTGATTCCTATTTATACTATATCTGAAGAGCATACCTTAAAAAAGTTTACACTGACTTTATTATAAACTTTTATGAAAGCAAGGGGAGTTGAAACTTTTTAAAAAAAATAGTTGCAATTTCCTGTGAAACGTTATAGGAAAAAAGTTTTTAAAATAAAAGTTCTGAGGAACTTTATTGTAACAAAATTTCAAGTTCATGGTAAAAAAGTTAAACTTTTATATATTTAAGTTATTAAAAAAAATATGCTAAATGAGAAATAAACAATAATTGGACTTAGATTAGAGTAGTTAATAATAAAATTAATTTTTCATTCAGAGCATTCGGCAAAATAAACAGAACTTTAAAATAACAGTTTTTTAAAAATAAGTTCTATAAAACATTTACTTAAAAATTTGCAAAGGAATAAGTTGTAGTTACGAAATAACAGAAACAAATTGAAAATAAAGATTTCTGTCATAATTAAACTGATTAAAAATTAAAGTTAATATTTAATTTCAAGCCATGTTTTTCAAGGAAAAAGTCTCAACTTTGTCCAAACTAACATATTTTCAGTGGCTATTAACTTCCTACATTAAATTATATAATGAACAGTTTGAAAATTGATCTACAGAATACAGTACCGTCAGATTAGGTAAAAAAGAAATCACTTTTATGCAGAAAAATTATGTTACAATTTTGATTAGTTAGAACTTTTTCATCGGGAGACCTTCATTTATTCATTTGATACACATTAATAATAAAGAGAAGAATAGTTGGGGTGATCAGTCAAATAAGAACGCAAAAATAAATGATAATATTTATTTTGACATTTGCCGACGTTTCGACCTGAAGTTCAGGGCTAAGAAAAGAACCAGATAACAAGGTATGAGAAACATAAGTTGTGTAGCTAAAAAATTAAAGTAAAATGAAGTTGTTAGAATAATGACAATAGTAAGAACTAAGAGATAAATAATAATAACTGTTACAAAGTGTGAAATGATGAAGTAAACATAATCAAAAAAGGTGACATAAGTATTAAAATGGGAATCTTAGAATAAAATTTAAAACAGAAAAAAGGAATATGAAGTTATATAAGAAATGAAAATAAATAGTAAAATTAAGATATTACAAATAGAATAGTTAGATAGAAAATTGAGATATTGTAAAGTCTATCAAAATGTACAGACAACGTATAATATAATAATGAGTTAGAACAGAGAAAAGGAATGAAAGGAAGCAGGAAAAAAACTAAGAAGGCTGAAATAGAAAAGAGAAAAAAAAAAAGAAAAAACAAACCTGCCTTCAAAAAGGTTGTTGGAGAAGTGAGAATATGGTAGCAAGGGAGGGGAGAGAGAGGAGATGTATTGTGGTGTCATCTCTAACGGTTGTCTGACAAAGTTTGAACTAAAGTACCGGAAGCGTAAATAAAGGACGAGAGATATATTACTCATAAATATTATGAATAATTATACAAAAGTTTAATAGAAAGAGGATGGAAAAATATGGAGAAGGAATAAAACAGAGAACTTCAGGTGGAAACGTTGGCAAATGTCAAAATAAATATTATCATTTATTTTTGCCTTCTTATTTGACTGATCACCCCGACTATTCTTCTCTTCATTATTCACGACAGTCAACCATTTAAACACAATCACATTAATAATACTTCACGTTTTCATTACCAATTTAGATTAAAAAGAAGTGATAGCGTTGTAAAAGTGTCCAAACCGAAAAGTAATATTACGACCAATCAAATTAAAATGGTTCAGAACAATAAAAATTTGAAACCTATCATAGTACATTATTATGCGACATATATAATAATTACCTGAGCCGAGGCAGTAATGTCAGCTCGCTGCTGAGAAGTCAAATGAGCTGTTGCATCGGTAGGTTCCCTCTCGCATGGATCGGAAAGTCCGGGTCCACCAGGTAGAACAATACCTATAATAATAAACAATTTAGAAATTTACTAAGGTACTACCCAAGCAAGATATAAAATAGTTGTAGAAGATTTATTTATTTCTATCAGTACGATCAATATTGTTTTAGAACTAGTATCTTAATTTAGAAAATAAAAAAATTATATATTTATAATTATTCATTACCAATATAAGTTTTTATGCCCAGCAAAATTTTACAATTTGAAAGTAATCTCATGCTCACTTAGTTGCGAAAATAATAAAGTTATGAGTAAACTTACCTCCGGCGATAGCTTCTAATACTTTTCGTAAAGCCTCTGCAGCTGAAAATCCGACACAACCGACGACCTTGTCCACTAAAAGCTCTATTCCCTAAAATATAAAAGATTAATATTTATTACACAACCTTTGATCAATTTGTAAATGAAATAAAATATGTAATTAACAAGACAATTTCTTTTTAATATATTTTTATGAATAATGACAAGAGAAATGACTTCATGTCACGTATTTCTTGAACTTTTCATCATAACATGTAAGTTCTGAAAAATCAACTGTAATAATGAATTTATTTTCTGTAGCTAAATACTTAGGAGGCTTTAATATTTAAAACTGCAAATTACCGAATCGCTCAAAAAATATTACTTCTATTTTGTTCAATGATAATGTTTTACAAAGTTTCCTCAGTACTGAATTATTCATGGTTGAATTTTTCATGAAGTTAAATGAAAAATCTTGGTTGTTTTAAATTATTCTCACAATCAATCGCTTCATCGAGCTTGTTTCATTTTAAATATAAATATTTTTTATTCTGCATGATAGAAATGGTGGAAAATGATGCTACTTTCTCCAGCCATCTTAAGTATGGTAGAGTAAGTATCTTAGAAATGAGCAGAAGCTTTTTCAACAGCGACTGATATATTTGATTGAAATTTTTTAATTATCACAGTTAATTATTAAACAAGGTATAGTTGTGCAAGATGGCTATAATACAAAAGTTGTTTTAAATTTAACAACTAATTGACTATAACACTGGATGATGCTATGCTATGTGTATCATCCGCAGAGTCTGTTTCCACAAGCATGTCAACTTATTTTTCAACTTAAAGTTAGCTGCTGAAACAGCAAAAGCTATGGAGCATGTATGTCAATTAGGAGAAAGAGATCCTCATTTTTTGACAAAGATCTTTCGCTATGGGATTGTGGAATCTGAGCAGAAACTGTAGCAATATATGAATTATTGAAGGAAGTTAGTCGACTGTTCTACATATCATGGGTGATAAATATTCAGGACACAGTATTTTTATAAAAAAAAAAAAAAAAAAAATTATTTTTTTATTTATGCCAACGTTTCAATCCAAAAATGTGGGTCATCTTCAGGGCGCGGTTTGAGCACTAAGGGTATTCAAGTACTCGAGTACTTGAACACCCTCAGTGCTCAAACTACGACCTGAAGATGACCCACATGTTTGGGTTGAAACATTGGCATAAATAAAAAATTAAAAATAGACTGTCTCCTGAATATTTATCACCCATGTAGCAATATATGCTTGAATGGCAAGAGGCAGTAGAAAGAAAATTCCTCTCTTTCTATATAAATAAAAGTGAAGAACTAAATCTGGGAAGGAAGCCTCAGACAATCAGTATAATATCGCAACATTAAACAGGCCCACATTTGTTATTTCAACATGGTGCCAACGGTATTAAATATATTGTCTGAGTTTCCTTCCCTGATGTAGTACTTCATTTTTATTGATGAAATGATAAAGTATGACTCGCATGGGGGTCGCATTCTGGGGTCTTAGGAACCCAGTCACAATCACGATTTATAAAGGTGTTCTGGAGGGTATCCCGAGATATACGTCTCTCTTCTGGTTCCAGAATCTTACACAAAGACAAAAAAAAAAAAAAGGCTAGCGTAGACTCAGAGGACAGCTCTGCTTCGGGTTACCAGAGCATACAGGATAACTTCGCATGAAGAGGTGCTGGTCCTAGCAGGGGTTGGTGTCTCTCAACCTCTTCCTACGAGAAAAAGTGACAAAATATTTTTATAAGAGGGGAGGCTCTACAGTACTTTCGGACAATTTGCAGGTGAGGATTATGGATGCACCTGTTAGATGGAAGAAGATAGTCCAGGAGAATACGATTGAAGCATGGAACCGGTGGTAGGGTAGCTACCCCTAAAGGAAGTACATTGAGCAAGTACTTTCTGACTGTACAGTCGAGGCTTCAGGAAAAGTGGGCTATCCTGGACTATTGGATTTCCCAGTTCCTCACTGGGCATGGAGGATTTGGAGCTTAACTTCACGGTCTGGGAATTGGTGTAGATCCTCTATGCCCAACCTGTAGTATTTCGGAAACTGTAGAGCACATGGTCACGACCTGCACCGCATTTGTAATGTTAAGAGTGACTATGACAATTAATATTCTCACTGAAAATGGGTTTCCTCAGTTAGTCATTGAGGAAAATTTCCTCTGGTTTAAGGAATTTATAAATGGATAGAAGACGGCAGTGGAACCCGCTCACTTCCGTATTGGTGCCTGTAGAAGAAGAGGACAAGCCCCAGGAAGAACTGCTAGCTCTGAGTATATCCTTTCTTGATGACTATAAAAACCTGGGTATTAGAATAAGCAGAAATGGGAAAGCCGATGATGCGGTCAACAACAGGATTAGGGAAGCTAATAATATTAATTTTCAAATCTGTAACTCCATTGTAGGTAGTTGGACATTCAATTAAGGATATATAAAGTGTACCTTTCAACTTTACTCAACAGTAATGGAGCCTGAGTAATGCTTGACAGACGTAAAAATAGAATAATCACAGCTGAAATGAGGTACCTCTAAGAGCACAGGACAACAAGAAGAGATTGCATACAAAACAACAGAATTAAAGAAGAGCTAGACGTCGAGCCATTAGGCCAAAATACAAAGAAAAGACAGCTTAAGTCGTATGGTCATGTCTGGAGAATGGAGGAATATAGAGAACACAGAAGCCCGACCAACAGGTAAAACACCTAAAGGCAGACCTAGACTGCCTCATGAAGATCTCATATCCAGGGCTAGGAAGGTCAAGAGGGAAGTCGATAGGTAAGATTAAGGCATTAACGAGATACCAGAATACTTGGTTGCGATGGCTGGTTACACCTCTATGCTGAGGGGCCTAGAGAAGGAGGAAAAGAAGAGAAGGTCTTTCGTTGAATATTTGATTAGCTGAAAGAGTTTTAAACAGAGAGATCCATGATCTATATGGGAATATTTGTGATAAGGAATATCAAGCTTCTTGTTATCAGATGTAGGCTAAGGCTGACCGGCCACCGAAAGCAGAGTCCAGCCAAGCTGAGAGGGATCAGAGTGGGTTAGCAACCGATTGCGTAGTGCAGCCCGGCACAGTTAGAAATCTGCCTTGCACTGGTATCTCATATTATGTATAATTTTTTTTTTTAAACTATACATAAAACTTTTAAAAAAAAAATTTGGTCATGTCAAAGTTGAAAAGAAAAATGGAATATTTGTGTATAAAATCGAACATTTTCCCTTACACATTCAATCAACAATTCTTTCACATCCATTGCACATTTTACACTGAACCAAAATAAAATAATTTGAGAAGTTGTGCTGTGAGGGCAAGTGGAAAGAAAGGCAAGGTTGAGTGGCAGTGGTGGGAGAAGCAGAGCGTAGCTTCAAAAACCGAACCTTGGTCGACTCAAAGCGGAGGGGAGTCGCACTGCTCAACTCCCCTCCGCATCAATGGCTGCACTTTCAATAAAAACCTTTGATTCAATTTTGGAAGCACTCAATTCCGCTTTTGGTAGCCGATTGGCCTTTTCCCAAATTATGTAAAATAAGTATTTAAGAATTGAAACCATAAATTAAATATAATAATAGCATTTAAAAGAATTACATGGCTAAAAATAGTTTAAAATCACTACTCACCCACTGACTCAAAGGAGCCCAAGTTGGATTTCTATGGCAAAGATCTCGTAGAATTCTTATCACCATTACGCTACTATGATTGTTAGCCGGTCTAGCCTAATAGGACAAGAGGTATGAGATTTGATAATGGAAACTTGTTTACATGTACAAGACTTATTTATTTTTAAGCAAAATTTTAATTATTTTTTTTTTAAGTTGATCAATTATTTATAAAATGTATTGAAGGATAAAATAACAAAAAATTAAAGAATACAGGCTATTTAAAATAATTGTAAACAATCATAGCAATTAAATTGTGTCTTGTACATGCAATAACTTCCTAACTACAAAATCAAATAAAAAATAAATAAATAAAAAAGTTTTAAGGAATAAAAAAAGGTATCCTTACAGTTTATACCTTTCCAGCAAAAAAAATAATTATGATGATAAATATAAATGAGAAAAATAAAAAAAAGAAGAAAGAAAATGTATTAACCTAACTATATATATGAGAATATATATATATATTTTAATTAACAAGATAAATGTAAAAGATTTACAATAAAAATATTAAAAGCAAGTTAATAAAAATAAAAAAAAGTGAATATTGTAAATATATTTCTTAGGGAGCTGGAAAGTCTGTAGGGAAATGACCTTTGCCAATAATTACAGTATAAATCCGGGAGTGGCATGATCGGCCAATCTTCGGCTTTACTCTATCAATGCCCCAGAGAAGTAGTTTTAAAAAAGGAACAGGAAAAAAGGGATTAAGGAAAACGGAATCATCATTCAAATCTCATATTTTAAAAATGAAAAATATCAATACATCTAAAAATTACTTCTTTTTTTTTTTTTTTAAATCACATAAAAAAAAATAATATATCTGTTAAATACAAAACAAATATATAGGTAAAACATTTATGATCAGTTGTTATATATATTAAAGAAAAATTCATGAGAGGGAAATATGTTCATAATGATCACGGGATTCAGATAAGGGGCGGGAGTGGCAAAGGTATAAAATTTATAATTCTTCTCATACACAGGATATACAGAGAGAGAGAATAAGAGAGAAAAAGAGTGAATGTGTGTGAAGAAAGTGACGAGCATTGATATTGTAAATACGTTTTGGTAATATACCTGGAACCATTTAGCACGTCGTAGCTGGGCCAAAGCTTCAAGGCACTTGGCTTGATCAAGCGTCTCCTGGTTCCCCAAACTCACTGTTCCGCCTTCTGTGTAAATACATAGGATGTTTCACCTTATTGCAATCTACCACAAATCGGCCCCAAAAATTCTTGATTCCCTCTTGCTTTCATTAAGATACCAGTTTTAAAAAAATATTAAAAATAATATTTTATATATTTATGGTACATATATAAATAAAAAAAAATAAAATAAAATAATAATAATAAAAATAAAAATGCTAAAGCAAAAGAAAATCAGAGTTTGAGGCCAGTTTGTGACGATGCAGATATTAACAAAAGGTGAAAAATCCGCCTTTTTTGTTTTGTCTTTTTTTTTGTTTGTATTTTTTGTTTTCCACAGTAAAGTAGTGACACCTAGAAAGCTTAGGAACATAAAATAGGCACATGAAAAGAATTAGTAATCTTCCAAAAATTATTCATATAGAACAAAAGATTATTATGTATCTATAATCAATTATAGAAAATAATTCAAAAAAATATATTTTTCCCTTTGCATTTTCCTCTGGAGGCACAGATACAATCCTTTTCTTGGCCTTATAAAATTTTGCCTTTCTTAGTGTCAAGAAGCAAGCCTGGACATTTCAATTAGTCTTGAATATATATATATGTATATATATGAATAAAATAACATCAATAATCATATATGTAAAATTATTTCAAGATACTAAAAAAATAAAATAAAATAAAAAATAATATATCGCAAAGGAAAATGTCTTCTTATCCAATTGGAGACAAACATTATTAAATAGTTCTCAAATTAATACACTAAAAATTGTAATATTTCAATAATAATTAATTAATAATAAATATATTGTGATTAATAAGTGCCCAGGCTTTGACTGTTTTAAAAAGAAGATATGGTAGAGGAGATGGAAGATAATGACTCAGTAATCTGCTCATTCCAAGGGTCAAATAGTAACTCCTCTCAGCTCATGTTAAGTTTCATTTTCAAATTTGATTTTTAAATTTAAATTATGATAACTTGACTAGTGGTACGGTGAGAATAACTGACGCTAGGGAGAATTGACCCTAGGAAGATCGCTACATCTGAAATATACTGACCCCCGTCTGCCCCAGACATCAACATCTCCCTTAGAAGTGGAGATGTAAGAGTGATAGTCACTGTGATTTTCTGTTCACCAGAACTAGTAACGATGATTGAACCATCAGCACTCTCTAACGTAACACTGTAATTTTCTTCTGGAGCTATATTCTGCAATGAAAGAAAACAAATTTTTAGATAGGTAGATAAATTTAAAAATTATATGATTCAGTTACTAACACATAACACTATCTTGGTTCGACAAGGTTTTAATGGAACTGACCCTTATTGGGCACTTGCAAGGGGGGGGGGAGGAGGAAATTGCATGAATTTGATACATAATAGACTCTCTCTGGTTCATTTAGATATGTATACAGATTTTTCTCTCTTGTATTTTTTTTTAATGATATATTATTTTGTGAATATATAATTTAATGTATGGCCACACTGTCTTGTTTCATTTATTTTGTATTTATAATTTGTTCTAATGGAGTATCAATCTCAGAATAATAAAACTATTTTTCGACGACGTTTAAGCCCGAATTTCAGACCTTCATCAGGGCTCCTCTACCAACAAGACAGACCATTGTTGGCTTAACAATTTTAACAATTCTACCAACAAAACAGCTTGTTGGTAGAACAGCCCTGATGAAGGCCTGAACTTCGGCAAATATAAAAATAAATACAATTATTTATCTCTACTATTTTATCTTGACTGATCATCCCAACCATCCTTCTCTTCAATTATTTACTACAGTCAACCATCAACCCACAAAATTATTTCTTATTTAATTTACAATTTATATAAATAAACAATCTAGTATATAAAATTTTATTTATTTATTTTAGTTTAAGGTGAAATTGGATTCATAATAAAGGTTTAGGCTCCTATAAACTTATCGTTATCAATGGATATGAATTTAAAATTCATGGAAGCACCTAATTCAAGGGAAAAGGATTTGAAAACTAGATATAATACAACTTTTACTTTTTAAATAAAATTATCAATTTTGACCTAATAACTAATTTAAATTTTGGAATTGGTTTAATAAAAAAATATTATCCCTTTGAATTTACATAAAATATATATCTAAATGGAGTTAAAACCTTGTAAAACATATGATAGGACTTTTACAAACAAAAATAAAAAAAAATCAATATATACATACAAACTTCTTGGTTAGGATTTCATTATTAGTAATAATAAAAATACTTGTTAGATCCTATTAGTCCTACTACATTATTTTTCCTTTTAAGTTTCAGCCCTTAGGCCATTTTCAATAGAAGAAACCTTTTGCAAACAAAATACATTTTCCCATTTTCACATTTAACACTCTTTACATTTGTCAAAAAAATAAATAAACCTAACTTCATTAATAGAGATTTTAGTGATTGACTATTGTTATTATGACAAAGTCAATTCAGTCCATGTGAATTTTATTTTATTTTAACATAGGAATTTAAAGATTAAGTCTGCCAAGTAAGGTCAGCATAGCTTCCTCACCAACAAAATACAGAAAATGAAGGCATATACATATTTAAAATTTATTAATGCTTACATCCTAACCTTCTATTATAACTAGCTAGTTAAAAAAAGATTTGGAATATAGCCCCTTATAACTTTGAAGTTTGAGAGGTAAATCAAGAGCAGAACGACTTGGAACTTCAATAGGAACAAAGAAACTAAGAAATATGATGCTATTTATTACAGTCAGTGCAAAAATTTCATTTAAATTTACAAATATACGGTACATATAGTAAAGAGAAAAATCGCATGTCCAAGCGAAAGCTGGTAAAGGGATTCGGCAAAATCTATATTGGGTCATCTAAGTTTCAACCCCCACTACCACTGAAAATTACAAAAATCTTTTAGTAACGGCACTAGGTGTCATTGTTCACATGATCAATGCCTTCCCCTCTTCACATACATTATATTTTTAAAAGTTAATTAAATTAATATTAATTGTTGAATAGAATTAAAAGAAATTGATACTAGGGAATTTTTACACTAATCTCCGCATTTCCTTCAACTTTCGGTCTACTAATACTGCAGTTCTTTTATCCTTTCAATAAATTTGGGAATTAAAATTACAAAAAAAAAAAAGTGAAAATTTCTGATGATAAAATATATGATTGGTATAACATATTTAATATGCAAAAGAACATTATTGAAAATTTTTAGGAATAATAATTTGGGAGCAGTGTATGAAAATTTTTAGAACTGTAATCGATCCTTTCCAGGAGAATGACCCAAAAATGTTTATCTATTTAACAAAAATAAATTAAAAATTTGGAGTGTTTTTTTATGATCGAAGCAAAAACACTTAATCAAATATGCTGTTAAATTGTGAATACCTTAATTTTAATATGTAAAAAAAATGGATATACTTACAGTTAACTGTGTACCAAGAGCGACATACACTTCATTAAGGAGACTTTTGGTTGGTATTTCACCACATAGAACAGCGAGGCTTACGCTGCTCTCATCGGTAAGCATCAGACCTTTTGCAAGGATACCAACCCTCATTATAGCTTTGATGATGCGCAAGCTATCCTTCTCATCAATGCCAGGTTGACTAACGGGAGAGAAAAATGTATTCAATTAATATTAATAAAGCGCACCATGAAAATTCTTAATCTCTATAATTAAATTATTAAAGCAGATTATTAAATAATTGAGAAATTATCAATCAATTTTTAATATAAACTATATTATATACAATCTAGAAGCTAAATAATTACATGTTAATTAGTTTACTGAGAAAACAATAGGCTTACTTTGGCTTAGCACCATCTGATTTGGATTGTTCCTGCTCAGTGGCCATCGCTGGTCCATCCTTTTTCCCTATTTCTTTTTTCATGTCTGGTTTAGCTAAAAAAAAGTATTGATGATTAATTAAAGTTATCATAAGTAAAACGTTAATTTCTTTTTTAAATATGTACATTTTTTCCTTTACCGACATTATTATCTAATATGCCAGAATAAAAGAAAATAATTATGTACCAATGTAAAGACTGTCATATAATCATGGTCTTAGAAATTACATCATTCAGTAAAATTTTATTTAATTTTGAATTGTGGGTTGATGGTTGACTGTAGTGAATAATTGAAGAGAATGATGATGATTGGAGTGATCAGTCGAAATAAAAAATAGCAAAAATTAATAATAAAATTAATTTTTACATTTGCCGACGTTTCGGCACGATGTTCAGGGCTAAGAAAAGAGCCAGATAACAATAGGTTAGATATTCATACATTTTCTTAGACCCGAACTTCGGCAAATATAAAAATAAATATTATTATTTATTTTTGCTATTTTTTATTTTGACTGATCACCTCAAACATCCTTCTCTTCAATTAATTTAATTTCAGTTTATTTACCAGATTGCTACCTGCAAGATTTCTGGATATTTCTTAGTCTGTTTTGAAACGATATTCTAATAGCAATTTTTTTTTTTCTTCTCGAGGCCCTGACTACCGTTGATTGGTGGTACCCTACTCTCGTTACTACTTCCTTGATGATAATTCCTTCACTTCATGTTGTGACCAAGATTAAGAAAGCATTGAAAAAAAGTAGAACTCTTCTCTCTTTTGTTTCCTGTGACTAATTATTAATTCCTATTTTAGCATGTGCATTTGTTCTTATATCTTGATGTTTATATGTGGCATGCCATATTATTGTATATAGAATAAGTTATCTTTTTTGTTATTTTTATTATCTTAAATATTTGTCTATTTATATTTTTGATTGTATATAGTAATTATACATAAATTCTCTCTTTTTCATTTTATTTTATTTCTTTTGCTTGTACATAGTATTAATTCTGTAAATATTTCTTTCTGTAAATAGATCTCTTAACCTTTTTTGCTGCTTTATAACATATACAACCTAACCCCTTCTCATATGGTAGAATAAATATTTAATGAGGCCCAAATAATGGGTAAGTACCTGATATTTTCTAGACTTATCTCTTTAGAGATGAAAGGCTGGTAAAGACAGGCGCCCAACAAGTAAAAATTCCGATAGAAAATTATATTTACTAAAACTTATTTTATTATCATTTTATTTAACCTTTTTTTTTTCTGTCATAATGTAACAACACAATTTTAATATTTTTTGACAAGGACAGTTTTTGATACAGGTCATAATTACAGCTTTTATCCTGACATTAGTTAAAACTGAACTGAGAAACTTAGTTGAAGTTTTCTTGTAACTTTAAAAAGTAAAGATAAACAAAAACATTCAATGGAATCAGCGTTATCAATGTAAGAATCAAAAGATATAGGTGATGCAATTTCTATGATCAAGACTGTACATGCTATTTTCTTTTTCTTTTTTTTGCCAGAGTTCAGACCTTAAATATGTCATATTATATGCAAACATATGATTCAGTCGATAGTCCACAGTAGAGAACCCTTTTTATCAAATTATCAACATCCGCCTAAAACTTCGAGAATGGCATTATCTTATCGTAACCTACAACTTTTTCATAAAAGAAAATTCTCTGAAATGCGACATTTTCTCATTAAGATACTTAAATGAGATAATAAAAACTGACGAATAGTCATTTGCTTACCACTAGAATCTTAAGATAATTTCATCATAAACTAGAGAAAAAAGCTCTAGCCTACAAAAATATTGAACAGCTTGGCCAATATAACCTTGTTATTTTGACATGTTGGGTATGGAAGTCATGCAAAACGGCCCAATATTTCTATAGGCTACCTTTTTTACTCGATTTTGTAATCAAATTATTGTGCAATTAAAGTGGAAAGCAAATGGTAGTTCACAAATTTTTAACAGTTGGTTTCTAAACAACTGAAGCCTAAGCCTAACAAACCTCAAACGCTAATAGATTACTGAATTGTAATTGCTTATTGTTGTCCGTTATAGTATTTTTTTTTTTTTAATTCCTCTGGAAAATAAAACTATTTCTGCGCTATGAAATTATCATACAAATAATTCACACTGGCATATATTATAAACAAATAATATAGTACAATGAAAAATTACCTTTCTTATCCAAAATTTGATCAGATACAATTTTGAGAGCCTTTTCACAATGTGCAACTACTTTGTGTACTAATTGTAATTTAGCTTCTTTAGGATAAATCGATTGATGCTTAGTAATTATATGGCGATCATCCAATGTATCTGGTCGTCGAATGCCAAACTAAAAAAAAAAAATTGACAGGTAAGATTCTTCAACAATCAGTTTAAATATTAGGTATTGATTAAGGATGAGAGAATATTTTTTTAGCCCTGCTTATATAATAAGTAGTAATTTCAAATTAATAACAGATTGCAATAGCCATAATGTAGATAACTGTAAACAGATATTTCAAAATATCTGAAAAAAATAAATGTTTAGTTCTTAAACTAAAACACTCTTTTAAACAACCTATATTTTTAAAAAATATTTTTTCTAGATACATAAAATCGGCCACTTACTAGTTCATACTGGATTTTACAGGGCAGAATTCTCTGTCATCAAGTTAAAATATATAATATAGTATAATATGTTTTTAGTACATTGTCCTTTTTGTTATTTTTTTGTTACGTTTTAGCATGAAAAATAAAACTAACCGGAGGTGGTTGAAGAAATGGTGCAGGTCCAGGGCCTCTTCGCCTCATCCATTCAATATATTCAAATTCCTCTTCATAGCGCCTCCTCTCTTCCCAATACATGCGGTCGTCCGTCCAAAAACTTCTAACACAGAAATATATTAGTTAATTTCCACAAATGACTAACTTGGTCAAAAAAACAAGTTTATATTAAATAAATAAAAATTTATATTAAAATAAATAAAAATTGCAACATTTATCAGACAGAAACTTATTTTTTATATATAATGTAAAACTGTTGCATATCCATGGACAAAAATGAACTAGTTTAAACTTTATACACTAACTTTTCAGTTACAAAATAAGGATTATAAACTCACCTGTCTTCTTCCCTTCTCCGCAGAAAATCATCTCTCCTTCTCATTTTTTCTTCCTGAAGCCTTCCCCTCCTGCCTGATGGTTTGACGTCGACAACTAAGTCTGGATTAACTTTTTTCTTAAATTGTAGACGGTGCCGACGTCCTTTCATATGCATATCCTTTGCATTTGGATCGTTGAATTTGCATTCGCAAAGTTTACAATTAAAGCTAATAAGCTTTCCTGTAAACAAAATATGCCTCAGTAAACTTAGATGATAACATAAAAAAATACTTTTCTAATAAATTAAGGTATTTTACAAATATAATATGTTTAGTTTATACATTATCCAATATTTAAATATATTTAAGGTTTAATTTACTTGGCTAATTGTGGTCTTCTACAAAAACAACCTATACTCTTAAAATCCTTATTGTATGCATTGCTATAAAATTCATGGGTAAAATCTAGCTGAAAAGATATTTTGCCAATCTAAAAAATATGGGACCAACAAGTTGTCAGATTATCAAATACTCAGGAAAAATGAGAGTTTCATTTAACAATGCAAAATGAGGAATTAGATTTGGTATAATGCAAAGCGAATTTATTTTTTTCATACGGGTTTATAAAAAAATAACCACTACTTTCAGCTTCCCTGTTTCTCCCACTTTGACTGGCCGAGATTTTCTTTAGTCATAATGTGCTTGATGGATAACCCACCAAAAAGGAATTTAAGTTAAGAAGCATATAAACTAATTTCATTAACTTTAAGAAAAGAAGACTTTTAAAAAACACAGAATTTTGAATCTCTTTAATAAGTTATTAGCATGACAGATATGAATAGAGAGGGAAGGATAATTTAAAAAAGGATAAATTATGAGCTTTGTTAGAGAGAAATTAACGACAATGAGTCAGAATCTAGCTGTTTTGAAGTAGTACAGAGATAAACTGGTGGAAAAATGATCTTGGCAGTTCCTTCCAGAATAAGGACTGCTTACATGAGCCTATAGGACAAAGACCTCTATATAATTCTGCTAAAAAAAAAACGATTTCATTTATCACAATATCCATATTCTAAGATCATCATTGGACCCACTATAGACTACAGATCTGAAATGAGCTGTTTTTCTAATCTGTTGAAAAACCCAGGCCAACGGGAATGGACCAAGATGAGCATTATTCCTTTCTAAATAAACAAGGTTTGGTTAAGTACACATAGCTTGAAAAATTGCGATTGATCTTCACACAAAACTTGTGTAGGAAAGACAAAAAAAGTAAAAATCTAGTGCAGTGCACGCATCACACAACTTTCGCTTACCGACCTTAGAGTAAATATGTACTTTTCTTGTAGGAAATCAAAGTGAAAACGAGACCATATAACTTACTATGTTTTTCTCACCCATCGAATCAGTTAAATATATACATTTACAACGCTTTTCATTTCCTTTTACAACTGTGTATAGTATCAAACAATACTCTAATGATTGGAAAAACGGATCTTTAGGAAAAATTCTGAGTTTTATCACGAAACATTTACATTTCGCCTGAAAACCTTTTTAAAAAATTATGGATAATGATATCAAAGTTAAACTAACAGCATGAAAGTCCTGTACAGAGGGTTATCGACTGTCTCTAAAGGGAGAAGATCAGCATAGATCAAGCGCTTTCGTCTAAACAACCGAGCTTCCTACATAGCTTATACCTTATAGCCTCCTACTCTTATTTCCCCTTTAGTTACCAATCGATTTTCTTTAATCACTATATTTAACCGTTTTTTATAATAGATTCAAATTGAAATGGTTATTTATTTCAAATGAAAAAAAATGAAAGATACTAGAAGAAGGAATTTTGAAAAATCAGCATTTAAGGTCAGGTTGCATCAATGAGGATAAAACCTACTTAATAATACACTGACCTAGTGAGTTTAATAAAAATCGTTAAGAGCCCTTTTTGAGAAAATTGTGATAAATTGATGATATAAAGTACATCTTCCGGTTTGCCGATTTTTATGCAAAAAGTTACTATAACATCATAGGCATATACAAACCTTAAATACGCAATTTCAGGTTCATGTGACTTTTCGTTTTTGAGCTAGGCTGTTCACATACATACACACACAGACCATTTTGTTGGACTTGTTTTTTTGGACTTCAAAGACCTCAAAATATGTATTTCCGTTTAAAATTCAGATTCGAAACTTTTCACCATCGCAATTCTTACCATTACTATATATTACAGAAAAATTTAGAGCATAAACACAGATCAATTAATCCAGAAAGACTTCCAAGACTCTAAAAGGTCGATGGTGAGGTAGCAGACATATTATAATAGAGACTAGGAAAATAATTTTAAAATATTTAAAACTCATCTTACCATCTTCGTTCTTTATTTCTTCAATATACTCTTGACCAACTGGAGTAACTTCATTTTCAGTCGTCATTTCGACATCACCTCCTACCTCGTCTTTTGGTTCTTCTTTATTAACCTCAGTTTTCCCAACTGTACCTAAGTTACCACCTAAAAAAATAATAATAATAATATTAATTGATATTTACATGATTATAACTAAAGTTTAATTCAAAATGGAATAAATAACAAAAAATGAAAGGAAAGAAACTCTTACACTTTAAGAGCCTTTAAAGCTGCTAAAATGAATAATAATAATTTTAAAAATACACAATAACCTACTTTGAACAAAATTAATCTTTGGTGGTGCTGATGTTGATGATGTAGTAGTCGAAGCAGTAGCAGCAGCTGCTGCTTTAGCCGTTTTCATATCAACTTCCGGTATTGGCTTGCCCAGTCTTGTATGAAGTTTAACAACCTGTTGAAAAATCAACCATGGATTAAAACTATAATAAAATCCACATGGAAACAAATTTCATCACAAAAAAAAAGATCGATGTTAATAATCAGAATATAAACCTACTTTGAATGAATCATAAACCTACTTCTTTTTTTTTTTCACTAATTATTTTTAGTATTTTTTGTTAATCCTTTTTAAAAGTTCTGGGTATTAAAGAATGTCTGTATAATGTCTTACAGCATTAGAGCTTGCAACAGCTGTTGCTGCTTTAAAAGGAGGTGATACCCAGAGATATGTCGTAGCAAGGCAATGAACCTCACAAAGTCACAAACAGAGACGTTACCAGGGACAGTGGTTCCTCTCAATATGTACACGGTAGAGGATGTCAAAGATCCACAACAGTACAAGACCGATATTTGACTACTGGGCTCAAAGGAGTCTCTTAAACAATTACCGAGGGCTAGCTGATGATTTGTTTTCTGCCTGCAAATTAGCCTTCACATAGAAGAAGGATGATAGAGCACAAATGAAGACTTCTGTGCTTTTCATGATTCATACCACAGCATAAAGTTTAAAGACTCAATAGGCTCAGATTCACGTATCGTGGACTGATTATGCCTGGTATAATTGCCTTTTCATAGATGAGTCTAAATTTGTACTTCACCACGATTCAAACCAATCAACAAGTTACCAGAAGGCCTTGGTGAGAGACACAATTCTTCTCTGGTCTCGTTTATCCGTTTGGAAGAAGAACCATTACAGCATGCGGTGGTTATGAAGTGAGATTATGATGCTTAGTGTTACTTGGGCAGGGTCTTAGCACCAATAGTGTAACTTATGGCTGAAACAGTCGGCCCAGAATTCATTGTAGTGGACGTTGTGTTTTTTTTTTTTTTTCATCTTAATTTGAATGATCCATTTCAATTGCACATGAGTATAAAAATAATCTAAATAATAACGGAGACAGTAATGAAATGCACTGCTTTTACCAATGTTTCATTTTATTTCACAGTTATAGATCAAAACCTTCCTGAGCAAGCATTGAGCAGTATATTCCTGGTTAGAAACAATACCTCCAATCTACATAACCTACTATTGTACTTAGATCATAGAATAAAAGAGTTTCATTGGAGTATGTTGAGTCTCTACAACATTCCAACACTTTCTATTTAATAATATAAATAATTTGCTGAATACTTCAGCAGTTTGAAACACTTTAATGAGACACAAATTCTTTAGTATATATATTCAAACACTAAAAAGAAATTTATCAAACCTACTTTTATTTTATTTATGTGAACACAGTTTTATAATTTTAATATTATAATGGACAATGCTACTAATATTTTTAGAAGACAAATGGGTTAAACATTTTATATATTTAAGTTTGGAAGAGGACCATTAAAGGAACCTCCAACAAAACGATAAACACTTAAATATCACATCTCCATACTAAAAAATAATAATAATAATAAGACAAGTAAATCAAGACTTCTCCAATTTACCATACCATACTGTTACTGGTCTCGCTCAAGGATCTTGCCTATGTCCATTTTTATTTATCTCTTTATTAATGATTTTCTCAAAATCAAAAATGTTAATATAGCACTATTTGCCGATGATACAGCATTATTCTGTGTTCCTCTTACTGAATAGATGCCATTTTTAATAGACTAAAACAATCAACCAGCAAAACATTCAAATACCTTCAAAAACAGGGTTTACACCTCAACTTAGACAAAACTGAAACGATTATTTTTACAAAACGGTATCCTATAATTCTGACAAACATCATAATCTTAAACGATTCTCCAATTCCACTTGCCAAGCATGTTAAATATTTAGGTGTAACACTTGACAACAAACTTATAATTTAAAATTAGAAAATGACTGAAAATAACTTCAAATGTTTTCCTATTTTAATAAAAAAATAATCAAAACTATCACCCAAAAACAAAATAATTTACTATAAATCACTAATAGGAAAATCTTAAAGATATACATGCCCTATACGGAGCTTCGCTAATACAACTAACATGAAGAAAACTACTAGTATTTCAAAACAAATGCCTAAGAATTGACAACAATTAACCATATACCAAAATATCTAAAATGCTCTGTGAATTAAATATGCTATACATACAAGAATACATTTACAAAATAACCTTAATCTTCAAACTCAAGAACACACGTCAAGTCCATAATATCAAAAATAGGAAATTATACAAATACAACAGCCAAATATAAACAAAAGAGAACGAAATATATTCTGCTCTAAAATAGTCTATATTTTATATTATTTATTATAAAGAGTATTGAGAAAGGAGATGGTGCGGGGTGGCAGTCATAAATAGACTAAATAATGATAAAACTATTTTATTAAAAGCCAACGTTTCGACCCGACTTTGCAGGTCTTCTTCAGGCAGGTGTGTTCAGCTAGGAGTTTCACTTAGTGAAAAAAAAAGACGCCTAAGTGAAACTCCTAGCTGAACACAATTGTTAGCATCTAATTACTTCAGTTTAGAATCTTGTTACTTAGCTTATTCTGTTTATATTTTAATGTACTTACTGTTTATAATTTTAATAAGATTATTCACAGTGTTTATAATTTTGTCTAAATATTATGTAACTTCCACAATTCTCTATCTTTTTGTATCTTGTCTGTTCTAGTCCTGAAGAAGACCTGCAAAGTCGGGTCGAAACGTTGGCTTTTAATAAAATAGTTTTACTACTATTTAGCCTACTTATGACTGGCTCCCAGACCATCTCCTTCCTTTATAATGCAAGGGTCAACTATTAAATATTCAGTAAAGAGTATTGGTTATTTTTTTACAGTGTTTATTTTTTACCAATAAACTTAATGTTTTATTTGTAAGATATTGTATGCATAAAAAATTTATTGTACAAGAGTAGACACCAAAAGCAATTGTAAATATTGTTGTGAAAATGTGAAATAATAAATTATCTATAAAAAATAACTTCAATGAATACATACCTTCTGATGTTTAGCTCCACGGAGATGAGCAGCGTACGCATCTGAGCCGGTACAAACGACATCGCAAAGTTCACAACGAAGATTGTTTCCACCTCTACCTCCACTCTGCGGCGCAGTGCCTTCCTTTTGCAAAGCTTCTTTTTTCTTGTGCCTCTGCCCTTCTAAGTGCTCACGATAAGTCTTTAAAATTATAAGAAAGGAATTAGTGCCAATCGATAAATTCATAAGTATAAAAAAAAAAAAAAGTGAGTACCTGAGGTCCAGCACAGCTGATCTTACAGACTTCGCAATAATGAAGCTGCTGAGGTTTCGGTGCGGTTTTCATTCTCATCTGCTTCATTCCAGTATTCTTTTTATACCCTTGCCAGGTGCTGTTATTTTGTTTTCCTTGATTAACGTACATGGCTGGGCTGTAGACAGCTACAACAATTTATTTGTATTATTAGAATTAATTAAAAACAAGTAAGAAATGTCAGTAACATAGAGATCTAGGTAAAATTTAGAAGTGTTTAAGATGGTTAATATAAATATTAAATACTATACAAAACTAATAATTACTAAATAAAACAATATAAATTAGGATAAAAAAAAAAAAAAACCTGGACCACTACAACCGATGAAGGGTCTTGGGTTCAGTACTATTTAAGGAAAGTACTGTTTCTCAGTCAACGGTTGGGCAAGGAGGTAATTTGACTGACATCAAACTCAACCACCAGGTTTTCCCCCTTAGTTAACTATTTAATTAAGGGTACCCACTTTATAAAGACTGGGTGTGCTCCACTCCAGGAGGGTCTCCTGATTCCAGGATAGCCCCACGGCCAACGAAAAAGGATAAATAATTTGTCGGGATTTGAACCTGAAACCTTGAGCATTGGAAGATCGGTGCATTACCACTGAGCTACCCCTCATTGATAAGTTTTAAACTAAAATAAAAGAAGGAATTAAATTGTATTAGCAATAAAATATAGAAAATTGGTTCGACTATCAACACCTGAGTATTTTTGAGAAGCTGATTGGTGTGAAACAAGTCTAAACTGACTTGATGAGTGAAATATTTATCAGGAAATGAAAAAAAGTGCAATTGAAATCAGAGTTACTCACTATTAACAGGCTAATCATTGATAAGTTAATATAAAGACTCAAAATCTCGTTGATGAGTTAGATAATAAAAACCGCAGAAACAACCTAATATATAAAAGATTGACTATAATTTACAAAATAATAATTTTTGCAGTGAGGTACTACAAGTTCAATTAGAGCAAGAATTTTTGTATGCTTTGCTTCTAGGACGAGCAACGGCCCTTAATAGATTAATTATGGTTTCGTTTACGAGATATAAAGATAAATTATTAATAATGAACTTCTTAAAACGGCTGCGAAGAACAGGGTTTATGATACACCAGAATTTTGGTGAAAGGATGAGATGAAGTCAACTCCTGTTACTTAGAAAGAAATTCAGATATTTAAAAAATAAAATTAACAATATTGTTTGTGACAACTGTCTCACTATTTTGAATAAAAGATTTGATTGGTCTGAAGATGTTGGTTTGGAATATTGGGGCGAAGATGGTGTGAAGATATTGAACAATCTGGTAGGCGCTGATCTGTCTAATTTTATAACAGCTGTTTGCACTGATACTCTATCAAAAGATTATTTTTCATGAAATGAAATCATATCTAAAAATATTGCTATCACATCAGTTTCATCACGTAAAGAATAAGATAGGTCAGTCTGCCGTAAGAAAATTAATCAATTCTCTTCTTCCGTTACAATATTTTCTTATATTGTATATTATATTTATTTATTATATTGTTAAGTCAATATTACATAGTGTTTTTGAATATTGGTGCGAAGGTAGTGACATCACGAACTACTGATAAGAATGACAGATGGTGGGGGAAGCAAGCCCCAGATGTAGGCAGAAGGTGATCGGCCGGCGAGTGAAGAGGACTTAGGAAAACAAGAGAGAGAGACAAGTAGTCAATGTCAGTAGAAGGTTGTGAAAGTTGATGGCACCAGTACAGAACAAAATTAGCTGTATCACAGGGTGAGTGAAGAACATATATTGAAAGTTCGAAAGCGCGCCATGAATAAACTCCGACAAATTTAATGAAAATTCATAAAAGTCTAGTATAATTACTCTATGCCTTTGTATTATATATTTGAGGAATTTGTGTAAGTTGTCTAAACCCAACCTGGGAATTAATTATTGTGTGAGAAATAAATATTATTTGAATAAGAGACTGTTTGTTTACTTTTGAAGAGAACGATAACCTTACAATATATTGTAGCAGGAAAAGAACAATACAAATTTTAAAATAATAAAAATAAAAATTAACACTAACCAGTTTTTGGTTTAGGAGTGGCAGTCGTCTGAACAGTAGTTGGGTTCTGAGCAGTGTAAGCAGTACTGTAGTTAGTACTTGTCGTTCCATTGCCGTAGCTTACAGCAGCTGTGCCTCCATTATAGTTGGCACCTGCCGCAACCTAGAATATACATCATATTTTAAAATTGATCAAGCAAAAATATTAAAATGGCAATTACAAAAAGATAAATATACCACCACCTTGGCAGGCTGCTGCGTTTGCACAGGCGCGGTATATGTGTAGTTAGTACTCTGCTGCGGTTGTTGAGGAGCTGGGGTGTATCCTGCAGCGTACCCTGTGGCCTTATGCTGCTGAGCAGTCGCAGGACGCACGCTCTGTGTCGTATATGTAGCATTATACGCTGTTTTGCCAGCTGAAAATATCATATTTAGAGGTGAGTGAAAAGTGTTGCTTTATCAAAATAAAAATTTATAACTACAGACATATTTTCATTAATTAAATCAGCCTACTTAAGAAAGAAACAAAAAAAAAAAATTATCAAAATGATAAAGGAAATCAGAGGAGATGATCCGGGATAGCGGTCATAAATAGACTAAAATAGTGGAAAAAATAGTTTATCTTGTGCGATCTAGCCCTGAAGATCTACAAAGACAGGTCGAAACGTTGGCTTGAAATAAAATAGTTTTCCCACTATTTTAGCCTATTTAAGACCGCCACCCTGGACCATCTCCTTCCTTTAAAATACACAACCGTCAACTATTAAGTATTCAATATAGGAAATTGTATAGCAAATTATTGTTATTATTATTAGGGTGTCTACTGAAACCTTTTATAAAATTTCTAGATTTTACAGGTAATTTTGCAAAACTTCTGTCATTGAAATAGCTCTAAAAAAGCATAACTGATCTTTAATATAAATCATTCAATAATTGATTAGTAATTTAAAGTTTACTAAAAAAAAAAAATCTATGAACACACCATAATTAAGTTTTATGTACCAATAGAAGTTGTTAAATATCAATATTATGAAAACTTATTAAAACTATTAATAATTATGACTTATAAAAGAGAAGCCATCTCTATCTATCTATATATATATATATCCCCTAGTTCGCCAAATTCTCTGAGTTTTGGTGTTTTTTTTTTCATTAATTCCCTGACTCTACCAGGACCAGTAAATGTTTTGTTTTCGGGGTCTGAAGAGATATGCATATAACCCAGTATTACACCAAGTTGAAGTGGTTCTATCCATTCAACCGCCGTCTATACTTTCTTGCTACCTTTCAATACCAAGCCATCAGAACTCAGCGACCTTCCTATATTTTTCACAGCCTACAATTTAAATATTCAAAAATATCCATTCAATCCCGTCCCACTAACTAGATCCCGTACTTCTGACCTCTATTCACCTCCTCACCGAACAGCTACGTTTGACAAATCCTTTATAATTCAAGCCGTCTCTACCTGGAATACCATCCCTCCTGATATCCGACATGCGCAATCAGTTTCCTCATTCAAATCTCTCCTTTTTAAACACCTAGTTCCCCCAGAAATGGTTTTGTTTAATTATGTTATTTTATTTTCACATGTTCGTGGTTTTGTTTTATTTTTCTTCCAATATTTTTATTTTAATGAGCATTGCAAATATTTACTTTAATATATGGCCACACAGGCATTTCCTCTGTGTCTATAATCTGTCCTAAAGGGACAAAAGTCCCAGGATAATAAAAATCTATTTTCATTTTCATAAATGACAGGACTCTATAATGGATTATAAAAATAATATAAAGAGTTAAAAAGGAAGTTGTAAGCCCAAATATAGCTCACATTTCTAACAGTTATCCTATAATTAAATCAAAATATTATATAGATAAACCTAATGTTTCCAGTTATTTCTGTTCTAAACATCAGATCGATGACAAATAATACAGTATATACCCAAATTGTTTCCTCTTACTTAAAACTATCAGATAAAATATTCACTGGAATGTAATTTTTGTTTTAATTTTAATAACTAAATTTGATGGAAGTTTAAATTTAAAAATTTTAAAAATCAATAGAGAACAAACCAGTATTCCTTTAAAAGAAAAAAGAAAAAAAAAAACAGAAAAAAATAAAACAAAATCTGTCCTACTTTGTTGGGTTGTCTGCCAACCTTGGTAATCGGCTGTTGAATAAGCTTGCGTAGCAGGAGTTTGCTGATAATATGTTTTGGTTGTATCATAGGCAGCAGGAGCGGTGCGGGCGTAGCCATAATCATAGGTCCCAGTTGCCGTCGTGCCAGCTGCGACTACTCAATAAAAATAAGTCAAAACATTAGAATACTTTAAAAAGAAAAAATATTATTTACATAAAATATTAATTTGATAGCATTTAAAATGATAGCTTATAGATTATACTAATTAGTGCATCTAGAACAAAACAATATCTAAAATACAGTGTTAATCTAGTTTTTAATGTTATGATGTAAATAAAGTCGAGCCTCTTTTATCAAACATGATTGTATTGTTGAAAAAATTCTATCTACATAAGTTTTGAAATTTTTCATTCTATTTATACTAAACAAAACTAAATATGTGCTTTAGACCACACTATAGAAGTTAAGATATCAACAAGGTGAGATTAATAATATGAAATATAAATTATAAATAATAGCACATTATAAAGAGGATGGAATACTAAAATTTCCCTAGCTTACAATAAACAGATTCAATTTTTAGTTTTTGAGATATTTTAATCCATGTCTTCAATAAAATTCATTGTCATTTGGTTTTCGACACTATTTTTAACTTTTCATCTCCCTAGCACAGCATCACCGTAAAGATACAATTTTTAATAACAGCACATTACAGAGAGGATGTAATTCTGAACAATTCCCTCACTAAAAGTAAGCAGGTACAATGTATAATTTCTGAGATATTTTAATCCATATACAAAAACACTGGAATTAGTAGACTCAAGCTGACTTTTTTACCCGACGGCTCAATATAATTCACACTCAAAAAATAAAAAGTGCGAAAGTTTTCACTTCAAAAATTAAAACAATATTTTGAAATTTATAGTAACAGTAGAAGCAATGTACAAAATTATCAAACTTAAAGAATTTAAATTATTCTCAATATCTTCTAAAATTTCGAAGTGCATTAAGGAAGGTTTTTGTAAATTGAAACAACTAAATTTGCCAATGATTTAAAACAAACAACTTAGTAGTGACATATAAATACTACTTTAATTAAATTCTGTATACAGGTCACCATGGTAAAGATAACACGTTAATTTAGAAGTTCATTGGGTAAGGTAATTTTTTTTTTCAATCTAGATTCAATAAATTATATAATTGTGAAACTATTATAGTTACTTAAAACCATCCCCACTCCCCTTAATTCATGTTCCACTAATTTTCCTCAGCTCTGCAATAAGTAACTGATCAGGGTATGCTAATGACTATGTCAGGAAAATTTAGGCAATGCAAACTTTCTTGCAATGTGCTAACTGTGATTCCTCATCTCCAACAATGGATCAAACAACAAATTAATAAAATTTATATTCTTTATCAACCTAGATCACATTAAAAGTTTTAATAGTTAATAAGATACTGTTGCAAGAGTTGCCTTTAGTATAATATCTCAAACAAGAGTTTCCCCTAGAAACTCAGAAGAACAATCAAAACCGAAGACCAACATAGCGAACCCTACAAGATCAGTCAAAATGACATTCCAAGTGTTGATTGACATTCTGGATTGATTGTGTATAGATTGATGTACTGACAGTAAAATAAAATCTTAATTTTGATTTAACCCTTTAACAATGGTGGACTCATATATGAGTCGAAAGGAAACTGGCCCCAGGCAACATATATATGAATTGAGACGGGCTGTGTCCAGGTGACTCACATATGAGTCCGAGGCGGAATGTTTCTCGTTAAATGAGGAGGTGCTAAGAGATAAATTCTACTTTAAAACTATCTATTTAAAGGCATTAGGTAATTTCTCTATGGCTGGAGGATGGCTTATGGATATTTTAGAAAGATGTCCTAAATAAAATACTCAAGCGGTGAGTAAATGTGACGAAAAGTGTTTTGTTATAGGGGCACGAAGAAGTGTCGCCAAGTACTGTCCTCAAGGGCGGAGCATCCTTCCCACTCATCGTCATTAAAAGGTCAAAATAAAAACATTTTCACATCTCTATGAGTTTAAACAATTAATTTATTTTTTTTCTGATAGTAAAATAAGTAATAAATTTAAAAAATGGAATATTATACAAATTTAACTTATAAAAAATGTTTATCCTTAATTATTGTATATGATATTTGTTACTTATTATTTTCTTTTCAACATATTTGTTGTTTAAATAATTTCTCTACAAGTTCCTTAATAGTTTAACTTAAATTTTGTTAATTTTTATAAAAACGATTTACGGTCATTAGAAAGTAAATATCATAGTTTTACTTTTCTCTTAATGGTCGATACAGCTTTTCCCAATAATCTAGATCCATACTGTCCTGTGTCTCAACATTTACAAAGCTAAAATGACATCAGTCTTATTGATACGTGTAATGATCAATATGATTGAAGTGATTGTAGTCAGTGTTATGACTGTCCTTTCAGAATGACTGAGTAGGTTATGCTTAAAATGTAGCCATATTTTAATATTTTTGCAAAGATTTATAAAATGAGGCCATAATTTAATATTTTCGCAAACTAAGACCAATGGAATATCTATGTACACCAGCCATGTAAATATCAGGGAGCCAAAAGCTACAACATTTATTTTTCAATAATAGCTTCATTAGATATGGTTATAGACATAAACATAACTTTGGCAGCAAAGGTATATCAGTAAATTTTTACGGAGTATTTACTAGGATATCAGTCGAATTCCCTACTCCTAATGGATTTAAAAAATAAAATGATTTCCTTTGTCTTGAACAATTTCCAAACCTTGGCCACGTTTTCTTTATTACCTGACAATCGAAAATACTACGTTGTACTGCTCTTCAAATATTAAGTTTGTGATAATAATTTTGGTATCTTGTTTGGTGAGGAGTTTTTAAATATAACTTACACTAAGACATTTGTTATTTTGAGGTAAAGTTCCCCCCTTTGCAGTAAAAGAAAAAAAATTACTTTCGTTCATCAATTGAGCCAAGAGCATAAAACTTTATTTATTTCTAACCTTCTTAATAGCACTTGGATTATTCATCTTTACATATTTCTTTATTTGAAAGTATAAAACAGATTTATATTGATAAGATATTAAATAAGACTGAAGCTATTGGAACAGATAAATAAAAATAATTGAAATTAGTTTTCCTAACATAAATACTAAAATTTTGTATAGATTAGATATTAGTAATTAACAGTTGAAAAAATCAATTATAAACTACAATCAGGCAAAAGAATACATTAATTATTGCTATAAATAACTACTAAATAATAATACAATATAAATACTAAACTACAGTCGCATAAATCACACTGAGAAAACAATAAACTATTAAAACAATCAAGAGGACTTGAAATTAAAAACCAAGAACAAGCTAAGATCTATAGCACATTATAACACATGAGAAAATAACTTTTATTGAAATTAATGGCTTTGTTATCTTAAATATAATGTCACTTCTTTACCTCCAGTCTTCAATCTATTTAGATCAGAAATAGATTAACTCGTCATTAATTTCATTGTAATCATAAGTATACGTAAGAAATAAATATTCTTTATGTATAAAAAAAAATCCATATCATTGAAAAAAAAAGCTATGCACTCAAATGAGCATTTCATGTTAGTTTAAATATGAATTTTACAACTGGAGTACTGTCTCAAGAATGTTATAATGTCAAAAACTAAGTACATCTACTAATACCTAACCTAACCTTTGGTCCTTAAAGATCTATAGCATGAATGAGTCTCTTAAAAATTATAAGCATTATTTTTATTTAAATATATATTTATTAAGGCCAAGATCAACTACATACAATACTGATCTAAATACAATACCACCAGTATCAGCATCTTGTTCATCTTATATCTTAGCAATATTTAAAGTAGAAACTTATTTTATCAAATTTACAAAAAAATACAAAAAAACAGAAACAGTCATATTTCTTGACAATGAAATGTGACATCACATCCATCTTCAATAAAATAGATATCAATGAGTAATTTGCTTTCTTAGAAAAAATGAATGGAAAAGCCGTCTGACATTGCCTTGTTAAGAAATTTAGTAACGGAATGGAATTTTACTTTTGGAATATAAACAAAGGGAATCATCTGCTTTATTTATTTTGGTCGACTGTCAAATTTAATTCAACGCATGTGCTGCAATTAAACTTCTACTCAAATATTCATTTTGATCAGAACTTTCTGGAATAAAGCTCTTGTAGCATATTTTGCACAACAAAATTTATTACCATTCAACTCCAATTGAATTACTTAATAATATGAAATTACCATTTTTAAGTGTTTGGTAGGTAAAACGACAAAAAAAAAAAAATTAAAGTATTTCACTTATAATTTGAAATATTAAAACCATATTCTTTTAAAAATTAGTTCATGAAATAATTTAAGTTTTATTTGTCCAGATGTAATACTTCAATATATTGTCAGAACTTGGAACGGTCCAAGTTCAATTAAATAAAAATTAATTAGATTAATAAGAGGAACAAACCATCACATTTCAAAGAACATTGGGAAAATTATGTACGCCACACATGTCAATAAAAATGCATGGAATATACATATTTTTTACACTAATCTTGAGAATTTAATTTATACTGTTCTTGAACATTGAATTCATAAATTTTTTTTGTATCATAATCAAAATTGTATTAAGATGAAACCAAATTGTCAGGATTTACAGTCTAGAATTTATATTTGGTTAGTCAATGTTTATCCTAAAAATGTGGGTCATCAACAGAACTTAGTTCTTGTCTCGACTCCTCAAAGACGGCCCTGAGAATGACCCACATATTTTCGTCAAAACGTCGGCTAACCTAATAAAAATTCTAGACTGTAAATCCTTAAAAAAATTTTTCACCATAATAATTGATTAGTCGACTACTTACATATCTCTAAAAAACTTGTTCTAACAACATTAACTTTTTATTTGTTTCCTAAATTTCATCACTAATATTAATTATAATGAATTCCTAGCTTTGAACATAGTTATTTTACAGCATATTAAAAAGGAATAAGGATTATCATTTGAATACTCAGTCGATAGCATATCCGAAACCTTAAAAATAAATCTGTCAACACTATTATTTATATAAACCAATAACGTTTAAAGATCAGTCTTCTATGTAAACTTTCGGAAACACTAGAGTAGTCAGGGCATTTAACATATTTTGATCAGTATGAACTTGGTCCACCTGTCAATCGAATTTGACAAGACTTAAGTTTTCCATGGGACTAAATACAAGGAATGTAACTAATTTTATACTATAAAGAAAACATAAAAATTACCTGCATAAGTACCAGGAGTAGTGTGTGTAGCTGCTTGATATGTATCATAGCCTGTAGCAGCTCTTTGAGTACTATAAGTAGCTGCCGCAGCAGCAGCTGCTGTCTGAGCTACAGCATATCCAGTTTGAGGTGCTTGATAAGCTGGTGTTCCAGGTGCTCTAATTATAAATAAAGGGGAATGAAACATCATGTAATGCCATATAACCCTCAACCAACCATACTCACAGGCATACACCTAAATGTGCCGGCTACTACAGAAATTGAATAAAACCTACACACTATATCATTCACAACATTTCTTAGTACAAAGATTAGACAAATTACATAAAACTTACGCATATTGGGTTCCCCCATGGGTAAAACCAAAATAATTGTTCGCAGCCATCTACCAAGATTACACAAAACCAATATGGACGCCGCTGCCAAAAAAGACAAGTTGCAAGTGTTAAACAGATTTGTATCTTTACTTCAAGATTCCTAAACAGTTAAAAAAGCGAGTCGGACAAAAAATCAGAAAAATAAATACAATAGTATATTACAACTATAGTGCCAAATTGATACTCACGAAGAGAACTAAACTTTCAGTTAAGTCGATTAAACCTACTATTCATACCTTAGTATCCGAATAACCAACAATAATTAAAATTAAACATTGATTGATCTATTTCTTAACGAACAGAAGTTAATAAAGTTAATGAATATTTAAAAATTAACAATTTACGAAAAACTATTACGGTCCTTAACATACACCAAGCTTCTTGTAAGAAGGAATTGAACGGACTTTTCAGGAACTATTTTCAGAGAGAAAGGTAAATTACTCACGAAGTACGTCTGTTGTTAGTTGATCAATGGTTCTTCTTTGTAAATATGTAACTAAATATTTTGACTATGATAATGTTATAAAAAATAGATAAATATTTTATACAACTGTTCAGTTTTTTAAAAAATATTTATCAATCTCATCACTTTTGTCACTAAATTACTCTGCATCTGTACAATCATTGAATTTCTGTATATAAGCACGAAACGTAACTATACTGTAGAATCATTTAGCCCTCACCGATTTGGTATTAATCTGGAAATATTATTTGTCAGCCAGGATACAGATGTTAAATAAAATGCTTATTTAGACTAATAATTTGAGGTAGAAGCATTGTCTTCTATTATTTGCATTAACCTTCCCAATTCGACTTGATTATAAAGAGCTTTCTTCATCATAACGAACTATTTTGCTTGAAAACTTTTTGAGAGAATCTTGCCTGAAGCCCACCAATATCGAATACATTGATCGTATGAGAGATATATTGTAACAATTATATGGACATTTGTACTATGTATACAACGTTCAAGAATATTGCTTCAATATTATTGATTCGATAATCCTGACCGTTTTACGTGGGCTTAAAGGGATTTAACCCAGACAATGTTATTGAAGCAATACAATTCAAGGGGTCCATTCCACACATGATTATTATGGTTGGGACGTTGGTTGTGGGTTGATGTCAGAGGGAACAAGCAAATAAAAATAAAGATTTTCATTGAAATTTAAAAAAATAAAATATTTTATTTTTATTTGTGTGTTCTCTCTGACTGCAGCCCTCCTACTATATTGTCTACAGTTAACAATTTCTTCACCAATATGATTAATATGTCAGTTACGATTTTGCTTTCAAAAAAAAGTAACGTCATTGTAAATGCTAAAACAATACTATATATTTTTTTAATTTGTTTATATTCTTGCTTCCTTATAGATAGATTTACTTAAAAAACGGTATAGCTCCACGATTAAGCACAAATATGCGAAAATCTAAAAAGGTTTGCCACTGGTAGAACGAATTTTCAACAACAGGTAGACTTTGTAGCTTTGTGTTTTATACTTCAAATCAACTACTTAGTAAAATGTTTGTAATCTGATTATTTTCTAAGTCCTGATGAAGGCCTGAACTTCGGGCCAAAACGTCGGCAGATGTAATTATATTATTTTTTATTTTGACTATCACCCCAACTATCCTTCTCTTCAATTATTCACTACAGTCAACCATCAACCCACAAGTTAATATTTCCTTTAACTGTACAATAAACTTATGAAAAATTAAAAAAAAAAAAAGTAAGAAAATAACTCGTTTGTGTTAGTAGACAGCTCATTTGTTTAACATTTAAGAAATAATTTTCGGATAAAAATAAATTTTTATTATTAATTATTTTATCCAATTTTGATTTTGAATATAAAAATTGATACTAAATGTATAATTATAAACTTAATACACGCGTTTTGATAGAAAAATTAAAACTGGATGATAAATATTCAGGACGCAGTCTTTTTTAAAATTTTTATTTTTGCCAACGTTTCAACCCAAACATATGGGTCATCTTCAGGGCTGAAAATGTTTTTTTTTTAATTACAATCAGAGATATAATAGTATACGACCGCTAATTATAAATGGATTATATACATTATTTTTAATTTTTAGTTTGTATAACTATTTTAATATGTGTATTACAATATTAGTTTAGATTCATGTGCCATCAATCACTATAGTTTATTATTTATAATTAGCGGTCGTATACTATTATATCTCTGATTGTAATTTTAAAAAAACATTTTCAGCCCTGAAGATGACCCACATGTTTGGGTTGAAACGTTGGCAAAAATAAAAATTTTAAAAAAGACTGCGTCCTGAATATTTATCATCCATGATATGTAGAACAGTCGACTAACTTCCTTCAAGAAAAAATTAAAACTACTTAATAAGCTACTGCTTTTTCAACAAAAATATAGAAAATGGCTCTGGATGAGGCCCAAATCCCCATTCATCCTGAACAGCCCCTAAACTGAGTCCTTACTATTATTGAAGAAATGTCAGCATTACTGAACTTATAAGGGTTATATTGAACAGTAATCATTTACACGAATACGGAGTGACTATATTTTTTTCAAATTTCATGTGGAATGAATATGTTTATTGATGTATATGTTTGTATGTATGTTAATATACTTTTTACTACCACCAAATATTTTTTTAACATCATTTAAATGTTTATGTTGATTTGATGATTTGCGATATTTCTGAAGCGTGTTGGATTAAAAAAAAAAAATGTGAAAGGTGTGAGATTCCGATCACTTGCGTCAAACCCGACGTTTTCTGAGTAAGTCTCATACCATGCTTTGAAAATTAATTTAATATCTTTTAAATTGATTTTCGTAGAAGAATCTACCTTTCACCTGAATGCTTTGTAGTACATGCTATAGAATAAGAACACACAAAAACATGCACATAACCCGTTTGAATTAAAAAAAAAAAAAACACTGCAATCCATGGAGGGTTTAGAGGTGGGTTCTGTACTTTGTTAAGAAGTACTGTTGTTTTTTTTCAAGTGATTTGATGGAGATCATGCTTTGAATTAACATATGGTAAGTTATTAATGGATAAAGATCCTCTTATTCTCAATCGATTCCTCTTCTACCGTCAGATCAGTGTAGATAATGGATATATAGAATGGATAAAGATAAAACATAATAATAAACAACCATTTTAACATTCTGATATTTTCCATTTGATAAGTACTCAAATTTAACTACCGAGTGGCTCATTTATGAATCCATATTTATACAGAAAGCTGAAGTGTTTGTTAGGTTGAACGCCTGAACCTAAGGAACAATCAGCCCGATTTAAAAATATATATTTTGTGATAGGCTAAACTGTTTATTGAGGAAGACGTAACACTAGACTTTATAACGTAACACTAGACGTGGTGGCAACCTTTATTTAGTCTTCAGAGGTGCGTAACAAGGACTACGAATTAGTGTTTAAATTAATTAATCATAGAGCTCCTATGAACCACGTGTAGTAGATCAAACCAACCAGAATTCTTCTGCACGAAACGTAAAGTAAAATTACTTTGTTCAAAGCCTACTAAATTCAGGAGTTTCTGTGTTTCGTGGCTAGTATCCCTCATGTACTCTACGTTCATCCATCGAATGAAAGTTGTAACTATTTAATAATAGACCTGATTCTTTATTAAATAAAAATCTACAATTTTTGTAACTGTGAAGTTCTTATTTCTTAATTGGTGGGAAATGGTTCTTTACCCATCTCAGTTGCATCCACATCCTTTTTACGCTTTGAAAGCCAGAAATATGATGCTCTTTCACCCATTTCAAGTGTGACACCGATGGGAAACCTGCATAAGTTTTGTGTGTCTTAAATTCTGAAATCATTTTCATATATTCAGACATTAAGCATATTTTTTTTCACTTTTTCTTTTTCCGTTCAAGCGTTCATATACTCTGGTCTTGGCAATTAATATTTCATATTAGTCTTTTGTAACTGTTCAATTCACCTAAATGCAACTGCACACCCAGCTGTTCAATTCATTCTGTCTAATCACCAATTGCATTCTTCACGAATATTTTAATATTTTCTAGCTTAGTTTTTCATTTATTCATTCATTCATACGCAACAACCCGTTAACGGGTCTAGACCTCCTCCAAAAGTTTCCGCCAGTTGGCTCTATCTGTTGCTGCAGCTCTCCAGTTCCTAACGCCGAGGAGATCTCGTGCGTCCGCTGTGACGGAGTCAGTCCACCTGACATTTGGTCTACCCACTCTTCGCTTGCCATGAAGGTCTTCAGCCTATGTCCTCTTAGGGATCTCGTCCTCCTTCATCCTTGCAACGTGGCCCGCCCAACTAAGTCTCCCAATCTTGATCTACTTGATGATATCAGGATCTCTGTACAGTCTATCTTAGTTTTTAATCCACAAAATGAGTAAACTTGTTCTTCAAATCTTAAGTGACCTACGAACGTAAAGGATTATACACGCGATCTATCCTAGCGAACTGCAATCCCTTTATCTATATCGCTACGGCTTACTGTGTGCCTGAAGTAATGGAATAAATGGTAACTCAACTATATTGCCAAATCGCTGCGTATAGCGATATTATTGCATTCTGTATGCATGAGTCTTTCAGGAGATAAAATGTCGTTAATTTATTTCTGGCTGTTTATTTATCATCGTTATCTGGGCAAATAGCAAGAGGAGACTTCAAACCCCCGAAATTTTGTGTTAAAAAAAAAAAATGAATATTTGTGCATGAAGTACAAAGGCTCCGGCACACATAACGCGATATGTCACAGCGATGCGATATCCCATCGTTGCGAATTATCACGCTCTGTGTAACTGCTATGGTGTAACTATATAAATTGTAATTTAGAGTACAATAGAGCTAATTCCTTCTGAATATGAAACCCATAGAAAAATGTGTTAATAACTAAGTAATTAAGTACAATTTATGTTAGTCAGGAAAAGAAGATCTATCTCTTTGGCCTATAATTGTTGATTACCTTATGGACTGTTTTCTAATTTATAAATCAGGTTTTAAATTGATATATTTTTATTACTATAATTTAATAAAATTATAACCTTTTTTTATATTCCTGAAATATTTTACTGATTTACAATGTCAGTTTTTCAGATATTTAAACAGTGAGTTTAGCTTTGATTACTTATTTTATTTTAATAATTTATTATTATTTATAAGTCATTATCTGAATTTAGTTTTAAATTATTATTTTTATTCCAGTATTGAATTGATTTTTAGGTAGTAATTGTGTTAATAATGGCTCTAGAAAAAAATTACATTATCTTTAAATCACGTATTGTATTATTAGGCTGCCTTATCACTTCACCTCAAGTGACTTTAGGTCACCTTACATATCATTCAGTCAGCTCTTCTAGAAGATACTCCACTGCTCATAATACAACAAAAGTGCTCAAACAATTTTAA